ATTGATTCGGCACTGTGATGTGAGGACGTGAAAAGAAACCAAGCTTGCTCTTTGGCTGCGGGCTTGCTGCATGGCCTGGTGCAACGAATGAGAAAAGTCTGTGTACGGGTACCATATCGACAGCGAGCGCGACTCTCCGATGCTGCATGCGAGTATGATGATTGATTGCATGTGAGAGACTGAAGATTTGGGCATGGAATCCCCTTCCTCGCCTTGACATACATGACAGGTTACGACACCCAGCAGCGCTGGGCATTGCCGTCCATGTCACGACGTCGTCTTGGAGATGTCATTCCTCTCAAAGATGACATATCCCTTCTCGTGTCCATTTGCGGGAGGTAGGACAGTCGGAGAAAGGCGGTTCAGCACTATGAGCGGCCGTTGGCTTCGTGCGGCCTGAACACAGCTCAAGTACCGTACGCCATCTTGGCATAGCACGCATCGTGAAATTCATGCACCTTTCCGTTCGCTAGTGGAACCGGTGTATGACGAAGACCGTGCACTGTCGTACTGCAGGAATAGCATCAGTGTTTGCCGCCGAGCCCTGCTAACATCATGCTCACCTAGAATCATGGTGGATCTGGCGCGCGCGAGCTATGCAGGTCGGAGATCAAGGAGTATCGCAGACCTACAAGCTTGCTAGCACCAAGAAGCTTTCCATAGAGCTGGACAATGACAGAATGTATTGTCGTCGTATTAGAGCACCACCACAGTGACATTCTCCGCCCCGGCTGAAGTAGCCCAAGGCAGTCCACCCAAACCTTGATGGCTTGGTCACACACGGGTGGTCCTCTGGTGTTCAAGTACCTCGTAGTACTGAAGGTGACGTGGTACCTGACAGATCGTAAAATGGATCGAAATACAAAACGGCCGTTGGCGCTGTGTTTCCCAGCACATAATCCGGATGTGACAGGACTGGAAGAAACAGTTTCACGGTCGGGCAGGGCGAAGGCCGAGCCCGTTTCAACCACATGTGGCGGCTAGCCAGGAAGTGTGATGGCAGGAAAATAATCCAAGGCCATGGCCAGGGTCAAGCCGCGCGGGACATTCCAGATTGACGACCAATCCGACTAGCAGATCGTGGATCCCATTCGGTCCAGCGTAGATCTTGATGGGAAATCCGGGGATGGCGGTGGTCTCGAATGATTGGCCCAGTCCCCTGTCCAGCAGGACGGGCGCTTCTCTAGAGCTTGTTGTTACTTGTTAGTAGACCAGCCTCACTAAATCCTCGTCGTTTCCTGCTTCTCATTGCAAAGCGTAGTCGACGTTCGTGGACGCAGATAGTGACGCCTAGTGCTGATGGGAGTGTTCCGCGTGTAAGGTCTTGAAGAGGCGTATAGGCCGATGACTATTGCCTCGATGGCGCAGTGAAGAAAGCTGCTAGTCAGCTTGCTAATACGGCTACGGGTCGCACGAGCCACAGTTCGCAGATCGTCTGCCGTTTACGTGTCACTGTACCTGCAGACTGATGTCGACAATGACGATGTTGACGGCGGGCGATGGCGGGCAACGGCGACGATGAGCTTCGGTGGGTTACTGACGGCATTCTTCTTGCCACCACATCTCGATCGGACCAACGCTAGCTGTATATCGCTCGACGGCCGTTGACAGTGACGGCCAAGGTGAGATAGAGAGTATGGTTGTGATACCCAGGCCTGGGCTTGGCCGATGCTGCGGTGGCGTGCATACTACGCCGAAGAAGCCGGGGTTTGAATCCTCCAGGCGCTGGTGCTTGCTTTGCTTCTGCGTGATGGCCCATCATGCAGACCCCATGGGGTCCCAAACATGGTGTTGGTTGGAATAGGACCACAGCAGTCATATGTGTTTCGTAAGAATAAGAGCAGCGAAGAACTCGCGACCGAGAAGTATGTCGACATTCGATCGCACACAACCACTGCGTGTGTCGACGTTCAGTAGCCATATCACTTCCGTGGAACAAGCGGGAAGGGAACTCATCTTCAGGCAAGGTATTTCCCGTAGCGACGCTGCATAAGTCCACGTCGCAAGATCACGTACAGATTGTCTCTCCAGCTGTCAACTGGTTCTAGGTGAGTCCAGGTGAATCAGCATGGCACCCTTGTACGGTAGCTGACAGCAGGCGGGGTATTCAGACTGCCAGACCTGCAATAAAACCTTGGTACGGAGGTGCTCCCAGGGCCGTATGTAGGAGATATGTTGGCGTGTCGACTTGCAGCACTGGCCCTGCGAGCTCCGTAAGACACATATGTATGGACGAAAGCCCTTTACATGCTTAGCTGCCAAGCTATGTGTTGGGGTTCAAGAGGTTGTTGGGATCCTGCCGAGTGTCCTGCCTGTGTTCATCAACCTATGGAACGCAGCGTTACGAGAGTCGTTGCCGCAACCTGGCGTCGTCCAATAGACATGGGATGACTTCATCTCACACCGTCTTTCCGGCCATATTCAGAGAATGCTTCACTTCGAGGCATCTCGTATGTTGGAGAGATCATCGATACAGTACACTCGCTGGATGTGGCCGTGTGCAGGTCGAGAGCCATAGCTACCTCTTGTCAGCTTGGTGCACTAAACCAGAGGCGAGCTGGTGACGTGATGTTAGCCAGATTACTTACATACCAGCGATCATGATAGCAGCCTCTCTGGGAGTATGGGAACGGGACTGTGGTGTACCGTCCACCGATTCCCGTGCTCAGTCCAACCGTCAACGCTCTGCTCGTGCCTTGGCGGACCATCGGACACAACGCCAAGGGCGGCATGTACTTTCAGCGTTGCATGCTCGCTTGAGCTGTTGTGCTACCGTGGCACTGTCCTCTCCACGCTGGTCTGGGCTTGCGCATGGTGGTATCGGGTCATCAATTCGCTATATCTCGTGCCACCACCGAACATGCCGGCCCATGCAAATCGTGCCAGTGATGCAGTAGGGTCGTAGCGGTAACAGCCGATCTCTTATCCACCTATGAAGTGTTTGGCTGTTCTCCGTTGCCGTGAAATGTTTGCTCGTCCGTTACCCAGCCTCCCGTCAAGTGGATGGGCGAGATGAACAGCACCGGACGGTGCTATGCGTACGATGGCCTGTCCCATCGCGACTTGACGGGCTGTTTTTGCCTGCCGCCGAAGCCAAAGCACGGCTGGAAACGGAGGCTAGTAGCCAGAGGCGTTTCTGTGGATTATGCATAGGCTGTGCGGGGAGACGATGTACGTTGGCTGTACATTGGCTGCGGCCTCGCAACATGTGTACTGCCAGACTGCTCACCATGAGGCAGGCCGGCCACATTGTCATCCAGCTGATCATAATGGGGGCGATATACCCTAACCCATTATAACGTCGCAGAAGAGGCAATATGGCAGCTGTATGGTACGCCGTAAGCACCAGTCTGGGGAAGGGTGAGATCTGGGAGGACCATAGTGCGAAGGATTGCCCAAGGGTATATAGCTTGGCGATAGCTTTGCCGGATTGGGCGTAGAAAGTACCGTAGATGTCCGTCCTGATGAAGGATGATGGATGACGGACGACGTAGGTGACGGACGGATGGTCAGATGAAGCTGGTAAGGCGTGGTACCGTATAGTACATAGATTGCGAGTACCAGACTTGTCGCTGCTCAGGGACGGGCTTTCTGATCCACGGCCTACAGGCTACAGGCGACGAGGTTGTCGGCCGTGAACATTTGCGGCGTGCTCGCTCATCAGTACCATGGATGAACGGACAAGGAGGAAGTGGTGATCACCGATCATTGATGGCCCCTGTCCTGGGACCCTGGCAGTTGCAGAAATTGTGGTCTCAGCCGCCGACGCCAGCGCTTGCCGTGCCGCGCTAGGGTATTTGACCTCTATGTCGGTCTTTTATTACCGAAACACGAGAATAGAACACGTCGATCGCTGGTCTGCTTCTGCTGCTGTTATCCCAATGGAACTGTAACGGACGGGTGGGATTTCAGGTAAAGCATTACCAGAACATGACCATGACCGGATATGCCGACTTAACATCCGGCTTATACATATAGGTTAGGTATGTAAGAACTTGCTTGCCAAGATCGGGAGCTCTGTTGGTGATGGTGTTCGGTAGCGAATGCTGGTACCGGGATGGAGCTCCAATGCCAGCAGCCGATGCCACGCCTTGGCCGATGCAGCGCACGGACAGTACCGAACTATATACAGTAGTACTATAGTTACATGGATGTAAGTACAGACAGGGGACTCCCAGGGTCTGCCTTTGTGCTTCTTCGTCCTCCTCTACGGCACCTTTCAGTAGTTCAAACGGTATCGATTTACGAGATGCTCTCTTTAGTACCTTATGGACACACACCACAATACTACCGACACCACTGTACGTGGCGGCGGCAGGATCGGAATAGACAGTCGGACGTGTGGCTATCGTTGGAGAAGTGTGGGAGCAGTGAGACAAATGGTACAGGGTCTGTACATAGCTAGCTACATTATCCATCCATACATCCATATCTCTGGGAGCAGTCTATGTATCATGCTCAGTGCTTTTATGCCAGCCCTTTGCCTCCTCGACACCCGTCTCTGCTCCCGGTGCGGTACTGCTGCTGCTGCTGCAACCCGATCGACTTGTCAGTTCGCTTCAGTGACTGACTGACATATTGATTCCCATCGGCACTCAGCTTGTTTTGGACAAAGGTCCGCCCCCGTTACCAAGTCTCTGGATCCCCTCCCGTCTTACTCTCCCATAGTCTCCTTCTGCCTTCCAGTCTTCCACTCTACCCTCTCCTTCCCCTTTCTCCATTTCTCCGTCCTCTCCTCCACTTCTCCGTCCTCTCCTCCACTTCCATTTTTTCGTTGCTGTTCATTGCGGCTGCAAGGAGGAGGACTTAATGAGCCCTCAATCGAAGCCATCCTTAGAACAAGTCGGCGTGCCAACAGGGTTTCCCGCCAGGTCCCCTAGAGCTTTCATGAACCGAAGCTCCCCTGCTCGGGGTCAAGCTCGGGCTCAGGCTCAGGCACAGGTGCAGGCGCAGGTGCAGGTGCAGGTACAGACTTGGAGACCGACAAGACCTACCCAGGCATGTTCCAGCCTCAGCCGACCCCTTTCGCCCAATTCGGTTACCATGGACTCGATGTAGCCGACACAGATTTCACCGATTATACTGCGTTCCAAAGCACGCCGCTGGGTCAGTTTGGGGGAGGGCATGCCTTGGATGCTAGAGCTGGAGCTGGAGCTGGAGCTGGAATTGGTGTTGGCAGTGGCAGGCTGGGTGCAGTAGCTGGCGCTGGAGTTGGAGTTAGAGCTGGAGCTAGACCTGGAGTAAATGCTGCAGCAGGTGCAAGAGGTGGACCGACAGCTGCTGACGTTTTCGGCTCGCCCGCTTTCCACAACGGCCACCAACTTCCTGCCAATTACCACTCGATTAACTCGATACCGGGGCCCCAACACCGACACCAACAGGGGCAACCCCACCATCGCACCTATAACCACCGCCTCCAATCCCAATCCCACAACCACAACCACAACCACAACAACCACAACAACCACCTCCTCCACGACCGCGGCCACGGTCGCAGCCAGCGTCGCCACCGTCGGCATCACACGATGGAGCAGGACGAGATGGCCCAGCAAGAGGCGGCAGCATGGGACTACCAGCCGCAGCTACAGGTCAGTAACCCACCACACGCCCTTGCCATCTTCATTCACTTTTGCCTTTCACGTTTGGTACTGCTTGTGTGAATATCATTCACGTCACGCCTCGTGCATTCTCATGTGCAACCCGAAAGTTAAAAACAGAGAGGGTGGACAGGAACACACGTTGGCTGACATGGTGCATTTTGAATAGGGACCCCTGGTCGGCGACAAGACGTCCAGCCAGGCGATAACAGAGGAGTATGCCAAAGCAGATCCAACTTATGTCGCCAAAACAATGGTGAGTGTGCAACGACGTGGATTGACAGTCTGTCCCGAACGACCCATTAACAGTCTATCCTAGGCTCTACCCGAGACGTATTCGCACTACCGTCCGATCCAAGGGGACGGTAACTGTGGTTGGCGAGGTGAGTTTGCGACCTATTGCTATGCGTTTCCTCCCTCGCAAAAATCACTGCCCACTATCAGACATCTTCCTGTCCTCGACTCCCAGCTCCCCGATTCCAGTGCCATGTCTGTCTATCTGTCTACCTATCTACATACCCCGCAATCACTATCACCCAGCCAGCCCATGGTCGCCCCTGGATGCCCCTGGGATGTTGGGGACCAGGGTGATGTGCTCTGCTCTGATTGATCAGCACATGTGACGACAGCTTCATTGCCGTGGGGCCATGTCCAGTCCCACCCATATCACTCCCGGCATATGCACTGCTGACCGGCATCTCTTGCGCCAATATAGCGATTGCCTTTGCCTACTTCGAGACCCTGGCACAATGTGGCGACGTCAACCAGGTCTCAGGCGAAAGAGCCCGACTGAAGAGCCTGGATGTCTTCATCCAGAATGACATTGGGGAGCAGACTTGGGAACTCATGGTCGACATGGTGGAGGAGACTGATGTGTTATTCGACGATGTCATCACAGCTATGGAAGCCGGTCAAAATCCTATGGCAATCATCACCGCCAAGTTTAATGATGCTGCCACATCGCCGAGCCTCATCTACCACCAGCGTCTGCTTGCAACCGCATGGTTGAGAGCTAACGCCGCAGAGTACCGGGATCGCATTGAGGGCGGTATCGAGAGCTACATCAGCAGCAACATCATGGTGATCAACATGGAGATTGAGTATATTGGTGTCGTCATACTGTGCGATATCCTGTTGAAGCCAGCAGGGATGGTGCTGGAAATTGCCTACCTGGATCGAAGCGAAGGTACAGAGGTCAACGTGTACCGGATGCCTAACGAGGCTGTTGGGCAAGGTGCTTCTACGTTGGGGCCGTTCATCTACCTGCTCTATCGGCCAGGCCACTATGACCTCTTATACCGCGACTCCCAGCTTCAGGCCACGCCTGTTCCTACCGGACCGATATCTCTCCAGGTCAACCGCGCAACCTTTGCACACCATCACGACATCCAGAGCACTGTTGCATCCAACTACTCGACCTTGGATCTGAGCGTCTTGGGAATGATACCCGGAGGCTTCGAGCCTTCAGGTCTGTCCCCCTTGACATGTCCGACTGCTCCATCCCCAGTCTCCGATTCGTATGCCCATTCCCCTCAGTCGCCATGGGTCACGCAGAACTTCCCGGACAACCTCCCTCTTCCGCCTTCGCAGCAGCCGACTCCTCCACAGCAACAAGCCACTACTCCAGTGACGGTACATCCTCTCCGCTTCAGCAAGTACAACTTCCCCCTCTTGCCCGAGATGGCGGAGAACAACAGCTCGTACGAACCTGCGTACACCACAAACACGTTCAAGAACAGCCACTTCAACGTCGCCCACTACAACAACACGAATTTTCAGCCGGAAATGTACAGACCGGATGGCGATGAAGAGATGCCAAGCGGCAAGGTTGGGGGCCGAAAACGGAGCACTGAGCATTGCGCGTTCATCAAAAAGGAGAGCAGGGGATAGAGGCACTACACGCCCCCGGTTGTTAGTTGATCGCATTTCTCGGTTGGGGTGGAGGCAACTCTGACATTTATTCCACGGACACATGGCGTTGAATCGGCAAACCGAAGGCTCAGCGGAGAACTGGCGTCCGCTGGCAATCTACATTTTATACAACTGAGGCGAGATAATGAGAAACGTTCGGGCTATGCAGCATATTCGCCCAAGCAGGTTCGGAACGGGAAGCGCCCGGGGGAAATAAGGATTAATACGAAATCTGCAGGAATAAGTTCCGTCATGAAGAGACAAGCAGAGTATACCTGCACGTGCTCTCAGATAGTAGGCTGACCCGCAAAACGGCTGCATAGGAGTTGCAAGTCGATTCAATGAGAATATCGACTTGAGTCTACTTGTCACCGCACTTTGTACCGCACTCGTCCGCGATAATGCCCCTCAGATCCTTGACTAGATCCTTGACTACCGCGCTGTTTGACATGCCCAATCGAACGCCTGTCAAGTCACATAGTTAGCTGACCAGCACGCGGCCTTTCCAGGTCTGCTGGCAGCAAATTTCCATTTGATGAGGGTTCGCAGACCTTGTCTGGAATACAGCAAGTGTCCTGCAGCCGACTCCATTGCCAACCTCACTGCTGGCGCGCCTCTGTCAAGGTAGGAAGTCCACTTTCTAGTGTTGCCGCGGCTGAGAAGCGCCGAGAGAAGCCCGAGGACCTCCATTCTGCCTTCATATTCGCTTACAGAACACTAAATTTCTATCCAATCAGAGGAGTTTTTCTTTTACTCAGCATTAGTGGTTTAGTGGTAAAATCTGCCGTTGCCATACAACTTCGGCAGGCCCCGCGTTCGATTCGCGGCTAATGCATCATTAAATTTTCTGCTTTGTTCGCCGGAACCTTTTTTTCTTCGACTTTTTTTGGTCATCTATCCAAGCCATGAAAACCCGTTTTGGTGTAGATGGTGACGGAAATGGGTCATCATGAATGCTCTCTGCCGCGAGGGCCTACTTATGCGCGAGTTTCGTGGCGCGTATCCGCGGCCACGCTGCGGAACGATGTGTGCCCATAGAGCCTTGACGGTAAGCTAGGCTAGATCTGAAGAGCTGCGGGCAAGGCGTCCTGGCTTTCTCTTGAGGTCTCACATGGCCCAGGCCGGCTAACGCGCTCTTGCATCGTGGGAGACTCAAACTGGTGATCTGTAGCCTGTACCATTCTACCAGTCCAAGTGATGACAGAAACCCCAAAGCTAAGAGGGCCCCGATTCCAGCCTGCGGACTCCCCTGTCATGAGAAGCCCGCCTTGGCGCACATCCAAACCTCTCTCTTCTCCTAGCAGGACTACCTCATGTACCTAGTCAGCATCCACGCCCTCTACATACCCACGGGCAACCTCCGCTTCCTAAGGTCGGCCGGGTATCTATACACACCTGTACACCTATAAAACAAAGAAATTAAATATTTAATTAGTAATATTCGAAAATTGCTTGCCACCCCCAGCCCCAGCCCCTTAGCAAATCGCCCACGTCCACATCCCACACCGGCCCCTCGTCCGGCCCTTTCTCATCAGCCCCATCGGCCCGCGGGCCCAGACCCAGATGCTGCGCAAACTCAGCCGCCCACTGGCGCGCTAGCGTCTCCTCCGAAAGGGCATGCTGCTCGTAGTCTCGCAGCTCGTGCGCGATACTCGTCACGCCCTTGTCGCCCAGGCCGCACGCCACGATGCGCGCCCAGGGGTTCGCGTCCTCGGGGCCGGTGACGGGCACGTTAACATTGATAGCGACACCTAAGGAGGTGACGTGGCGGCGAAGGTGCACACCCAGGGCTGCGATCTTGCGCTCGTCGTTCTCGTTTTCTTTCGTAGTATTCCACTCTGCCCTGCTCTCCCCATGCCGCACCCACACCCCCGGATTCCCCGTCGTGAACCCCCGCAGCCCCCACGGCCGCCGCCCCAGCGTCGCTATTGTCGTTTTTTCTAATAGACACGCGTAGTCGCGCACGGTAAGCGGCGCGTATGTCGGCGCGCGCAAATCGATGACGGGCCAGAAGACGACCTGGCCCGGGCCGTGGTACGTCGTCAGGCCGCCGCGCGGCGCGTGGGTGGTTATGGGCGTGAACCAGGGTGCGCCTTCATTGTTACCACCAGCACCAGCACCCCCCCTACCACCTCTCCATTCCCCCGTCCTCAGCGGCGCCCGCAACCGCTCCAGCTCCGCTGCGGCCAGGGGCTCGGTTTGCCGCCGCCCAAAGGTATACGTCGGGGCCGGCGTGAACGACAAGAGCGTCGGGGGCGGGGGCGGGCCGCGCGTGGAAGGGGGCTGGGCTTTCCAGGAAAGCAGGTCGAGTTGCAGCTGTGTCTGGATGCGTGTCGCGAGCGCGTAGCTGGGGTAGCTTGGGTGGGAGGCGGCGCTTTGATTTAGAGAGGGGAGCAGGCGGATGTGGCGGAGGGAGGAGGACATTGGGTTGGGTGGTAGTGGTGGGAGGTTCTTGTCGGTGTTGGTGGATGCGGATGTGATTTTGAAGCTGCTGGCGGATGGGATGGTGATAGAAGACGCGATACCGGAAGTGAGCGCCTCGGAGTTAATGGAAGAGATTCTCGGCGATTGTAGCTTGCTTTATCAGGTAAGCCGCGGTAGGGAAGTCTGGGGTTGAAGTGGCCCAAGCTCAAGCTCTCGATGGCATTTCTTGCTGGTACCGAGGGGGAGGTTGGGGGACGGGACGATCCATCACAGCGTTGCAGTGGGATGGGATCCCTGTTCAATACGAAGTCTTGTTATGTCACATGTGCTCCGACTCTGCTTGAATCAGACGCTGTTCAACTCCAAGTTGTCACAATCATCATGGCATCAGTGACGCTTCCGAGCTCAGATCGGGCGGAGTATCTTTCTTCCCGGTCGAACGGCAGCATGCTCGCCACGCCATCCCATCGCCGCTGCGCTACGCGAGAACGAGATGTAGTCTACCTAGTCGGTTACTCAAGTCAGCACTTGGGAGGGTCCGATCGCCCACCCTCCCGCGCCTGCTCACCGCATGACGAGTCGAGCACATGACCCGCGCGATGGCACCCTGTTTCTCACCTCAGCTGCTGCTGCTGCTGCTGCTGCTGGCAGCGACATGGCAAGTACTTGCGTGGTACATGCTGCAGAAGTCGAGCCCTCCTGCAGTGTCGTGGGAAGGCTGAGCTCGATGATGGTGCGTCCGAGGCCGGATGGCGTTTCATAGTTACACATGCTTATTACACATGCCAGGAGGATTGATGTCGCTTCTGTTACAGGCACTCACTCTCGCTATCACTTGCGCATTGAGGGGCAGATGAGGTTTAGTTGTGGAATTAGGCAAGTATTGAGGCTAAGTGGTACATCTTGTCAGGGCCCTCTCGCAAAGACCTTCCACTGGATCCAAGGTCTCATGTGAGGGCTATCCTTTAGGCCATCCATCTCCTGACTGCTTCAGGTATTATTGCCAAATCAGTGCAAATGATGTTGCGACAGAAACAAGAGCGGTGTGTACGGGGCTTCTTCTGCCGAAGCAAGCCGTTCGTTCATCGTGACGTTCCTTCGCAATCCTCCCGCTATCCTTTCCCGATTTAGGGTGGCTGAGACCATCCATCACCTTCGATATCCCGTTTGACAAGTGCTTATCGACGGCAATGTGAGATTGTTAACAGACGGCGAGGAGTAGTTGATTGCTGGCAGGCGCCAGGTAGGTGTCCCGCGCTCTTCCCACAGCCCGACCGCGTTCTAAACCCACTCGAAAGCTTCAACAACAGCTCGATCCGGGTGGAGATTAGTTTAGTACGAGCCAAGGATTTTCGCGACTGGGCGGCAGAACGTTCGCAGAGTCTCTGTTGGGCTGCGATAAAGTGCCGCCGGATCGCGGAGTCGATCCCGTAGTCCGCGAAGCAAGATCAGCCCTCATGCTTGATTCTTCGATGAGCTGGTCCAGGTCGTCCTCAGTGGCTTCCCTATCCGTCGCAGAGAAGTCGAGCTCTGCCTTGCGGGGCGTCACCTCGTTCGCCTCGGAGTGCGTCTCCTCCTCCGCCTTGGAGCCCGTATCGTCCGACTCCGAGGCCTCCTCCTCCTCCTCAGTCTCAGAGTGCGTCTCGGCCGACTCCGAGGCCATATCTTGCTGTTGCTGCGCACGAATCATATCTTCAACCTTCTAGCGCAGATCGAGAGCCTCGCCCGCGGTCAGCGGATCCCTCAGCCCGGTGAGTTTGGCGATAAGCGAGATATAGAGTTCCACATCCGTGAACTGCTCCTTCATATCCGCGTCCATACTCTCCGCTGGAACGGGACATGTACACAGTAGGTGTCCGAATACCTTATCAAGGTACGTCAGGACCTCTCTCTGCTTAGTCGGGCTGAGGCCTTTGTCACAGCCGCTATCAAACCATATCTCGAACGTGCAGTAGTTGTACCATGCTAGATTAAGCCTGTCCTTGGTAGGCAACGCGTCGACAGCCGTTTGGCGATCGATCCACGCGAGGTCGTCCGACTCTGCCCAGATGACACCGGGATAGACGGCGTTCCCCGCGCCTGTGGCTGTAGTGAAAGCCATGTTGACTGAAGCTTTCAATGAGTGTTATAATGGAGGAAGCTGTCTAGAGGTCGTGGTCGACGATGACGGAGGAGGAAGGGGAGTATAGTGAAAGGTGGTGATCGTGGCCGACAGAGTATACGGGATCGTCTTGCTTGAATAGGGCTGGACGACGAAGAAGGCGATGGACCCTGCTTCGTGCTTGAGGAGTAGCTGGTAGGTGCTCTACAGAGTATGCGAGGCTGGATTGTCGTGCTCGAGGCTGCGTTGTATGGTGCGAGTGGTTCGGTTTTGTTCAGATGGAGTTGAAGAACCGGTGTGCGTTGCGGATTGGATGGGAAGTTCACGTTGAGAGGTGCAGCAGATATTTGTACCAAGTCTGATGGCTGTCGGAGAAAGAACTTGCGTTGCTAGTAGTGGCGCAAACCGGCCCAAGAACTGTCTTTTCGGCGGTTAACTCGAACTTTATTGGACCGATGTATAGCTTGAGGCAATTATACTAAACCTTCACAAGCCTCCGTACACCCCTCATTTACCAAGCAAAAGGTGCGTTTATTATAAATGGAATAAGCACGCTGGAATAAGCATCGAAGATGACTTTACAGCTATGAGCTGCTTATTACGATGTGCTTATTCTATTTTATTTTTATTTTTCACGTGTGATCCGGAATCCTTCTAATATAGCGCGTACGGAGACTTATGAAGGCTGAGTGTAACTCACTATGGTGGATCTCCCTCCTTATTCAGAACTCTACGGCTAGAGCTATATTGGCGTTGAGGTTGAGGGAGAAGACGGACAGAGTTCAGCCATAAGCTACCAAATCCTTTTCTTCGTTAATTTTCTCAAGATTACGGCAGAGCCTGAATTGATCCCACGACATCGATAAAATCTCTCAATCTGCTAGGTTGCGAACGCAAAGTCAGAACTCTACGCTCTCCAAATGGTGTTTGAACCTTCTCTGTAGGCTTTCTGGTGGGATGGATGGATATACGATGGAGAAATTGAGGCCCAAGACTTGTAGGTACCTATTTACCCAGTCCATCCACTTCCTGCTTGTGTAGAAAAAGCAAGGAACGGAATCAGACGATGCTGACTCATAGAAATTTCGGAATTGTCAAGTCTTCCAACGTATGAAGCCCGGGGGCAGGCACTCCCGCGAGGATCTTATACGGAGCATGCTCTGGTGGGCAGCCAGGTTGTAGGCTGTTCAATCATTGTAGCATTGTTGTAAGATTTGCCTCCTTTTCTGTTTGTAGAATGACGATGATTGGATTACCGAGGCAGGTGGTCTCTGTATATAATTACCATGGGGGGGGGGGAACTTCTTCCCTCGTGGTTCATGTTGTTTAGCGCTAGGCGAGCTTGAGTCTCGGGGTTAACTGTTTACCTCTTCGTCGATATGTAGACCTTTCGTACATACTGGGAAACAACCACGAAAAGACAAGAAAAGAATTAAAGCAAGACTTACTAAACACTAGCCGGCCTGACAACCGACACCTCCCCCTTCTCACCGTCACCGTCACCGTCGCCGTCACTCCTACTCCCACCCCCTCCAGACAGCGAAACCGCCATCTCCGACCCAATAACCCCCCTCACACGACCCTCTCGCGAACCACTAGGTCCAATCATCCAACCGCGCATCTCCTCCTCGGGAATCACGTATATCGGCCGCCCCGGCGGATCCCGCACCGGCGAGCTCAAAGACGACCCATAACCATCCGAGTCACCGGTCGTCAGCTCATCGCCAGAGTCATAGCCTGAATCCGCCTCCCTCGTGCCACCTTGGCTCATGCTTCTGCTCATACTGCTGCCCTCGGCAGAATCGTTTAGGTTCTCACGAGTCTCGTAACTCGCATGCCTAGCATCACCACTCCTACTGCCGTCCTCCCGTTGAGCATCCCCATAGCGCCCCTGATGCCCCTGATGCTCCTCATGTAACTCGCGGCTACGGCTACTGCTACGACTACGACTACCACCAAAACCCCGATCATGTCCATGCCCCAGCCCATGCCGGTACCGCACAAGCCCCGCCTCCTCCCTCCACCGATCCAGCGTCCGCTGGCGCAACCGCCGCCGCCGCACCCCGCAGCAGTCGTCGGGACAGATCAGCACGGCCGCAAAGACAACCGACAGGGGCCCGATGATCAGAAGCGCCACGAAGGATATGGCGACGACCTCGCTGAGGGAGAGGGGGCGGTAGGGGTAGGGGTAAGTGTCCATGTTAAATCGGGGGCTCTTTCTCTCAAGTATGTCTCCCTCCCCTGGCTTTTGTTCGACTTCTGAGTCGTATTTGCTTGCGTTTTTCTTTACCACTGTGCTTGAGGGTTCGTTGGGTACCAGGACAACATGAAGGTGCTGCTGCACTGGTGTTCTGCGGGTAGTCAGAATGTATATCGTGTTGTTGCTATTGTGCAATGTTGTCTTTGAGGCCTTGCTAGTAGCGTTGAGAACTTGGGTTTATCATTAAGCAATATCTACCAGGCGGAGCGAGAGGGAGGGGCAAATGTAGTGAGGCTATAGAGATCCTATTATATAGGAAACTGACCACTACAGGGCAGACAGGAGGTTTTCAAGTTGTGATTATTATATGAAAGTGGTATGTTTGACCGCTGGTGACTACCACCATGATAGGCGGTCAGGGGCAATAGGCGGAAACACGGGAGCTTATCAGAATGATTACGTCTTGCACGACCTCTGTATAACAGACGCGCCAGGGACAAACTGCTATACACTGAGTAGGCCCATGTGGAGGCACTATGAATCGCGGTGACTCCTGATCAATCCGGTTTCTATACGCCATGCATGATTCCACCCGTGGGCAGATTATGGGGTGTCGACAAATATGGCTCGCCAAGCTTCACACATACCATGCATGGTCACATAAGCCCTTGATCGTAGATGGTAAATATTAACATGCTTCGTTGATTTGTATTACTTCGTCCCATCAAGTTGTTCTGGTATCAAAAAACATTACATCCACATAGCACCAGTTCGCTGTATCGCGTACGATACATAATATCAAACGTACACGACAGCGCTCAGAGCTCTGATATGCTCATGGTAGTCGTGCCAAGTCATCAGCCCACACCCCGGGCTTCACACATACTCCACATAGGTTGATAGGTTTCCTTGTTTGCCGTCGTATGCTCGTGCTAGGGCCCGACTGACGGGTTGGTAGGTTGTGTCAGTCTAAGCGTAATCGTCCTTGACTCTCCGTTGGCTGCCCATGTCGTAGCTCCGTGTGCTTCGCACGCTCTTCTTGCGGCCCCAGCTCCGTCCACCGCTGGAGGCCGCCTTGTCTTTGTTGCCGCGGATGCCGATGCAGAACAGGATGGTAGCAATGAACAGCGCGGCCCAGGCTCCCCAGCTGAAGCCGAAGGCGTATCTTCCCAGGCTGGCGCTGCGGCCGCTGGAGACGAAGGCGTTGCGCATCTTGACGAAAACGGCAGTCATCAGGGAAACGGCGAGAGTGTAGAAGAAGAGGGCAGTGAGAGCTGTCATACTCGCGATGGCGGAGCCCAGACGTCCACAGCATGCGATGAAGCCAGCGAAAAAGGCCAGCACGGTGAAAAATAGTCCGATCAGGTAGAAGACCCAGCCGAAGCGCCACATGTAGTAGTAGTACTCGCTCGTGGTGTGGCGACCGTAGCTGCCGACCAGCTGGGAAGGAGCGTTCTGGGGGTTGGCGTCCCAGGCCCAGCCCAGAGGCGGGTCGGGCTTTGCGCCGCCGCAGTTCCGGTTTCCATCGCCGCAGATGTAGAAGTAGGCCCACTGGGTAATAGGGCGCGCGCCGGTGATGCCGCTGGTGTCGGCGCGGAGGAAGTATGTCTGTCTCAACGGAGATGAGGGCATGCCCGAGAGGATAATGAAGAACATAAGGACGATGGAGCCGGCGAGGAAGATGAGGCTCAACGGCGCGAGGTAGGTAGCTGGTAATCGGTCAGTACTTGACTGTTTGTGGTGGTGGCTTCGATGGTCACTGGGGACTTACCAGGCCGCGCCATCTTGACTGCTGTTGTGGGCGACGCCTACAGGCTGTCGGATCGGATGAGGGTCAAGTTTGGGTCTGGAAGCACGAAAGTCGGAGTCAGAGAAGTGTTTGTCGTCAAGTTTGGGACGAAGGTAATATCATGTCACCCCCATGCACTAGCAGGCAGTGAATGGGTTGTTTGGTTTCCCGGATCGACGCACCTTTTGTTCGAGACTGGCGAGATCGGTGTCTCAGCTGTCGGACACAACTGGGGAATGTGGTTGTGTTGGCAGGGCCGGTTCGTTGTATTACTGGAGAGGTGTCGGGGTCGTGGTGTATGCAGGCAGCCTTGAGGCTCTGGGTGCAGCTGGGATTAGTATTATGTGGGAATTATATGTAGATCAAAAGAAGATACTCGAGGAGTGAACCCTTGGCTTGAATGTGATGCGACGGAGAGAATGATGAAGCTTGTTGCGGTGGGAGAAAACCTGATGAGGAGATGAACTAGGCGTTGCTAGGGTGGGCACGAGCCAGCACTGCCAGCACTGCCAGCACTGCCAGCACCTTGCGGTGGATCGAAATGAGGGAATGACGACACTGACGACGGCCTCTGCAGCTGTCAATGAGTCTATGCCCTAACGAGCTTAGCGGTGCTGCATAGACCTGAGCCTGCTGGAGTAGCGTGATGCAGCCTACTGTAGCGCTGTAGTCCGCTGCACCTCGCTGCCGTCCCCAAACTTCCTACTTTTCCTGCTTCTACCGGCATGAATACCTTTTCTGGTGCTAGCTGTCCAACTTGCGTCGCCGGATCCATTTGCTCATCTTGATTCATTTCACCGTCTGTTGCGATCTCAAAACAAACAACAACCTTCATTCCATCGGGTGCCTCTACGTCATCCACACGCAACTGGCAACTGCACCAGAGGCAGCCCAATGCTCTTCTGGGTGAGACAATAGTCGGCATTGGATCTGATGCCAAGTCGTCGTCACCGTTACCATCCCTCCACGCGGGGATTGTCATAACCCTTCCGCCACATCCGAGATCGACGCGGCACAAGGTTCCTAATCCTTGCCGACAATCCATCACCCATGCATATGTACAGACGCACACGCATGCGTACAAGATGCATATGTTGGTTGAAAGTTTCGATCGATTCAACACCAAAAGCCGAAGGTTAACGTTGCCAAGTTGCAAGCGGCTGCACTTGCAATTTTGCTTCATTTCATTTCGTTTCTATTGCGCCTCTACAGTATTTTAGCAGAACCCCTATGCAGAACCCTCATTCTCTTGAGCGGCCGCGTCTCATTAAGCTCACCGCGAGGAAACCTGGGGTCACTAATAAATTATAACAGGCGGTGACGGCTAGCAAAAGTCGTGCCAAATTGTCAGAATACCTACCCAAAGCCTTCAGTACTCGTCCGGGTCAAATGTTGACTCCAGACTGCATGACCCGAGGTTCTCGGCATATGCCTGCCTATATGTGGCTGTGGCTATGGCTGTGGCTGTGTAGCAGCCGAGGCACAGCTCCCAGAGCCGGACAATATATACAAGTAGTATAGGCGTAAGTATGACTTAATAATAAAGATCGCTTTGCTGACCGATATCACATCACGTCTCATTTTCTACCATCAACTTCACTCAAAATACCTAGCCTAGCATATTCAAACGGCATGGCGACAGTCCCAATACCACAGCCGCCTGGCTGGCCACTCGTTGGCAACATCACCGACGTCGATCCTGAAGCCCCCATCCTTTCAATCCAACATCTGGCGTCACAATATGGTATCACACCTTCGATGGTTCTCCCCAGGCTGAGGCTAATCCTTGGTAGGCGAAATTCTGTCCCTTACCATGTTCGGCAAGCGGCGGATCTTCATATCCTCCCACAAACTGCTCAATGAGGTCTGCGACGAGAAACGCTTCGGCAAGTTGGTGGCTGCCAACCTGGAACAGCTGCGTCACGGCACCCACGATGGCTTGTTCACGGCCCAGAACTACGAGGAGAACTGGCATTTGGCACATCGAATCCTTGTTCCTGCTTTCGGGCCCTTGAACATTACCGGCATGTTCGACGATATGAAGGATGTAAGCCACGATGGGGCCCTCTGGCCTAGCAGATTGCTCACATGATCAGATTGCGAGCCAGCTTGTGCTCAAATGGGCACGATACGGCGGAGACTACGTTATCCCAACCACCGACGACTTCACTCGTCTAACACTGGATACACTAGCCCTTTCTGCCATGGACTATCGATTCAACAGCTTTTATACTGACGATATGCATCCATTCATTGAAGCGATGACCCGCTTCCTGAAAGGTGGTGGTGCTCGAGCTCAGCGGCCGTCTTACCTGGCTTCATTCTTCCGAGCGCAAGACCGGCAGTTCTTCGAAGATATTGAGTACATGCGCACTCTTAGCAGGGAGATTGTGGAAAAGCGAATCCAGCATCCGACGGAAAGCAAGGATCTGCTGAACGCCATGGTCAACGGCAAAGATCCCAAGACTGGCAAGACGCTGAGTAACGAGACTATCATTGACAACATGATCACGTTCCTGATCGCCGGACACGAGACGACGAGCGGCCTACTCAGCTTTCTGTTCTACTACCTGCTCAAGAACCCCGAGGCTTACCGCAAGGCCCAGGCTGAAGTGGATGAAGTGATTGGCAGTGAGAGCATACAAGCTCATCACGTTAACGAGCTTCCGTATATAACCGCCTGCCTCCGCGAGACCCTGCGCCTGCAGCCCACTGCGCCGGCTTTCACCGTCACTCCACAAACCGAACAGGGCGAAGTCCTGGGTGGCAAGTACTTCGTTGAGCACGGACAGCCGATTTCAGTTCTTCTGCATGGAGTTCACCGTGATCCAGCCGTGTACGGTGAAGACGCTGAGGAATGGAAGCCCACCCGGATGTTCGACGAAAATTTCAACAAGCTCCCACCCAACTCGTGGAAACCCTTCGGCAATGGTGCTAGAGGCTGCATTGGCAGGCCGTTCGCTTGGCAGGAAGCGATGATGGTAACCGCGATGCTTCTACAGTACTTCAACTTTGCGCCGCAGGACCCGGGATATGACCTTCAGATCAAGTCTACGCTCACCATCAAGCCCCTGGACTTCTTTATGCGTGCTACGCTTCGCGAGGGCTGGACGGCCACCAAGGTCGAGCAATCCCTGTCCGGCTCCATTCGCACTTCAGGCCCTACAAAAGGCGAGCCAGCAACCGCAGCCAAATCGGACTCTGAGGGCCAACCCATCACCGTTCTCTACGGGAGCAATAGCGGCACTTGTGAAGCTTTCGCTCAAACCCTCGCCGCAGACGCAGGCGCCCATGGATTCAAGGCCACAGTCGATACACTGGACTCTGCCAAACAGAACATGCCTACCAAGCAACCAGTCGTCATCATAACTGCCAGCTACGAAGGCCAACCTTGTGACAACGCTGCGCACTTCTACGACTGGCTGCAGAACCTGAAAGAAGGCGAAAAGGTGGAGTCGAGCTACGCAGTCTTTGGCTGTGGTCACTCGGATTGGAAGCAGACCTTCCACCGTATTCCCAACAGCATCGATGCCCTTCTGAAGCTGCACGGGGGCAAACCAGTCTGCGACCGCGGCAATGCTGATGCTGCAAAAGGAGACATGATGTCTGACTTCCAGACCTGGGAAGATGAGATACTGTACGTATACCGATAGGTAGGACCCTCGAGACTTCGGGACATCCGCTAACCATCGCTCTTAGGTGGCCCGCGTTGAGGAAGCAATTTGGCGGAGCAGATGGGGATCAGGCAGCTGAATCCGCGCTTGGCCAGAGTCTATCAATCGCAGTCTCGAGTCAGAGAGCGTCCAGATTGCGAGCTGACGTATCTGAGGCCAAAGTAGTGGCTACAAGGACCCTGACAACGCCGGACGTGCCCGAGAAGAGACACATTGAGCTGCAGCTTCCGACTGAGATGACCTATAGAGCCGGCGACTACCTAGCTGTCCTTCCACTGAACCCACAGGAGACTGTTCACCGGGTGATGCTGAGGTATGCTAATACACAAAGCGCCGCGCACTGCGATATACTGATCGGTGCATAGATTCCAGCTGCCATGGGATGCGGTGCTCACCATCTCAAGCAAAAGCAGCACTGCCCTTCCCACCGAGTACCCCATCAGCGCACACAACTTGTTCTCAGCATACGTAGAACTGGGCCAGCCGGCGACAAAGCGCAGCATTACAATGCTCATCGAGGCTAGCAAAGACGACGAGACCAAGAAGGCCCTCAGACAGATCTTCGACAGCGACTTCGATGCCGAGGTTACAGAGAAGCGCGTCTCTCTGCTGGACCTCCTCGAGCGCTATCCAACGATCGAGCTGCCGCTTGGATCGTTCGTGGCCTCCCTGATCTCAATGAGAGTGCGGCAGTACAGCATCTCCTCTTCCCCTCTGGCGGATCCAAACAAGGTCACCCTGACGTACGCCGTACTCGAGGGCGAGTCCCTAAGCGGACAAGGACGTCATATCGGAGTAGCATCCCACTACCTCTCGCAGCTGCAGCCGGGCGACATCGTGCACGTGACGGTGAAGCAGAGCAACCAGGCGTTCCACCTGCCTTCCGACGCCGGGAACATCCCAGTCCTGATGTGCTGCGCCGGCACGGGTCTCGCACCCTTCAGAGCGTTCATCCAGGAGCGCGCAGCCCAGATCGGCGCGGGTAGGAAACTCGCTCCGGCACATCTCTACGTCGGCTGTCGCCACCCGGAGAAAGACGCGCTGTACGCGGACGACCTGGCAAGGTGGGAGAAGATGGAGGCTGTGACGGTGCATCGCGCTTTCAGCCAGGCTCCCGAGAAGAGCAATGGCTTCAGGCACATGGACGACGTCATGCGTGCGGATGCGGAACTTTTGCACGATCTTTGGGGGCAAGGCGCAAAGGTGTATGTTTGTGGCAGCAGAGAGTTGGGCGATGCGGTAAAGCAGGTTTCTCTCGACATCGCTAAAGAGGCAAGGCGGAAGCGTGGCGAGGACGCCAGTGATGAGGTGGTCAACGATTGGTTTGACAGGATGAGGAACGAGCGGTATAGTACGGATGTTTTTGCGTGAACATGAGCGATGGCAGATATACTAGGCTACCCTTGCTATCTACCAGAGCTTCAACTCCCAAAGACAAGCACTCATTGCGCAGATACGTATTCCAACTCGCACTAGATCTGGGAGGAGACCTTGCCCAAGAGGATGAAGATATCTCTTCAAGTGATATCGCCCCCGCATCCGTCTAATGACCCGAAGCCTTTCTCTTCTTACCCTTTGGTTTCGGCTTGTCTGCCTTCGAAGGAGCTGACGGCACCTCGACAACAATGTCGCAACTCGGGTATACAGTTACCGCTGAGTACTCGTTTACATACTACATCATCGCCATGTTAGCTAGAACCCACTAAAACTCAACACTGCCATCGGGAATATACCAACTCACCGCGAGAAACTGCAGCTGCGCCTCCTGGTGTCCAGGCTTGTTCATCCAGTTGACGCTTCTGGACTTCACGTAGCCTCCACCTTCGACGCCCCTTCCCAGCCCACCGATATATGGTTGGATTGAAGTCTTCTTCTGGATTGATGTATTCTTCCTCTCCTAGGTCTTGCCACACGAGGTCCCTACCCAACAGCGGATCGTGCCAGTCTTCGGATTCGTCGTCTCTGGAATAGCTTAGGAATCCCCGATCCGGGATAACTGGACGGAATGTGATCGTAAGTCCGAGGGAGCGAAATATCTCGTATATGAGCATGTCCGCCCCCTTGAGCATGTCGGGCATGAGGAAGTTGACGGTCACCGTTTGTGTGCGGGTAAATGTGGCTGCAGTAGTAGCCGATGTAAACCCCTGGAATACTTGTGGTTAGCCCCCGCAGCTCTCGCGAGACGACCCGGCACCAGCAACGTACCTGTAGGCCAGCCTCCTTCCTTCCGGACCAGATCGCGGATAGTCGTATACATCGGCAGCTGCACAGGATCGAGCGGAGGGCAAAAACCACCTAGCTGACCGTTGCCTCTAACGCAGTACATATTATACGTGAGAGTGAGACGATGGTCGGACTTGACCTCGAGTACCTCATGTTCGCAATCGCTGTAGAACGCCGCCCACCGTACGGTGGCATGGTCGACGTCTTGTCTGGAGTTGCTCCAGTCGAATGCCACGGTGGTCCCCTTGTGGCGGACCTCGAGAGCTCCTCCGTTGTGCTCCAGGGGTAGGCAGACTACCAGGGAGCCAAACTGCCTGGGAGAGCGAGGGGTATCGACATGTGCCTTGAATCTCCCCGAAGGACCGGAGTAGATCTCCCAAATGGTGTCAGATAATGCACACTCTAACAAAGTAGTCATCACGGATGTTGCGTAGGGTTTTCGAAACCTACATTCAACTTGTAAAGTTCCGCCTTGACGGACCTCATAGGCGCCGGGTTCCGCAGACTAGGCAGAAGGGCCTGCGCAACGGTGACGATGATGCTGACCTCGTACGGATTGAAGCTCGTGGCGAAACACGACGGGTCAAGCTTCTGAGTCTTCCTGTACGATTCATCCAGGACGTCTTTGTCGCCTAGCCCAAAAGTGACCGGTTGGGTGTCGTTGATCAGGTTTGGCAGGTTGGCTTCGGTCTCGGAGTCCAGAGGCAATGTGATCTTCGCTTGAGACGAGAGCCGGTTCTCGTTCTCCGCGTCCCAGCGTAAATCAATTGGTCGACATGAGACCGAAAGCGGCTTTTCGTCACCAATACTGCCCGTGACGGACGCCTTGTCGGAGTCAGCCCGCTTGCTAGACGCACGCGCGTCCTTCTTGTCGGACTCAACGTCATCGTCATCCGAGATAGAATCCAGTTTCAAAGTGGGAGAGGCGGGCAGACCGGCTGGTGAAGTAGTGCATATGGGAATTGTGCCCCCACACGCGAACGTAAACTTCTTGGTCTCCTTTGCCATCCACTCTCGCAGCTGCTCAAAGAGAGGACTGTTAAACATGTCGTCTTCCGACGCCCCGGGTGGCTGGCCAGGAGGAGCTGCCTGGGCCTCGGACTTCTTCTCCGATGGCATGCTAGCCATGCTTGCTTTGCTGATCGGCATAGGAGCGACAGGAGATCAAGCAGTTATTAACTACCGTTGCCAGCTCGCAGAGTAGTTGACGTTCCTGAGTGTTTAGGATTGTAAGCAACCAGGAGGAAAGAAGGAAGACGAAGCTCTTCGGGACGCCTGTCTAATTACAAAGACCTGAAAACGAAAGCTCGTTGACATCTGTCGCACACACTGACCTGGTTGCTGCTGGAGCTCAAGGGGACAAAAAGTGATGTATTATCTAAGTGTGATCTGGCTGGAGGACCTGGTCTGATCTCCTTATATAGGGAGCAGTGGTCTGATATCTCAAGCTACCAGGGAGTCAGACATGTACACTGAACCCTCATAAGTCTCCGTACACCACCCGTCTCAGCAAACAACGGTAAAATTATCGAGTTGGATTAAGCACACTGGAATAAGCATTGAAATCAGTATATCATACTAAAGCTGCTTATTCCAGCATGCTTATTCCAGTATTTCTAACCAGCGCGTACGGAGACTTATGAGGGTTGAGTGTATGTCTCAACCACTTTGCGACAACACCGCTTTCCCGATAAAGTTGTATGATACATGCATGGAGGTTCTTTGTTGACACATAGGCTATCTGCAGCTTTTCACCTTGGAAAGATTGAAGCATTACCGAGGTACAGCGTGACCTTCCAAAGCGTGGAATGTCAAACCCAAGAAAAAGAAACGACATGATCCTGTTGAATGGCGCGCAAGCCACCGTGGCGTCAGGGAGGTGGCAGTGCACTCAACAAGGGGCATTTTGGGACCACATGGCCAGATACACACACATCATCAGAATACACCGAATACACCGAATCAACCATATGATCCATCATATAAGCCGTTCGAAAGATCCGCGGCGAGGATTTGATACCATAGAAGATGTGTCATCAAGCCGAGTTGATCGTCTTTGGAAGAGGAAGCTCGGGAACTCGCCGAGGCCACTGTCGACCAAGGCGTGGCAATCCGGGCAAAGTTCCTCCCAAGCCCAACCCACACATTTACTCACAACGACGACATCTGAGCATGATGCGGTTTATAGCAGAGCTTGTCACTCGCTGTCATATGTTGACGTTCTGCTATATGCGTACTATTTACAATATCGATGTCCACTGTAGCTGTGTCCAGCCCACGCCTCCCCTCACCGCTTCTGCATCCGCACCATTATTGGCGACTCCACGAATGTGAACCAGTAGTTTGGCTGATCGAGCTTGGCGTTAGGGTCTTCAAGTGCGATTTCGAAGCTCGCCACCAGCGTAGCAATCGTCTTGTAAATCTCGAGCTCCGCGATTTTCTTGCCCAGACACACACGGTTGCCAGCTCCGAACGCGAGCATGGTCGACTTCATGCCTTGCAGTCGCTGGGTGAAGGCAGCTTCGTCCTCGCCACTCGCTCTGAGCCAGCGCTCGGGCTTGAACGAGTCAACCTCCGCACCGTAGATTTTCTCATCTCTTTGCACGACCCATGGATTGATGCCGACCAGGGTGCCCTCGGGGATGAAACGACCGTCCGGCAGTGTGAGCCCCCCCGACGGAACCACTCGCTCGAGGGACATGCCATTGGCCGGGGCGATTCTGAGACCCTCGTTGATGACGGCTTCGAGGTATTCCACTGAGCAGGCCTCCTTGTATTGTACGGGCATGGAAAGGTTTGCTGCGAGAAGATCCTTCGTGAGGCGGTCGTAGGCAGAGCGGTTCTTGAGGAGGTGAAACATGGTGGCCTGGATGGTGATTGCAACGGTGTCAGCGCCCGCGACCAGGTTCTGCATGGTGTACGAGACGATCATCTCGGGCGGTGTGCTCGGCAGCTGCATGAACAGGTCGAGATGGTCCAGGCGCTCCTTGGTCTCCCCGGTCTTCGCTCGCTCTTCGTTCTCCTTCATCCGTTGCTGCAACCTGGCGATGGCGAAGTCCGCAGCCCAGCCGAAGCCCCCCTTCCCGAGGTTGACGTAGCGGTTCTTCGTCATCCACCAATCCACAACCGGAACTTGACTAGTCTTTACGATACGTCAGCATCCAGACAAGCGATCCCCCTTGTTCGTGGGAGGACTTACCCGAGCAAAGTGTTTTACCGCATCCACTGCAGCGTCTATATGCCCGTCGTCGCCCTTGCCGTCGATGAATCCAAGTCGCGAAGAGAAAGTGATCTCTCCTACTGCGTCGTATGCGAGGTATGTGATCTGCCTCTCGAGATCCACGCTAGCTGGCTTGCCAGCGCATGGCTCTGACAACTTATCGCATAGATGCTGGACGGTGCTGTCGATCTGCGGCTCGAGCGCAAAGACGTGCTTCATGTCCCGGTAGAAGGCGGAGATAGGCTTGAGGTACTGACCGTGCCATGTATTGTCGCGTGTCCCGAAGCTGTTCTGCACGATGGCACCGGACGGCAGAAGTGTGTCCATTGGCGAGTAGAAGTCGGACTTTGGGTAGGTGCCTCTTGTGTCGTACAGCGTGCGAATCAAGGCAGGGTCGGAAAATGAGACGACGTTGGGTCCGAAGCGGACGGCAGAGCCATACTTGCGGTGAAGGTCGAGCTGAAGCTTGTGGTGCTTCTTGACGTTGAAGAATCTCCAGAAATTGGAGAATTGCGCCCAGAATGGTCCGGGGAAGATCTTGAGCGAAGAGAAGAGAGCCGCGGAGATGTAATGACCGAAAAGGGCGGTCACGGCCGCGAAGAAGACCAGCGCGAGGTGGTTGAACATGATAGCAAGGAACAAGAGCGGAGGCGATGGTGGTGGAGAAAGTTCAAGACAAACTTGCGTTGGTGAGAAAAATTATGTTGACCTTGCGGGGTTTAACTTATACTGTCGGAATCCAGACGGGCGATGGGAGAACAATTGAAGAACAATGGGGTTGATTCTGAGGGCGGCTATCTTCTACAATGGTGACTATCTTGCACAATGGTGACCATATTGTACAATGGTGACCATCTTTTACAGTGGTGACTATCTTCTACAGTGGTGAATGTACCCGAGTTTATAGCCAGGGGTTAATCTCGACGGGACCATTATACTATCCCTCATTTTCCTAACCTGGGTCGTTGGAGCAAACATTCAGCCGCACAGGCCCCTCCTTCCCCTTCTTTACCCAAACAAACTACTTCCTCCTTGCACCAGTGAAAAGACCGAAGTCGAGTGAACAAGCCTGACAAGCCAAACCTCGTCCGGCTATCGTGGTCCGAAATGAGTCTTCCTCCCTTTCCCGCTGATCGACAGCGACCTACGGCCTCTCGATACTCGCTTACCATACACACACCATTATCATCGTCACTAATCGCGCTAAGCCAGTAAGCTAAACAGCAAACACCTCCGTTGAGGCGCCCAGGGCCTGAGCTCGACTGACGATCCCTTCTGCTCAGAAACGTGGGTAGGTCCTTGCCAGACTCCACCCCCCGGCAGTCACCTAGAATCCTCGTAGCCTGATACGCTCTTGCAATCATTTAGCTGCTACTTCTCTTCTGAGCTCTCGAAATGCTGGAATCTGCAATAAACTCGTCTTTCGCAAGTGATAAGTTATGGCAAAATTCCTCGCCGAATAAATGATGGCCATTAGGCGTAGTGTCAGAATACATGCTCAGTGGCTTATCTAGCGTGACAACGTATATGTGTCATCCTGTGGGATCACCTGAGTAGATAGCTGTCAAAAGTCCCTCTCCCACTTATTTGAGTAAGATGGTACCCCCATCAGCTATCCTTCTTCCCTTCCAATACAGCCATTCTGAGATTTGACGCGTAGTCCTATGCACGAGGCTTCGTCCTCTTCAGACAGGAACCGTAATGACTGTTAAGAGACCGTCAATCGAAAGCTAAAACCGGAACTATCCAGCGCCACTTTGGCCCCATGAAGCTTAGTGATTAAAAGTGAGAGGTTTCCGACGAGTACTGACTTTTGCCGGCAGCATGAACAACTCGCTCACGAAAAACCTAGAGCGCCAGAAACTAGAATAATGGGTATAAAAGAGTGCACGACCGACACTCCAGGTTTTATGACCGTCTTCATTTGCTTCGCAAACTTCACTGCACTACGTATTGGAACACTCCTAAGAACGACACAGCGGATACACCCAAAACCGACAGTCCATGATGAGTTGCGGCAGACGGTGTTGCTTTCTGAGCAGAGCAACGTCCCCATACGTTGTGGCGCGCCACCTATTCAGGCAATACAGAGCCACACTTCGCCTACTCTTCGAAATTTTACCCATCGACAAGGAGCGACCACACGAAATTTGCAGGCTACTGAGTGCAAGACCGATAAGAGACGTGTGTGTCCAACTACGGCAATCCAACTACGGCAATCCGTCAACAATCCAGATCCAAACTCCGTCAACTATGGAGCGGTCATGGAACACTTCCAAGATCTATTTCATGGCCGAACCTCGAACCCGCCCCCAGAAGACGATGTCCCCAGGGCTGCCAGGACGGTACTAGTGCTCGCTCAACACATCCTATCGATATTCCGTGACGATGACCATCTGTGGAAAAGTGACGGAGCATTCATGCTTGGCTTGAATATCTGGATCCTCTTGTGGTCTTTCAACCGTCTCCAATAATATGGAAAGCCCGTAATTGAAGAACGAAGTCATCGGCGAACTTGGTAAGACCGTTCCTCACACTAATAAGACAACTGGATGAAATACTAACGGGGTTTTTGCATTAGAGAACGGATGGGCCGCCATGCATCGCCAGGCGTCCCAGTTCGTGGGCACGTGCCACCCATTTCACATACAAATAGTCCACCTAGCTAGACAGTATACCATGATCAATACATGCCACATGCCACCTTCCACCTTGCCACTCTCATCTAGAACATACAGCATACAACGCAGTGCTACTGCCAAGCTATCAGGCGCGATAATGGCATCAAGTCTTTCTTGATACAATAGTGACGCCATACCTACTGTTGCGTCTGCCGCACCCATCCCACGCTTATAATAATAAAAGAATCTCGTCCTCACATTGGGTTTTCGAGAGTCGAAACTCCAACTTCACATTCATACTCCAACCAAGAATCCTAAATGATCATGTTTCTCGGTTCTCCGCAAACTTCTTTGGCTCCACCATGTGAGACGCGGATATACAACGATCAGGGGCCAAACGCGTAGCTTGAAATACGGGCCTACAGTAGACTGCGATGCGACTAAGACGTCATCCGGTAAACAGCTAATGGACCCCGAGTCATGCAAGGCAATCTCGCCTGAACTTCGCGACATCGTCAAGTCGTCCCGTACGTACACAGCTGCTGCATCTAGCATTCCACCCTCGACGATCTACCGAAACTTGCCTTGGGAAACGAACGCACCAAAGGATCAACAATGAAGCGAGCAGCGCCGGATCCCCCCCAACAAGCGACCATGCGTCGCGAGAAGCGCCCGCGTACCAATGGCAACATCAAGGCCACCACACTGGAAAGGACGGAGACGCCGCGCTCGCAGCGCCGTCGCGTTGGATTGATCAAGGCGCTCCGGCAGCGCGCTATCAGGAGGGGTGAAGAGTAGGAGAAAGCCGAGCGCGCAGCAGCGCTGGAGGACATGCTCGTCAAGGTCCCGAACAACTCAACGGATATCCACGGTGGATTGATATGGACGTGGATATCCACACCAACTCAATATAAGAATACCCCTGTAGCCTTAGCAACTAATTTAACGATGAGGCTATCGTGGGTTGATATTAACGTAGATATTGTGAATTTGTAGTAGATTATTGCCTTAGTATTAGTAGTTATATAGTAGTTTAGTAGTTATAATATTAAGTAGTTAAAAAGTTAATATAGTTAGTAAATGATGTTATTTTAAGATAAATAATAACTCGTTAATAATTTAATTACTTTTAAAGTTTTAATTTAATAATAGCATTACGAGATGTTTTATAAATTTTCAATTATTTTAATTCCAATGATAATCTGGTTAACGTGTAAAAATATTATTGACCCTATTTATACGTAGAATTACGATACTTTACATAGTTCCCAAAGATATAACGACTTTAAAATTAAATTAATATATATTTAAAGGTAAATAACTTTTTAAAATACGTTTTATTTTTATTAATTAAATGTTTTTTTTAAAAACAAAGATTTTTATTAGTTTAAATCTGTAAAATTTACGATGTTTTATTATCAATAAGTTTATTAATTATAAGCTTAATATGTCTTTATAGCTAATAATCTAAGCTTTTTAATATAAGTAACTTTATCGTTATGTGCTTTATTAGTGTTATTATTCATTCAATTACTTTAGATTTATATTAATTAAATAGCAGCTTTCAATTTGATTAAACAGATTTTTTAATAAAAACGGGCTTAATATATGATATACATTTTATAAATGTATATTAATAATTATTTAATTATATATTTAATTTATCATTATTATAAATACTATCATTTTATTTAATATTAAGATATAATATACATACATATTAATTCAATACGATATCGTTATTTTGTTTGCTAAGCTTTTTAAAATAAGAATTTTTATATTTAACTAAATCTTAAATTTATGTAAATTTACTACTTTAACGCCGACCGTTTCTATTTTTTAAAATTTAATATAAACATTAATTTTAACTTTAAACTTTATCTAAGCTAACAGCTTTTTTAAAAAGCTAAAAATATATTTATATAATAATAAGCCTATAAGTATAATATTTTAAAAATTTTAATTTACAAATAAGCTTATTACGTATATATTAAGAATAATGTAAAAAGTTAACATCGTATATAACTATTAATATTTCAAATATTTATTATTAGTTATAAGTTAAATATAAAATATTAACGCTTTTTAAAAACGCAAAATTTAAAGCTTAGCTTAAAAACGAACAAGAAGCCTTTAATAATATTAGTGTTGGAACAGGCTTGAACGATCAATCATAATACTCGAGTATTGGGTCAAGGTCATGATGTTGCTGATGGTTGGATTGGGAAGTCTAGCTAGACCTGCAGGTCTGGCTAAGTGACCTCACAATCTGGTATCGAATCTCTTATCTAATCATACATGTGGGTTCTGTATAGATGGTTTCACTGTGGAATCACATGGATCCAACAGTTAGAACTTATGTATTTTTTATAACATACTATGATTTAAATATCAATAATTCTATTAAAAATCGGTTTCATTTCGTTAATAATTTTAAGTTTTAAAAAACTGACGGCTTTTAATTGTTTCAATTGTAAAAAATAACCTTTTCTACGATAATAAAATATTTATAAGTTAATGTTATATTTTGATCTTTTAATATAAACATTATCAGTATAACAACTGGCCTTACTTACGATATAATTTCAATGAAAATACAAAAAGCGTTTATTAAGCATAAAGAAAGGTTAAAAGAATTTTCACAAAGCGCTTAGCTTTATTTCTATCTTATTTATTAAATCAAGGTTTTTTTGATTATTATAAATTTTATTAAATTTTATAATTTTTGAATAAAATAAGATAAGATAAAAAGCTTTATAAGCTAATTATTAACATATTGGAATTTTTTAACAAGCATATTAAAGAAAATATCAAAACTTTTATTAATGAATATTTTAAAAAATACGGCATTTAAAAGAAAATCGGTTGTTTAATTTTTAATAACGCAATTAATATAAAAATAATGATATGTTTTATATAGAAGGCCCACCTTGCAGCTCGCTTGTATTCGCAGCTCGCTTGTTATCTACGTTGTCAATTTTGAAAAAAGCTAATTTATTTAAATTTATAATAAAATTAGAAATAAATAATTATAATAGTTTTTTTCTTCGATAACTACTTCCTTAATCAGGCGATTTTGCCGCCTTAAATATATAAGTTATGCCTTTTTATTATACATATACCTTCTAGCGAATCAAAAAATACAATAAGTATTTTTTATTAAGAAAAAATCTAATTAACTTCTTTTTTCCAATTAAAACTATAACAAATAAGTTCTTCGTTATTTACGTTAAAAGTTAAACGTTTCTTAGTATAAGGTAATAAAATTATACGTTATTTACAAAAAAAAAAAAACCTTATTACATTGCTATTCAATATTACCTTTATTTGTGTTGGATCCATGCGATTCCAGACTGCAAACCATCTATACCAGGACCCACATGTATGATTAGACAAGATAAGATAGTGGATTGAGAGGGCACTTGGCCAGACCTTCGAGTCCAGCTAGATTCCTCTCAATCCAACCATCAGCAACATCATGACTTTGACCCCATACTCGAGTATTATGATTGATCGTTCAAGCCTGTTCCAACAATTTGTATATATTTAACGATTTTTATTATCATTAAGACCATTTTTTACTATTTTTATTTTAAAAGATTCGCATTACTTGATTTTTTTGGAATTAATTAAAATGAACGACTTTATAAGCACTTACGTTATAAGCTTAATCTTATTTGCATATTTTTAATTTTATATATAACTATAAAAAGGTATATGTTGCTTATGACTTATTTTAAAAACGAACCCATTTTAGTAACGAGTTTTAAAAAGCTGATTCATTTAAATTTATAATAAAAATTTAACAAGTATATTAATTTTCATTATTTTATCGCCTCTTCTATACGGTATTTTATTATTATATATATGTAAAACGTTCCTTTTTATTAATTACGTGCTTTTTCTTATTTCTTAGTTATATCTACTTATTTAATATATAACTTATAAGAATATCAATATCTATTAAATGTGCTGCAGTAGATAACAGGTTGAAAAAGGTAAATAAAGACCTTAAAAGGATAAAAAGGTAAACATTCGAGCGTTATTTAATAGGTTTATTATCTAGTATTAAGCAGACCGGTATTAAAAGGCTCTTATAGCTATATTTAATTAAGAATCTCTTTTATGAATTTATATTTAAAATATTAAACCAGATTGATCTTATTATAACCTTATTTAAACCTTTAATTTTTATATAATAACATTTTTAATAACGATCGGATAAAGGTTGTTTAATACTCTTTAAAAAAGATTAAAGCGTTTTAACGAGCCTTAACGACCTTTTATAATAATTTAAACTTTTAAATAAGTCTTTAAAAACCTTCTAACGACCTTTTCAATATTTTACAATAGCTTTAAATAACTTTAAACGTAAGCCTATTAATAACGTTGCCGTGTAACGCGAGGTCGAACTTTTTAAAAAAGATATTAAGCGGTTAAAGCAGTAGATAGCTTGTTAAGAAGAAACATATAAAGCCGAATGCAGTAAAAACCCTTTTATTAATAAAGCTAATGGTGAAAAAGTTAAGAATAAAAACGTTATCTTTTTCGCTTTGATTATAATCTTTTAATAACACGGCTTTAAATAATAACTATTAAAGAACCGATATTTAGAAGAATTTAATCACTAGCGTTAATAATATTTAACCATTAACGCAGCTTTTAAAAGTACTAGCTAAACTAGTAATATCGTAATAACGAGGTTTAATTAGGTAAAAACTAATAATATAATTTAAAGAACTATTAACAAACAGCTAGCACGTTTAATATAAAGGCTTTACAAAAGCAACGAGATAATCGCACGGTTATGTGACGGTCCAGCACCTGTACTCACCTGTTTGGATGCTGAATCATCAGGTCACGTGTAGATTAGATAAGGAAGGACACCACCATATATGCTGCAGCCATTCGGGTGCACGCATACCTGGATTCCTTTCCTTCTTCACCTAGTTATTTTGGGAATACAACACCAAATTCCACCACAGCGCCGCAAGCATCGTAACAGGTTAAAGCTACGTATAAAGTATAAAGAAAGATATAAAAAATAACCTTATAGATGATTTTTAAGCCTATTAATACGATAGTAAATGCCTTATTAAATACGTTATAAGCTTTAACTATTTAATAGCTTGTAATTATAAGATAGATAATACGATAACGTAATTATAATAAAAAGCCCTATTTTTATCAAAAGCGCGAAAAAAGCTAAAAAATAAGAAAAAGACTAGCGTTTATTTATAAAATTCTTTACGGTGAATAATATAATTATTTAAGCTGTTTAAAATAACTTTATAAGCAAAATTTGAAGCTTAATACGTAATATTAAAGAAAAGACACGTTTTGTAACGTAAACTATTAGCCAAAATATCAATCGAAAATTAAATGTTAAAGGTATAGCAAGTACGGTTATTATAAAAATAAATATCTTTTAAAAATGATTAAAAGTTTAATAATAACAAAGGTAAAAATAAACGCACTTAATATATTAAACGTTGTAATAAGTATTAAAGTTACGCCTTTAAGGTCAAATATGTTGTAAGATTAAAAAACCTTGTTGACGTTTTAAGTTTTAACAGCTAGTTTTAAAAAAGCTACGTGTGACGAGCCGTCTAACCTATAAGGCTAAAGGGTTCTATAGGGTTTCTGTTCTGAGGTAAGTCAACACAAAGGACAATAGAGGCTTCTGTCAACTAGAAGACACTCAGATGCTGGGGCTTGGTCTGAACTGGGTTCACTGTGTAGTCGAGTCGTCAGGAGATTTCTCCCACCTTAGGGTTGGCTAAGATGCTTAGATTGATCACTGAGGTAGAGACTGTCTATCTATCTGGTTGGGAAATGTCTGTCCTTATATATCCAATCTCTCCCTCACTGATTAGGTGGCTCACCCTAGATCACCGGTGATCCAGGCTCTGCTGGTCGAGTGATCAGTGTACCGTTGCTCCGTTGCTCCGATCTCTCCACTGATCAGAACCCCACTCTCTGGTCAATCTGTTTCTAATCATCCCTTCTAGGTCTGCTATCAGGCCGCACTGTTCGTTGATTCGTAACATTACGACGCTGTAAAAGAAGTTTTTAATAATAAAGTAAGAGAAAAAATCATTTATAAATAAAGACGCTAGCAAGTAATAAGCCTTATGATAGTTATAACAGGGTTTTAAAGACTTTAAAAAAAACCCGAAAAGATCGTAATAAAAGCGTATAATCGAAGGAAATAACTAGTTAAAACGTAGCCAAATCAATATAACGATTAATAAGCGTAAAGCAGGTTCTAAAGTTCGATTAAAACGCCGTAAAAAAGGTAACTTATAAAGTATTATAACTAAGTATAATAATAATAAAATAAGATTTAATATTTATAATTATAATTAATAAAAAGGACAAAAAAAGTCTTTACATCGATTAAAAGATTATTAAAAATAGTGGAAAATAAAATAAAACCGAACATATAAAAAAAGCCTTATAAGCCGGCTAAAAGTTAAGGTGATAAATAGTTAAGCCTTACTAGTAAGATTTCACCGCTACGGCAATTACACCGCCTACTTAGTTAAGTAATAATATCATCGTTTAAATTAAAAATTTATCGCGTTTCTAAGCGATTTAAAGCTTTATCAATCTCTTAACACTATTCATTATATAAATTAGCTGTTTTATAGCCTAGTTAAATGTCACGGGGCAGCTTGGAGACCAGGACGAAAGTGCCTATCAATATCTCCAATTGTACAAAAATACTTTGGTGAAGAAGGGAAGAGAGATCTGCAGCACCACCAAATCTGGTGGGGTGTGTCATGGTCTGGTACAGGTAGCCCATGTGGTGAGTCCTGGAGCCCGGACATGAGTATATGTACCACCATTGAATGTCAAGCCGCCACGCTTGATATTCGACATCCTTTTGGGAGGAACAGCCGTGGCATGGTGGTTATGGTGTGCGTTCCGTCACAGGGTGATAGATCCCACATCCCGACCCACAATTATCTATCCATCTGTGTAGTAGGGCAACGCGTCTACCCCACCAAACCACCTGATGGGTGTCAATAGTTAAAAAAGACTATTTTATTATAAAGGTAAGTAGTGTAATAGCTAGTAACACCTGATAATTATAAGGGTGTATAAAAATATTGATACTTATTAAGCGTATTACAGCTAGTAGCAGGTTAGAAAGGGTAAATAAAGACTGTGACGGCCTGCACAGACCTTCCCACATGACAAGCCGATACTTCCCAATAAGGGAAGGATCTGACCAGAGGATTCCCTTAAAGGGGCAACCTCCCGCTGTACCTATCTCTCTCTCTCTTTCTTTCCTCTCTAGTCTTGATATTCTCGTCAATAGAGTAATAGCTGCTTGCTGCAGGCTATGTCCCAGCTCCCCAGTACACTCGCCGTGACAAAGACCTTAAAAGGGTAAAAAGAGGAGCATTTAAACGTTATTTAATAAGTTTATTGTTTAATATTAAGTAAACGGGAATTAAAAGGCTTTCATAGCTATATTTAAGTAAAAATCTCCCTTATAAATTTATATTTAAGATATTAAACTAGATTTATCTTATTATAACCTTATTTAAAACCCTTGCTTTTTGTATCATTATATGATTACCTTTAAATGTATATATATAATTAAAAGAATCGGTTTTATAATAATAGTAAGGTCGTTTAATAATTAAAATAAATCTTTTTTATTCAAATTAAAAATCAAAATTTAATATAGAAAAGTGCCTTGAGAGCTTAAGAAAGAGCTCATAAAGTTAAAAAGAAATTAAAAATTTAGGTTTTATTCTTAGCTTTATTACTGTTTTATTTTTATACTCATTAACATAAAGCATGCTTTTACATTAACATTATAGCTTTTTAAAAACTTATTTTCAGCTATATATATGATTAGAAGAATATATTTTATATTAGTAAGAAGGTCATTTAATAGTTTAAAAGCTGGTATTTTATAAGTTAAGTATTTAGCTTTAATTCGAATTAACGTTAAACGTTTAACTTAAAAAAGATTGAAACTTAAGTTTAAATCTTAGTTATGTTATTTTTTATTATTTTAAAAAAAAGATTTACAAGTAAACAACATAGTATGAAGCTAGTTATAACTTTTTTAAAACGTTTAAAAGTACGAATCTTATTACTAACATTTAAAAAAAATTAAACCAGTTAAAGTTTTCAAAAATAAAGCGCTATAAAAAGGTAAAAGCCCCGTTTAATTGTATAAAATATTTCCAATTTTTTTTACTTATAAATAACATTATATAAAACTAATTATAGCTTTTTTAGGCGTTTAAACGTTTAAATCTCACTTATAATATTTTTATTCGGTTTATAATCTCTAGGAAAGGTAGCCTAGAAAAACGTATTTCTACTCTATATTAACTTATAATAATATTAATTTCCGGAAATAAGACCTTTCGTTAATATACGTATATTAATTAAGCGACGACAAGGTCGTGGATAGTGTCAACTCAACTTTACGAAAGGGTCCTGTTGACGTGGATTGAGTTGGTCGGGACCTTGATGCTTGTACAGCAGATGCAGAAGTCCAGCGACGACATGCTTGCTCGATTGGAGGTGGTTTACAAAGGATTCGACCGTCGGACGTGGCAGAAGATCGTGTGTGTTTGCGTGGCCCACTGGTTCGAAATGCAGGCGATTGTCGTTGCCTATGGCACGGCCATGATCGCTCGTCTTTATGCCGAGGATGAAGATAGTGATGAGGAGGAGGGTGCAGAGGAGGAGGGTGCAGAGGAGGAGGGTGCAGGGGAGAGCGAGGAGATGAGTGAGGATGATGGATTACGGAGTGTGCGAAGGAGACTGACGTACGATTGAGACGCCCCCGTGGCTCTGCTCACCAATGACCGGGTACTTTTGGTTTATCTCGAGCCTGGACTCCCGGAGCGGCGAGGCCCCGTCCCATTATTCAGGATGGCCATCAGCATTTGGCTGGACGACAACGACGTGCGGCTTACAGCACGCATTCTTGCAGTTGTAACGAAAGGGACCTATGCTCAGTGCGACCAGACCAACAATCTATACCTGTGGCTACACCCCGAGCTCTTCTTCCAGCCGAAGGGTTCCGAGTCCTATTACATATGCTCTTCTATCAAATCTCTATCGCACCTGCTTTTGGACCCTAGGTCCGTGTCACGTTGCCAGACAGTGAGGTAGTAGTAGTGTCAGAGAACATGGGGCCGGCCGGTGACAAGCCATCTATTTTCAGTGGGCTGGCATGACAGACACATCAGCCCAGGTCGGACGGGCCCCCTGACCTTGGCAAGCTGTAGTTTGACGACTCTTGCGAGATATTGTGACCCACGACGAGCGGGTGACCTGACCCAAATGGTCCAAATGGCGAATTGTATAGTGACTGGAGGCTGTCACCATTTCCAGATTCTTATATGAGATGGCCAGATGGCGATCCAAGGTGGATGTCCTCGAGGTATGTAGGCAATATCAGCGAGTTTTGCAAACGAAATGACATCTCTGGCTTCAGTGATGACGAGTGGTACACCACCCAACTCAGTATCAATTGCTTGACGATAAAGGTAAAGCCGTATGTACAATTCTGTGGTCACCTAGTCCGAGCTCTACCAGCAAGTGATTCTTGACTCTGGCTAGTTCCAGGCATGACAGGAAGCCGCCCAACACTGAAGTTACCCGAGATAATAGTTAAGGTGATGAACAGATAAGATTGGTAGTGAAGGTTATGGATGCAATTCCGCGAGTCGAAAAGGCATGGTATCGAGCCTTTCTCAGCCATCCCTGAGGCCATTTGACAATGCCGCCCCCAAGCTCACAGGCTCCTTAAAAAACGCCGCTATTCATGCCGCACCAACAAAGGGTATCTCGGTCCGCGGACAATGCTTCCATCCATCAACAAATGCGCAAATGCAACAAACGAAATGACATGACATCAAATGAACCCGCCGCCCCCAAAGTCATTCCCCACAATAGCCGGGCTCCGCAGGCCGCGGTGGTGGGAAGCGGTGGTAGCCGACCGCGGCGGAGGCGGCCGCAGACCAACAAAGGACGCATCGCGGTGGGCCGAACTGGGCGCCGTATCGGAGCGTTTCGGCGGTGCTCGCGGTCCCGCGGTTCCTCCCCGCTTCAGCGGTGGCGGCGGCTCGTTCGTCGTCATCGGTGTCCAGGGCCGGCTGAACGAGCGGAAGGAGGGCGATTCTGGCCGCGGTGCTAGGAGGCGCGGGGGCTCTAGTAGTGGGGACTCGGGTCGCGTGAGCGGAGGTGGTCGTGGGGCCTCGAGGGAAGAGATGGCGCTGAGCGGAGATACCGTTCGGAAGGGGGATACGGCTCTGAACGGGGACGCCGCTCGTGCTTCCGGGGCTATGCTTCGGGGTGCGTCAAACGAGGACTTCATCGGCGAGGGCAGTGGCCACTCCGTCGAGTCGGGCGTTAGGGGGTGGTGGCTTATGGGAGGAGGCGAGACGAATTCGAAGGAATCCATCATATTCCTCTCCTTCTCTGATAGCACGGGCCTAGTTGGGGATTCCTTCGTCTGCTGGGATAACGCTGGCTTCGCTGGAGAAAGACTGAAGTCCGTTTCTGGTCTTCTGCGGTGAGATCCTATCAATGGGAATCTTGGGGCGGCCAGGGGGCCCGTAAGAGGGAGGACGGGACTCTCGGGCGAGTCCGGAGGCTCGTCGTAGTTCGAGCTCGCGTCCGAGGATTGCCGCGAGTGCAGCGAATATCCATCTGTCTGTCGGGATTGCAGCGAGTACTCGTCTGCTTGTCGAGACTGGAGCGAGGATTCATTCGTATTCCAAGAGCGAAGGGAATAATCGTCTGCGGTGGGCCTGCGTACCGCACTCGTGTCGCGTAATGGTCGGCTCAGCGCTCCTACAGCTGCTGGTGGTGCTCCTCCACGCCCAAGTCTTGGTGAGTCACGGCCCGTCGGAGTCTGCGGCCGCTGCTCTGTCATAAGGGGGGCGCTGTCCGGTACGTCGAAGAAGAGTTCCTCCGGGCGCACGGTGAGCTTCAGAGGGGATGGGCGCTCCGTACGGCCGTTGGACGTCTTAGGCCTCTGTGGTGGGGCGAGTATGCTCGCCTTCTCCAGCTCTTCCACTCGCATCTCCAAACTGCGTCTCGCTGGGACGCTGCTCGTCATCGTGTCGCGCCGAGCTCTCACATTCTGAATGACGGGTTCGCCCCATAAGTTCATCGACGACACTGACTGTTTGTCTTCGCTGACTCGTGGCGTCGCGAGCGGCGATGGGATTGCCGTAGGTCCATAGTTTGGTATCTCCCTGGCGTTTTGGACTCTCTTCAAGCTAGATGGCGCCCTGCTGCGGCTACTGCTTCTGCTCGAGGGCCGCTCAGTGTGGCTCAGAGGCGGACTCAAAGGGCTCAGTATCGGGCTTTCTGGGGCATCGTCGGCCTTGACGGACTGCGGCGGCGATGGAGGTTTCATCGGCGATGGACTCCTTATCGGGGCCTCTTGGGGCTTAGGGGAGGTTGCTGGTCTCCTGATGCGCAATGGTTCCGGTGTGTTCACCGACTTACGAAAGTCATCGAAGAGAGATGTTGCGTCACTGGGCAGGTTCAGCTTCAACTCGTACTGGCCCAGCGGAGATTTTGGCGGTATCGGCTGTGATATAGCCGCTGCTGCTGCTGCCACGGACGATGAGTCTTTTGCAAAGTGAACGTCAAGGGGGTCGACCCAGGCTTTCCTTCCCTCGGGGGTGCCAGGACGAGATGCTGAACCGATGGCTTTGGGCGGAGGCAAGGCCAAGCTTGTCGATGAACCATTACCCCAGCGGTTGCCTAGATTCGGGTTGGACGAATGTTGCCGCAATAACGAGTAGCTCGAGTCGGAGAACTTGTGCGGGCTGGGAAGCGCGGTCATGCTTCCGTTATTCTGTTGGGAGGCGTACGGGGTCGTCCTAGCCCGTAATCTCGCCGTCTTCGTTGTCTTACTTGACTGCGCGGTCCCAGGCCGCGGTATAGAAGAGACGCTCGCTGAATAGGATGGGTTATATCCGCCGTCGATCCCAACCCATTCCCCATCGTCGAAGGAGTCCTGGTACTGGTGGTTGTGCTTTGGTCTCGTCGACGTTTCGATTCCCTTTGTCGTTTTCCTGCCCTCGTTAGTGGGGGACTCGATGAACATCATCCGGTCCTACTCACTTCTTCTTGTCTCCGCCGCCTATCTTCAACCCGAAGAACGAAACCATGGTGTAGCCTTCCTAGAATAGACGCACACTTCACTTGCGACGAATATCCCGGCATTCAACATCCAGCACCGCTGCTTGCACGTCCCAAGAAGAGAATGTATTGGCTCTGAATAAGGCCGAATGTCTCTCTCCAATGGGACGGCAAAGGTGCACCAGAACTGCCAGGCGACAGTTGAAGACACGAGTAAAGAACGTGGTCGCGTCGTGTGTGTGGCAGTGAACCAAAGTCTGACAGTTCCTAACAGTGGGGTTGAAACGGTATCCTAACCGTGCATGTCGATCGCAATAGCCGCCCACCAAAATCGACGTCACAACGAGGGTTGAGGCTCTATTATTATGACAGGATGCCCTTTCTAATAATCCTGTCCGATTTGGCGATCGATGGACGTCCCTTCTTGGATCGTGAGAGCCTACAGTAGAAGCTGTCTTGGGCGTACAAGGTCGTTGAAGAAGGGATAATCAAGAGCTCCTATGTAGGTAGTCTCGTCACTGGCGAGGTGGAGGAGCGGGAAAACGTCGACGATTGTCGGCTCTAGCGATGGCGGGCGCAATAGCAGACACCACTTTGGCGGCAGACAAAAGACGAAGAGAATGAGAGAACGAAAAGAATGGAAGTGCACAGCGCCGACAGCGTTTCCGTCCGCCACGATGTGATACAAATGGGGGGACACAAGGTGACACCGAGCGCGACAGGGCAATCAACCAAACATTGGCAGACCCTCATTGCGCCAGAGCGATAGTCACCATACTCCATACACACGGACTACGGGGAGTGTTTGCCCGTATTTGCTGCTCCTAAAAAAGAAGGATCGTCAAATTGCTCGCCAATGCGACTCCTGACGAGTCGCAAATAGGAAATAAGATTCGACGTGAGGACCAAACGCTAGAGCGGATCCATCGATAGCACCCGAAACGGAGGCTGCCAAGACGCACGGAAATTTGACAGAACGGCCCCGGCTCCATCTGCGAACCACCTGCATCTTCAGGATCGTCGTCCCGCCATTCAGGGGCACTGACCCCTGCCGTTGGCCGGTCGAGGCTTGCTGATGTTGTATTCTCCCTGATGATCTCGTTTGTGATTAGGGGTCTGGCAGCAGACAGCCCGGTTTGGCTGCTATGCTCCCTGATTGACACCTTGCAGCGCCGCGTGGGCGTACCGTATAATTGAAGCACCTTGCATAGCGAATAGGGGTCAGCATGCGCTAGTTATGCAGGCTTGGCAGGTCATATCATCGGTGCTAACTTTTCATTAGCTCCAAGACAGACGGCCTTCGCGAATTCTTCAGATGGGATTTGTTATTGAAATGGGATTGATGAGATGCGATCCGTCGAATTCAGTCAGGTGTTTCAATGTCCTAGCCTGCACGCTAATCTGGTCGAATCAAGGCGTGCCGATAGTTCCTGTCATCTGATTCTTTTGCTCTTGATGCTAGGGATTAGCTGTGATACTAGTCAGATTTCTCCGGAGTCCGACTCATTCAGCCCAGGACGATCAGATCATCAGACTTGACCAACGCTTCATCCGACCCCAAGCTTTCATTCGGACTGAAAGACATCGTCCGACAAGCAAATTCTGTGGTGCCAGACTCTTGAAGCATTCGACCTGCGATTGGGTGACTACCGTGTCTCGCCTGCGCGAAACCCCGATGCTCCTCGGAATATTTTGAGAGGTGGCCATGCTACCGAAGATGAGGTGCGCCCAAGAGAAGTGCCCAAGCGCCACCATGTTCACGATACCTCTTCGGGCCGCCCGAGCTACGAGGATCGAGACCCTCGTAGACCTCTACAGGGAGATTGCGCGCGAAACACAACTTGCTCTAGTAGTGCAAGCGACCTCGGGCTCATGTGTAGAGTTACAGTCAGCTGTTTTTGAGGCTGGCTTCTCAGAACATATATCATTCCGATATCCAAGTAATCCTCACAGCACATATGACCAAGATACACCATCAGTGAGGCTCTCCAGGCCGCAACCGGAACACCCAGACAATGAGAGCAGACACCGAGAACACACCCGCAGCGAAGAAGAAAGGCAGGCCCATCCAGCCGTCCCCAAGTTCCATGCCCTTCTTCAGAAGCGACGACATGATGGGCGACGCCACCATGATCCCAATCTTCTCGCAGAGCCCGATCGTCGCGTTCAGAGTGCCGACGTACTGCTCGTCCACCAATGTGTTGAGCACGCTGCGGATGATGTAGGGGAAGCTGAAGCCGAGCGAGAGCACGACGAGAGCTGAGTAATCAGTATTATGGTTTGAAGGGGGGCTTCCTGCGGGCGTTTACCGAAGACCAACATAGCGGGCGTCGCGGCGAACGCGACGAGAAGAGAGCCTATTGAGAGCCCGAAGACGCTACCTCGTCCCAGCCAGAGGTCCTTGACCACGGGCGTGAGGCCAGCTTTTGTAACGAGCAGCCAGCTTACCATCGGAAGCACTGCTAACTGCCAGATGATGACGAAGACGCTCCGAAGCGACACCAGCTCTGCGGCCTTTTGCGCTGTGTTAGCAGAAATTTCTTTGGGTAGCTTGAGTTGAGCTCATGATGAGAGCGGGACTTACTCTACCCCAGCTGATGTCATACCGCTTCATTGCGTACTGCAGCAGGATGTTCGAGATGAATTTACCCGCGATGGCAAAGGTGAGCGCGAGGAGCAGCAGCATCAGATGGCTGTTGCCATACACGACCGTGACGGCTTCTTTCAACTGACCCTTCATCAGACCGAAGCCCTCGCGAAGGACCCTCGTGGTCTTGCGCGGGCTCGCGTCTTCGTCCAAGTCTTCACTTGGTTCGTCGGTCAGTCGGATGGGCGAATCAACGTCAGAAATCATTTCTGTCCGCAAGTGCATGGTTTCCGGCAGCAAAAAGATGCCCAGGAAAGCTATCACGATCAAGCCGAAGCCGAGCAGTAGCGAGAGCCATGGGTCTCTGTCTGTGGCGACGCCGCCGACCTGGGCCCCTACCAGCTCGCCCCCGAAGCTCACGGCACCGAGCTGAAGGTATACGACCGCCCTGGTTTCTGTCTGTCAGTCATATCTGTTTGATGTTGGGAATGGGAGTTGCGCGCACATCTTGGCAGCGGGCACGACATCGGCTCCCATTGTATAAAACACGGAATTCATCAACTCCCCCCCTATGAATAAGAATAGGGGCCCGAGCAGGTACAGCTCGATGGGGAAGACTGCCGGGAGGGCGACTACGCGTATCAAGTCAGTCTGCCGGTACTCGGTGACCAAAAGTGTCGGTGGTGGTGTTCGTTGGTTACTGACGGATGACGATCATCCATAGCAGATACAACATGTAGCCGAACAGGGCAATGGCCAGTAGAGGCTTCCGACCAAACCGGTCAGTCGCGACGCCATAAGGGATGGCAGTGAGAAGACCTGCAAGCATCGTAGCACATCACATTAGCACCAGGCCGACATACATCAACGGTTCACAATAGCAGTAGCAACTCGCATGCATACCCGGGATGCATTCCAGCATGTACGTCCAGCCGTTCAGCGACGCAATCTTGCCCTGGACCTCGGGCCCCCTGCACAGTGAGTCCTCGAGCGTCGACTGGTCGTCGACGAGGTCCGGGTAGTGCGCCCGGCAGATGTTCTGCTCCATGATCTTGTTCCGCGAGGGCACCGTCATGTACGAGCCGACTTCCAAGAAGAAGACGATGGCTGCGACCATCATGACTACGTCGTACCGCCAGGTGTCGCCGTCGCTGGTCTTCTTTGCTGGTGATGACGACGACGAGGGCGCGTCGGCTTCGGGGCCTAGGAGGGGCGAGTCTTCGTTTTGGTCTTGGGCGGACCATACATCTTCGGTTTGGGCCGACATGGTATAGCTCTCAATCTCACGATGATCTTGCATCAAGCGCGTAGTCGTTTCTCTCCCTTATACACGGTGGTATGAGGGCAGACGGTGAGCAGCGCGGTAACAAGTATGCGAAAATCCGTAAACCCTCCAATCCGAATCAATCGAAACTAATTGCCTTCATCCGTCGGATGGGAATACCCTCATGACATCTTCCTAAAGCAATGTTCGAAAGGGGCTCTTCGGTAAAGCGATTGAGTTCTCGGGAAATGTTGATTGCTTATTGATGATAAGATGGAAGTCCGACAATGGCATTCCGAATGCCGGGAATGGCTGCCTATTTGTAGCGCCGCCATGCGATGCAGGGGGTACGTCTTATCGGAGCCGATATTGCGGCACAGCTCCCGGCTTACTACCTACTTTGTACCAATCACGATTCTCACTGCTTCAGGGCTGACGAGGCGGAGGAAGCGGCACAGGTAACAGTTTACATAAAGGGAAATGCGCATGTCCTCATCATCAAAGTCCTTCAGATAGGCTCGATGGACTTGCTGAAGTCTGTATATTACGACAATGATGACATACAGCTACGTGTATTGCAGGCCTCGACTCTATCTCAATGATACATTCGGACAACGCACTGCGCGCTATACTAGAGACTTCGACGTCTCTACTGACGCGGCGTAGACGCGGCCTTCCTGATCTTTGGTCAGTTCATGGAAACGGCCGCGTAACTTGGCGCTCCATCATTGGAGGCCCAGATTCGTTTGACCTCCAACGCCCATACAGAACCAGCCCTCAAAGAGCACACCGCCATTCTGACTTGTCGTCTATACGAGTAGACTGTATTGGGGCGTACGGGCCGCATGATAGAACTACCAGCGCTACGGATTACTGCGGCCTCGAGTCTTTAATTCTGACTATGCTTCTACAGAGACTGTGTGCCTGAGTGGGCACATCCTTAGGACTGCAGGTAGACTACATGCATGTTCTTCGCGACCCTTCCGCTCCATCATTGCTGAAAGAGTACCGTCCAGGATTTCCTTTGGTAGAAGCAGGACCTTGCCGTCCATGCATCAGCTGTCAAAAGAGCCTACCCAGGGAGAAACACTCGTTGAGCTCAGAGCCATTGATCCAAAGCAAAGGTGCCTTAAGCAAGTCTGAAGAAGTCACCTTCGCGATTTACGCATCAGGCTGCAAATAGTTTGCTCAATGGAAGGCATCTGTTAGATCTCATCAAAGGAAGCCTGCCTTCAACCGTCCTGAGAAGTTGCCTTGCAGGATATGTATGTATCAACTTCTGAAAGAGCGTGTGTCCAACGAAAGGCAGATTGTGAACGTTCAACCAAGGTTGTCTTGAGCAACGCGGAAGAAACTGGAACATTCATCTGCCAAACAAAGCTACATGACAACATGAGCACAAGGAATCCCCTATGTGCCACTATCTCATGAGACTGCTGCCATTAGTATAAGAGCGCGATTCCCCTTGCGTATATGATCCAACACTCATAGACAGCACAGCCCAACATCCCAATACATCCTACGAGTAGCAAGCAACAGCCCTGCAAGCCGCTACAATGCCCGTGAAGAAACTCCAGGTCCCGCTTCCTGGGTAAGCAGATCAACTTGACCAAGATGTCCCCAGCTGACACCCTCGATCTTCAGTGACGGACCCGTGCCTAACTGCCGCATCACGTGCCACAATGGGAAGGGGGTACATGGCCATGCCCGCTTTGTTGACAAAGCACTTCTCCGAGTCCATTCTGAATTATTCCGAGAGCTGGAACAGTCCGCTCCTGGGAGCGTGAGTTGCGAACAAACCCTCGTTCTGCCTGACAAGAGTTCCAGCTGACTTTAGTCTCAAGATCGACGTCCTCAACTACGTCGTCGAGGATCCCCATTCCAAGGAGCTTGGCTGGATGGTGAATTGGATGCGTGATTATCATATGTCCATCGCAGTGATCTGGTGAGACATATTCACTAATATCTAATAGTCATCCCTGCCGATAATCGGTCACCTATCGTACCTAAGGAATACCGCAACACACTCGACGTCGTCTTTGAGACCTGCATCAAGCTCGCCTCGGTGGCAGACCACTTCAAGATCCCCAAGCTTCGAGACCTGGCCTTGATATAGCTGGACCAACCCATCCGTTACTTGACCGCATGGGTGCAACAGCTCACTGTTAACGGCCCAAAAATCATGCCTAGGTCCCCACTAGAGGGATTCTTCAAGGGCGTCAAGCTGGCCTATGAGAGTGGTAAAGATGCCTACAAGAAGCCCTTTCACGACCTCATCACCAAGAAGCATTGTTGGATTCTCTTCGAACCGGAATTCCTCAACTTGTCGGAGGGTGTTCCAAAGTTCTTGCGTTGGCAGCTGGAACAGGTTCAGACGAAGGTGGATGACAAGGACTACCACCCGGATCCCCCCCTCAAGTGCCAGAAATGCAAACAGACACTATTCATAGCTCCTACCCCTCACGCACGGGGAGGCTACGGCGGCAATCAATTCTACTTCGAGCATGTCGAGGAGGACAATAATGCCCAGCTTATCGGTACATGCAATTCGTGCATCAACTCAGCTCCTTCCGGATGATTCATATTGGCCTATCGCGTCTCTTTTGCGCGACTACACCAGGGAATGAGCATGATAGTGGGCAGAAAGGGGCATGTGTCTGTAGCTAACGGGTTGGAAAGTCATGCAGAGCTGCGAAGGAGGCTTTGAGCGATTGCATGCAGGGACGCACGGCCTGTCTTGGAGGGTCGATGACGAATAGAGAGAGAGACTTGTTGGATCTGTGAATATCGTAGCAGACTAGCAGCAGCACAATAGACCTTCGTCGACCACATCTGATATGAAGTTGATGTGTATTATTTGACTTTCGCTTCAATCGGATGAGCTTTGTCTAATAATCGTGGAATGTGCATTCCGAACGATGCACGTAATGAATCACAAATGAGTGGCGTTGTGAGACTGAGACATCTCTAGACTCGACTTTCACATGTCAAAAGCCAAGGGGTAGCCCGACTTAAAAAGGGCCGCGTTTGATCCTTGACCCACCTGCCGCTTACCCGCTCTGCACCTGCCACTCGTACGAAATTCTCTCGGCGCCTTCCCGGGGCTCTCACGATAAGGTGGCTCTTGCTCCGGAGCGTCAATGACGTCACTGGGGGTAATGGGCACGCTACCTCCGGCTAGACTTCCATTTCTCGGACCGCAACGCCAGAACGCTTAAGATTGACGGTTGACGGCAGCCTGTACAAGACACCTCAAGCCTCAAGCTGCAGCTCCTACTACCATTACCACTCTATAATCATTACCATCAATTGAAGAAAGACAGCAGACTACACCATATCATGTACAACGGGTCCGCCATGTTCAAGGGGCCAGCCAAGTCTAACATGGCAATCGATGGCGGTGCGCCCGCTGCACTGCCACCCGTCGTGACCTCGATACGACAGGTCAAGGTTACGGGAGAGAGAAAGCCATTCGTGCCACTCGACGACGGTGAGAGATTGCCGGATGCAGGTAAGATTTGATCATGAAGCCGTCTTTCGCATGGCAGGCCTGCTAAGACAGAACCACAAGGTGCCGCCCGAGCCAACATCGCAGCGTCATACGACAAGCCCCATGGAACCACCGAGCACGGCTGGGCCGAGAAGCACCAGGGCAAGACTGTAAGCAGCCCAGTCGACAGCGAATAATCGAGGTCGAGACTGGGACTGACCCGTTTGATCCTCAGGTACTGCAACAGCACTGCGAGTTCTTCGACTCGGTAAGCCAGCCGCCCCCTCAATCTCCAATATCGTGACCTAGGCCTTCTCGGAGCTAACAGACCCCCGTCAAGGACCGTGACGGCGTGATCTGGCCCCAGGACACCTTCATCGGCTTCTACCGCCTGGGCTTTGGCATATTCCTCTCGCTCCTATCAGTCTTCATCATCCACGCCAACTTCTCGTACCCGACGTGCCCGTCGTGGCTGCCGGACCCCTTCTTCCGCATCTACTTGGCCAGGATCCATAAGGACAAGCACGGCAGCGATACCAACACCTACGACCACCAGGGCCGCTTCGTGTCGCAGCACTTCGAGGACGTCTTCTCCAAGTATGCCGACGGCCGCGACTTCCTGACGCTTACTGATCTGAAGAACGTCGTGACCGGGCAGCGCTGCATTGCGGATCCCATAGGATGGGGTGGTGCTCTTTTCGAGTGTAAGTCACGCGGAAATTCGCCATGTGGGCTTGGTGGCCAAGGAGGATAGACTGACGAGATGATATCTAGGGACCGCGACCTACCTGATGCTGTGGCCGGCTGACGGGCGCATGATGAAGGAGGACATTCGCGGCATCTACGATGGGAGCATCTTCTATACCATTGCTGACAGACGGGCAAAGAAGAACTAGGGCGTTTGTCCAACGGCAGACAACTTGCTTTCTTGAGAAGAGCAGGTCGAGACATTGTTTGTCGTTTGAGTGTCGTATGGTCCTTCGTGTCTAGGGCCCTAGGTGTGCGTCAAGATTGTGAAATTGGCAATGGATTATACCCCTATTCCTCCGCAGGACAGAGAACTTCGTGATATGTGTCGAATTTCCAAGTTTGCGCACCCCGGATCTGAGCCGGTAATCTCTTTGACATTTCACCGGCAGCAACCGGCGACCAATGCAACCTCACAGGCAACCACCTGGACGGCCGGGCCCAGAGCCTCCGAAGCATATTCCCATTCTTCCAGCAGACGATTGAGACACCACCAAACCCTTTCGAACGCCGCTCGTAATCTCAACTAGAACACCCCAAGAAAGCAGCTCAAGAAAAGTGTCCCGGACTGGACGATGAGTTCTTATGACTCTTCACAGCGCGCTGCAAGTACACCCCTCCGGCGCGTCGAACGACGGATACTTCACGCACCACTGCCGCTTGGCGGCGCAGTCGGTGCCCGCGACGCCGCAGTTGGTGCGCAAGCAGGGCCCGTCGTAGAACTGGCGGGCTGTGATGCTGCTGCTGGATGTGGGCGTTCCTTGGGGCTGCGCGGTTGGTGCTGCTAGGACGGCCGTTGGCAGGAGGGCGAGCGGGAAGAGGGTGGTTAGGGCGGTTAGGGGTTGGAAGTGCATGGTGAGTCGTTCTCGTTTTGGGTTTGGTTTGGTTTTGGGTTTGGTTGATTCGTGGATGAGGGAGGGCTTCGTTGAAGCTGGGAGAGTTGAAGCTGGGAGGGTTGTGCTATACGTGGTGTACACGATGTGCCAATAACGCTTTTCTGTGTGGGATATGCGCAAAGGACTCGTGGTTGGTTGGTACAGTATGTGTTCTCGCGAGGGTCCGCACTGCTTGGTTGACTTCGGCGAATGTTGGTTGAACTAGACGACGAAGACTGACCACCGTTGTACTTTCTTTAGCCTTCACCTTACTTGAAGAACGCGTCCTTTATATACCTACCTACTCATAATGGACTCACTTGTCTTGCCTCGTCCTCATCCTCACCAACAGCCACATTTCAAGGTGACGCCAGGTCACAGACCCCTTCTTCGCCTCGCGCCCAGCAACCGTGACCTCATCCCGTGATATTAATACCTCAAGGATCCGAAACAACCTTGGAAGAAGTCCTACCAAGCCGCCAAGGTCACACCAAAAAGCAAGAAGCCCAGAGATGCGGAGACGGAGCCAAGCCGTCCGGCGCCATCACGTGCCAGATCTGCTGTTTGTGGTTGGGGAGGTATCTTTGGAGGCTGAACCGCGTTATAGTGCGCGGGCTCGGCGCCGAGGAAACGCTACGTAAGGAGGCACTCCTTCGGTGTGGGTTAAATAAGCCGGTATGGATGGATGGATGGACGGATGGCCCCGTCTCTAGTGGGTGGTGGAACAGAGTACGAGTCCCAATGTCGATCTTCAACGACCAAGAAATAAGAAACAAGGAATGAATATAAATGAACAGAGCTCGTGGAGATCTTGAGCGTCTATCCGTCTTGGCGTGTGACGTGCGTACAGCAACAGCAACATCAACAAAACCAGTGAATTGGTGAGGATGCCAGAGTGAGTCCAAGACTCCCGAGAAATACCGAGATGGCACGGCCTTTTGATACAGAGCTGGATGGAGATGGATGGGGGCTGAGCACAGCAGTGGACGTGCTACTGATGTGAGCTGAGCTTGATGTGTGGAACGATTCGTCATTTACTGCCGGGAAGGCTCTGTGTGTCTTTCCCTGGAGAGTAGGTCTTGGTGTCTCTGGACGTTGTACCAGGAGACGATCGGCTATATACCGTGGTTAAGCTGGGTTTTGGACCTTGAGACGTCCGTGGTGGGAATCCTATCATGGCAGCTTGCTTTATCATTAATTACAGGACGCTAAACTTGGAATTTGGACTTGGGAGCTCAATGTGATTCACTGCCACGATGTGTGGTTTAAGGTCATGATGGGTATATTGCTGAACTTCTATCCACTGAATCGATCCCAACGCCATGCGAGTCTGACGAAACTCTGCTTTTCCCAACACCGCCCGCGACTGAGCCAATACCCCAATGGTCCTTATCACAATACCGGCTTGTTCTCGTTCCCCTGGTCCTGCGTCTTGCCATCAACGTTGACTTCGCCCACTGAGCCGGTTGAAGTGCTTGTGGTCTGCACGGGAGAGTGGCCAGCCATGACCCCCAAGTTCACCTCCGTGGATTCATCTTTCGTCGATGCAGTTTCCTCAGCCCCTTGATGATTTTTAATCGTCTTGCCCGATACCGCAACCTCTCCAACCTCATCGTGATCACCTCGCGTTGACTCGCTGCCCACGCTCTTCTCCGCACGAGCACCCGTATCCCCCTCCGCAGCGTCAGCCGCAGTAGCCTCCGATGTGCTCTGCGAACGAACAGCGCCTTCTTGTGCCTGCTCCCCGAGGTTAGCATCAGCGTCGTCTGTGCTGCCCTCGGAAAGCTCCAACTTCTCTTCCACGCCTCGCACCAGCTCATCTAGCAGCTCATACTCTATGTGCTTTTCTTCCTTCTCGGGACGGTCTCGCTGCCGCTGAGCTTCTTGTCCGCCGACGATACCCGTCCACATCGCCTCCAGTTCATCCCGCCATCCGAGCTCGTCAGCCAAAGACCGAACGCCCTTGTCGCATTCCCCAAGGCACAGCACGTCGTCCGCCCGCGAGCCCAGGTCGCCCACCTGCTCCATATTTAAAAGTAATCTCGGCGTGCGCTCCATCGCCATGCGTGGCAAACCCGCGAATGGGTGCACCGTCAAGCTGGTGCCCAGCACAATCACCAGATCAGCCATAGCTGGTACTGCAGCGGCGTCGTAGAAGTCTTTTGGCAGCTGCTCGCCGAAAAAGACAATATCCGGTTTCACCAGCCCATCGCAACCAGGCTTGATGCAGGAGGGCGGGTCCCCACGCTCGACATGCTCGCGCATCTCCTTGTCTGGGAACTCGGTCTTACACTCGATGCAGCGCTGCGTGGCGAAGCTGCCGTGAGCCTCCACTATAAGCTCGGGCGGCACGCCGGCGGTACGCTCCAGACAATCGATGTTCTGCGTGAAGAGCATGCGCAGCAGCTTCCGCTTGGCGAGCAGGGCGATGAAGGCGTGGGAGATGGTCGGGTGGAAATTGCCCGGGTAAAGCTCCTTCGCCAGAACGTAGAAGGGCGCGGGGTTCTTCTTGAAGAAATCGATGTCGAAGACGGCCTCGGGATGCGGTAGATTAAGACGGGCTAGGTTGTTGTACAGCCCGGTCTTGGGCGAGCGGAAGTCGGGTACTATAGGACTTAATTAGCGACTGCACAACTGCTTTGCATGGGGCGAAAGTGACAGCGCTGGGTTAGTCAAATAGGCATACTCACTTCCGGCAGCGGTTGAGATACCAGCTCCAGTCATGACGACGATGCGTTTCGCACGCCCATCCTTGATCAGCTCCGCGACGGCTCTGATGCTGCGTTCAGACAGCGTCTGCGGAGGCGTGTCCGGAGGCAGGACATGGGAGGTCTCTTGGCCCATCTTGAATCGCGGGCGCGGTCGAGGGTCAGATGCTTTCTGGTGACGGGGTTTCTTCTTGCGGCCTATCTTGACCAGAAACGAGGGTCAGAGATATGGTGATCTGTATTGGAAGGGGTGCCAGGTTGAGCTTTACACGGACACAGGAAAGAAGTTACCCATCAAGCAAAGCAATATAAGGCGAGACGAAATGAAAAAGGGAATGGAACGGAAGAGAACAGCTGGTACCTGTAGCGCAAAGATTCAAGGTGACAGTTGTTGCATCATGGTTCGCAATGGACGAGCATGCAGCCCTATGGCGCAGCAGGTAGCAGAACCATCCATGTCGGGTAGCGGGGTTGCGAGCTCTTATCGATTAGATATGGGATGTCGGTTGAAGCTATGGGCATATGGCACAGTCGCGACATCTTCATCATAAGCCGGCTACCCACATCAATACGGCTACTGCTTGTCACTGGCTACACCAAGTCCATGTGCACATTAATGTAAGCCAGATCAAGCAGTACGTATATTGAACGACCAACAGTCTTTTGAGTGTTTAGACATTCCATCAGTGGTATCGTATGAGTGCTTGTTCAGTCGTCCCCTTTTGGTATCCGCACCCCGACTCCAAGGCCACGCTATGGATTGATGAAACAGCCCCTTTTCCTTCTCCAGAGAACCTCCTATATATATGTACCCAAAACCAACGGTTATGTGCACGTGGATGACGTTCCATCCTTCGCGGACGGCAATGCCGCATGCACCTTCTTGTCGACACGCCTATTAGGGCCTCTCATTGCTGTGTGCACTTCCTGTTGTACATTGTCTATTCAGTCGAGGGCCCAAAGCATGCTCGAAAACGCTGCGGATATCATGGCTTATCGTACAAATGAATGAAAAGCATTCCAGAGCCAAAGCGGCGAGCACCTACAGCTTGGTGCTTTTCCTACCTGGCCCACTCGAGGACCTCGAGACCCAGCATGACAAGAATCAATGTGGAAGGCAGGATCCTTCGCAGTTGTTAGCAGTGCGCCTCTCAAGTGACTCTGGGAGTTGACTTACCAGATGACGTAGCTCTGGAATAGAACCTTGGACATTACACCTTCGTACACCTCGTTGATCTGACAAATCTGGGCCAGTTGCAAAGCGCTCGGCGCCCCTGTAAGGAGAAAGCATACGATGATGAATATCGGATCGTCCAGAATACTGACTGGGACGTATTTCGCAAACACGGCAAGAATAGGTGCCATGATGAGTGTCGGCAAAAGCATACGACTGATAAGAGAGGCAATGAGTAGCCGCGTCCCGATCTGTGCTTCTTCCGAGTCCTTGCGCTCATTACCTTTGGTGTTATTAGCCAGATTGGCACCCAAGACCACAAGGATAAGTGGAACCGCAACACCTGCACTCTGAGAGACAGCACGAGTGACACTGTTGTTGATGAAAGTTCCCTCTGTGAAAAATAGCCATTGGAGCCTGGGCACCGAGGCGACGAGAACGGCAACGAGCATGGCCCATAGCGGTGGGTTCATGAACTCGTAGAGGAACTGGTACGTCTTTGAGCATGCCTTCCGTAACGCGGTCAAGCTGATCTGTACAGGCCGCGGTAGGCTTTGGTACGTGCGGTCCAACATCCGGGCACACGACCGCATGGTAGACTCTTTAGCCTGCCTAACGGCGCGCTTCGCACGTACAGTATAGCCCTTGATACCTTCAAGCGTCTCTGGTTCATCTGAATCGCGCATCCGCGGGAACGACATGATATCATCTGGTCCGCCATCAGGTGTCGGAAAGTGGTCGGTGTTGCCGTCAAGACCGTTCCCATGTTTCTTGGGGAAGCGCATCCTCGATGGGGTGCCTTCGTCCTCAGAGTCGGCGAGCGATGTACTAGAAGTGGCAACTGGTGTACGACCGGCTGGCTCATAAGCATCCGACTCGTCTGAGTTGTCGGCATCCCCAAGCTCTTGTTCGGCGGCTGAATATCCATCCAGCCCAGGTATCAGCACCTCGCGCGAGGTGTTCTCGTGGAATCTGCCTTCCTCGGCAGTCTCATCTTGATATTCCTCATATCGTTCTTTGGGAGCCAACAAGACCTGGTAACCCCAGCTCCACCTGACTAGCTGCCCAAGCTGTTGGAAAATCAACAGGTATAGGATTCCGCGAGCACCAACTTCGTCGTCATTATCCCCTGGAATTTTGTCCCAGTGTAATCCTTTCAAGGTCTGGGACAGCGAGATGACGAGAGAGATGGGAAGCGAGTTGGAATTGCCGAAGACACCCATAGCCGTGACGAAGTTAGCGGGTCGTTTCGAAAGTCGAAAGGCCTTGGAGACGCCGATGGATACGACGTAGGAGACAAGAGTCTGCACGAGGAAGATGACGGGTATGACTGCCAGGTCAGCTAACTTGTCTGGTTTCAACTGCGCGGCCAGTTTGCTGAATACTACTCGCTGGTTAGCCCAAGTCACAGTGCAAGACAAGAAGATTATGTGCTGTCGTACTTAGGCAAGGCGTGAATAGCCACATGTTCAGATTCGCTACGAACTTCTGGCTTTCGGGGTTGAAATGACCCAGTCTCGCGATTACGTATCCAGGCAAGCTCACACAGACTACCTCCATGACGGCCTCGAAGACCAGCATGATCAAGCCGCCAAACGAGGGATGTGAATCGTGGGGCGCCATGAGCGGCGACATGTCCAGTCCGGCATTGTTCGACCGGAAAGATGACATTGTGTTCTGGGAATTCGTCCAATCCATCGTGTTCGGCGAGAAAAATGGGTTCGGTCGAGGTGAAGAGGGGAGGGTAGCGGTAGTCGCGAATTCGTCGGTAACAATGCGGCACTGTTCCCAAGAGTGATGTAGTGAATGCCGCGATGTTTCGAAGCTTGCTGTCAGGCCAGCCGCGAAGCTATGACCAAGAGCCCGACTCGGGCGTTGTCAAACAGGAACAGCCAAAAAGGAAGTCAAAACGTAGTTCAGGTGAATAGGATGTTGGGAAGTGTGAGTGTTATGTCCCTTTGGTAGGCGCGTGTCCAGACCTCGGGAGGTCTGGGTCTGAATACTCTGTGGAAGAGAGGAAGTGTCGTTGGTGGCGGGCGGCAGGTGGCAGGCGGCAGGTCGATGGTCAAGACTCAAAAAGCAGGTATGCGCCGCCGGGCCCGTCCACCCGTCCACCGAGCCTCCACTGCGCTAGCCAGTCAGATTCACCGATTGTGAACGGAGTTCCAGATCTCCAGACGCAAGCGATAAGACTGGCTGGGAATTGCCAAGTGCCGGTCACTTGGCATCAGCCCGCTGCACAGACGCCTGCCAAGTGGCGTTTCATGGAACAGAACCTTGGGCTGCTTGGAACCTTCAATGTTGCATGTGCTCTGTCGAATACCTGCGGCCGGAGCTTGGAACTTGGGAAGATTTCACAGCACCAGTCCCGAATCGAATACCTACCCTCCTATCGACAATCTGGGCACTTCTTCCTCATTGGGGAGAATTAATAAATCAGTGCTACCTATTGCCTGGCTATGAGGCTATGATGAGATGAGTGCATCAAAGAAAGGTCGTCAGCCAAGAGGGGTTGTTGGACCTATGCTACCAGACGTACGTAACCTCGCTTCATTACACGTAGTGCCACCTCTCCACGTTGTGACGAGTTACCACTGCCCAGTGCGCTAGAAACGTGGCACGCCTCGTCTTTATCTTCCTCGTGGCCAGCCGGGCTGCGCGACTACATTCCCAATATCACATGTAACATCTTCTTCAACTGGCTACCAGAGGAGACTTGAGAAGGGGTGGTACTCGCATGCGTGCACATAGGAGATGCAGTAGTATTTTCGAGGGTTGCGCGCAGCCAGTCCGGAGTGAAGCGTCCGGCGTATGCAGTCCAGCGTATGCAGTCCAGCTCTCTTCATCGTAATAAAATAGCAAGCGACTCCAAGAGACTTGAATCAGGTACCTATAGAGGCAGCCCGCGACACAGATAGGAGTATGACAAGTCCGCCGCAGCAATAGCGCATCGATGACATAACTCATAACTGCATACCTAAAGTACTTACCGACGGGAACCCTTATCAATTTCTCCCGCTTAAGTAATCATGGGGAGACCGCGCAACCGTGGCCGGGGTGAATAGGTCTAGGGGTAGGTATAGCCCCTATTTTTCCGAACTACGTAAAATAAAAACCGCCAATAGTTATGACGTGGGCACCGCAAATAGCGCAACATTACACGAGGAGAGACATCGCGCTCGACTGACACATCAAGGCAGTGTCATTTGCGGGCTGCAACGGAATGCGTAAGCATGTCCTTTCATCAGTAGAGTGCCAAGGAAGAAACCGTGAAAACTCCCAATAGGGATGACGTAGTGCTTGTAGCTCGATCGAATTGGCAACAAATTGGATGCCCCTGCCGACTGGAATTGCATGTTCTGTGGCTTGCCATGACGTTGGGTGCGTCCCTCAGTGGTCCCTGAGCCACTTGGAGTGGCACACTGACAATCTTCAACAGGTTTACTCTAAAGTACCCACGCCGTGTCCTGCACCACATCCATGGATGCATGCTATGGGCTCCACGATGTCACGGTGCGCATTCTCTATCATGGGGTTTTGCGGCATTGCGCATGTCCCAGTACTTGTTTGGTGATTCCCATGGCCAGGATACGGGTGCTGTACCTAGCCTGCCGGCGCTGTCGGTGAGCTGACCAGCCCCAGCTGTCCGGGGTCCCTGCGCACATTCACCCCTATGTATTTCTCTCTCTACACCAAGCACTTATCATGTCGACATTGATGATTGAGAAATTGAGATTGACTGGTCTTGGATAATCAAGGCATGCCGCCAAGGCCCAGTTATGTGACGCAGAATACATATTGACCATACTTCGCACAGGTGGATGGCTACCTGATGGGCTAGAGACAACCTAACTAAGCTGCGTTTGTTAGTCCGCGCGTATCACAACAGCGAACAGCGGACAGCGGACAGCGATCATCTTCAGGCCGGACCGATCTCTGAATCTCGGAAGATCTACCTAACTGACGGTTTCAGACTTATCGGCGCCCGTTGATTCGACGACACTCTAAGACACCAAGACAAACTCTGATATCAGTATAGGGGAAGCACGGGCCACATCCACGTGAAATTTGGAGAGCCCCCCGGGCCCCCGGGCATCGCTTGAACAACGCGGGGCAGTCTTGTGGCAGTGTTTTCGTGGACACCGTCTCCTGCTATTACCAGGTCCGGGCACATCACCCCTCACCCCTCACCTGCACCATCTTTACCTGACCTGCAGCCCACACACGGCACCAAACACGAAGACATATCCAAAGAAAGAGAGCTAGAGTTACTAGACTCTACTACTACTGAGACCGATAGCCCAAGAAGAAGAGCAGCTCCAGCATCGCTATCCGCCTCTTATCCGTCTCCTCCTCTCTTCCTGCCCTCCTGCCCTCCCGCTCTCCTGTCCAGTGCAGCCTGTCCCTCGCTGTCCCTCTCTCCAATTCCCGCCCAAGGCCCGTGTTCAATGTTCAAAGTTCAAAGTTCCACCGCCAACAACCCCCCATCCGACTTTCGACGACACCACCACGTCAACATTGTATAGTTAGGTATGTGCAATCACATTCAGTCTGGTCTCACGTCCGGGCGCATCTTGTAGATCCGCATCGTATGTGGAACCGCCGCTGACATCGCGTTTCCAGTGTTATCCTGGTAAGCCTCCGTTCCCGTTGAAGGGCTCTATTGCCGCGACGGCAAGGAACGAGCCGCCATTTTACAACCTGAAGTACAACATCACACCGCTAACGAGACAATCATAGGCGGCCGCGGGAAACGGGAAACGGGAAACGTCTAGTGGGTTGCTTGCCACTTCCATCGTCGGTTCGCCATCATAGAGCCTATCCACGTTCAACCGAACCGAACCCCCTCGACTCAGCACCCCTACCCCCGACCAATCGACTTGTCCTACGCTACCGTTGTCGGCACTTCGCTACCCACCTTCGCGCAGGTAGTTGTCTACGTAACTGATTTCCGATATCCGGGGGGTGCGTGTGTGAGCGCTTTATCAATCCGACCCTCCTCGTCCCTCCTTCCTCTAGTACTTCGATGGACGCCGAACGGGAGCCCGACTCGCTGCCAGCGACGCCCGATGAGCTCGCCACCAACCATATCCTAGGCGGTCCCAAATCACCAGGTTCCGTAACCTCGTCCGAAGCCAGTACTCCCCTTGCCACGCCGGAGGAGCTACCGTCAGCTCCGCCCAAGAGAATGCCTTCGCTACGCTCCGTGTCCGATCCGCAGAATCCCGGCCATCCCATGTCCGCCTCGTCCACACCTATCGGGGTGCTGTCTAACGCGAGGCGGCCCGTTGCCGCTGCGCACATGTCGAGTGGACGCCTACCCGAAGATCTCAACGCGAAAATGAGGGCTTTCCACCTGTCACGCCAGGGCAGCTCTCTTTCTCCACAGCAAGGGTCGTCTGCGTCCCCCTCGCCTGCCGCGCCTTCTCCCGGTGGTCCAATTGCGGGTGGTCCAATGCCGAGGCTGCAGCTACCAGGCGGCGTCCAAAGACCCGGGGCACCCTCGTTTCCTAGGTCAGCGCCTAATGTCAACGCTGGGCCAGGTGGCGGAGGTCTGGCCGGCAAGAGGCGGTTCGGACTAAAACTTGGTGACATGGGCGGCGGCCCCCCGGCAGCGTCCCCCTCAATGACTGCTCCTCCCGATGCCAACCAATCACCAGTTCAGAATGGAAATACGCACATATCCCAGATGAAACAGTTCGAGGAGTACATTGATTCAGAAAATGGTTATTTGACGTTCAAAGGCAAAGCCATCATAACAAACAAGGGTGTGGATTTCGCGGACGGGTCTGTTTTTAGGATCTCGTTAGACGAAGTCGAGAAGCTGGACGAGCTTGGCAAGGGCAACTATGGCACTGTCTACATGGTGCGGCATTCGAAGCCGGTTGTCCCACGCTTCGGACCCGGGCTTTCCGGTGCCAAAGTGGCAGGATTGCAGACGGCACTCCCAGGCAACATCGGCCCAAAGGCTGGCGGTAATTCTGGCATGGTCATGGCAATGAAAGAAATGCGGCTGGAGCTGGACGAAGCCAAACTGGGTACTATCCTCAAAGAGCTTGTCATCCTTCATGAATGCGCCTCGCCCTACATCATCGACTTCTACGGAGCCTTCTTCCAGGAAAGTGCGGTCTACATGTGCCTCGAGTACATGGACGGCGGCTCCATCGACAAGCTGTATTCCGGGGGTATTCCGGAAAACGTGCTGCGCAAGATTACTTACTGCACAGTCATGGGTCTGAAGGAACTGAAGGACAAGCATAATATCATCCATCGGGATGTGAAACCTACCAACATTCTTGTCAACAGCAGGGGCCAAGTCAAGATTTGCGATTTTGGCGTGAGTGGCAACCTCGTGGCGAGTATCGCGAGGACCAACATTGGGTGCCAAAGCTATATGGCTCCCGAACGCATCTCTGGAGGAGCTTTCATGTCGTCTGGTGCATCGGATGGTACCTACAGCGTGCAAAGCGACATATGGAGCCTTGGCCTGACCATTATTGAATGTGGTATGGGGAAATACCCATATCCGCCGGAAGTGTCTTCGACAATATTCAGTCAGCTCAGCGTAAGTTTTTATTCCGCGGGCAGTCCTGATTTACTAGGAACCTCTGCTGACGGTGCATCAAGGCCATTGTGGAAGGAGAGCCACCGGATTTGCCAGCACAATATTCGGAGACATCGCAACTATTTGTTCATGGGTGCTTGAACAAAGTGCCCAAATTGAGACCGACATATCAGGCCCTTTTGGCCTCTGAGTGGCTCAAGAGTTTAACGAAACCCGAGACGATTACAGAGGAAGACGAGGAAGCCGAGGAGAATGATGCTAGCGCAGAGGCGCTCGCTGGAGCAGCAAGTAAGGCTAATTTCAGCCACTCGACTACTGAAGATCCCGAGGTCGCGTCGTGGGTCCGAGGGGTACTAAAGCAGAAGTCCAACGGACAGTATGGTGAGGTGTCTGGGAAACCAGCGCTTCATGCCGCTCCATTAGATGCTGTGAACAGCCCGTTGGCCAGCCCTCAACTGGCGAAATAGACAGCGGGAGATGGTTTACGACGACAATGAGCTTATAGAACAAAAGACACAGCGCCAAGGCAATTCGCTACTACGTGGAAGAGATTTCCCTGCAAGACATGTTGACCACGATGGCCCGGAACATAGCATCATCTGGCGTACACAGTTCTTTCGATGACGGCCAATCACCGGGTGCAACAGTGGTTTTGCTTTGAAGCTGGGTTCCCATCCCGGGAGTAGAAGAGATATTTTCACGAAGCGAAAAGGGCATTGGGCGGCGGATGCGGCGTCTTTGTATACGTATTCGGGATATATTGGTGAAGGGACGACCCGGTATTGAAGACGAGGAACTTGTCGCCTTGAAATCAGGCATTGACCAAGACGGCGAAGGGAGTTTGTACACTCGGAGGAGTCTCCTTTCGTCTTTTTTTGCCTACTCAACTGTATATCCTTTCGATTGGCATTCATCGTGGGCAAAGACAGAGACAGGGTCAGGAATAGGAAATCAGCATTCAATCGTTCATTTCCTTGACGCATCGTGATTGGCTTTGAGAGAAGTCGGAGAGCACGAGAAGACACGGAAAAAGTAAGGACGGACACAGCTCTGGTATTCTGGGTGAGGGTTGGGATGGGAAGGCTGGCTACCTCGCTCTAAGTATGCGCTCTTTGCGTGTTGCTGTCGTCGTCAGTGTTGCCTAAATTGTATTGGAAAAGCTTACTAGGAAAATGAGGAAGTATTTAGATGCTCTGGTGAGACTTGCTGCCTGCCCATGACTTTAAGTAAGGTAGGTATCTAGCGCCGACTTCTACGTGGATCATCGATGCCGTGGCTCAAGTGAAGGTTGTCTGTGTGCCAGTTGCGCTTCTGGTACATCGGGTTGGGAGATGGGTCGGGGTTCGGGATGGTATTTCAGGGAGTGAGGACGGCTTGGGTGACGATGGGGTTTAGGGACATATGTGGGTGGGATGGGAGCTCGACTGGGATCGGTGGACATGCGCGGTAAGCTATGTTTTCATGTTGTAGTAGCTGTAGATGCGGTTTGGTTCTCTATGGAGGGTGCTTGGCTTGTGTACTGAGCCTGGTGAATAAGGGGGTGGGTGGGGGTGTTTGGAGACTAGAGTGGTGGAATAGGAGGGCGGTGTGGCTGTCGGTAGTCTTCGTTGTTGGGTGTGGGGAGTGTCCTTCTTTCATCCAACGAATGCTACTCAAGAAGTTGTTGCGTATAAGGGTTACATGGACGGGCTACGAACGTTATTTGGTGGTTGTGCTTCCCGAAGGGTTTGACTAGGTAGGTGGTTTGGGAGCGGATGTCCGTGAAGGAAAACGCGTCTTACATCGTGGCTTCAGAGCTTTGATGTTGTATCGCGGATGCGCATGGGTACTTTATTCGGATAATCCTTCAGGTCTCAAGCTGTCGGTTGTTAATCGGGCCAGTTCCAGTCCAGAACACAACCATTGCCCGGGAATGCAGGAGAAGACAAACCGATCCAGCGAGGCAGCGAGCTTGCTGTCGCGTACAATGGGACGCCAGTCTGGGGATCAGTGCTGTACACCACGACCCAGTCTATGCGACTGCATCACAACAATACGGGCCACGGCTGGGCAGCATCGAGTCCTATGGTGGCATGTTCGGTACAACTGGAGTCTACCAACGACGGGCATGAAGCCCTGTCACCAATATCTTGTCCTTGGTGTGAGCCGTAGCAACACAGTGCCCCTATGTAGCCTACACAGTATATCCTGCTCGCCCTGGTCATAGCCTCCTGGCCTCCTTGTGTCCCAGGTTGGGCAATTATTGCGCGATATCTTCCTTGGTGTAGATCACGCAGCTGCGGTATAGCTCATTCTATCCATCAACCCCTATATCGCCTACGACATCGAAACATGTCCCCAGTGCGCTAGAATGATCTGCTATGTCAAGCAGGGCGTGTTCCAGCTGTCTGGATGCTAATATGGCCTCAAGAGAACGTGCTCCGCACGCAGCTGCGGCCCCTATGTTGGCGTTTGAGCAAGTTTCAGGCAGTGCCTTGTCCTATTCACCATCTGTTCTCAGCCGGTGGCTCGTGGAGATTTGGATCTCCGCATTCAGCTCGCAGGACCGTTGATTGTGGTCTGTGAGCTCGATCGGTAGGTCCTTCACGAGAGCAGGCAGTGTTCCGACATATTTCGGGTCTGCTTTCAAAGCACATTTGCCGTAGCATGGTCAACATTGGGTTGGTGGGCTCTAGGCTTATGCGAGCCCCGGCTGCCAGTCACCGCACGATCTGGTGGCGAACGAAATGTAATTGTCGGGTATTTGCTGGTCTAAATGATGCCTGAATTTCTCTGGTGAACGAACAGATGCTGTCGTCTTGGAGACCAGACCGGGCCAAGTCGTAGGCATCGAAGAAGAATATGTGAAGAATAGGCATCAATTACGGCAGTCCATGCTCTCCTCTCGGAAGATACCCTGAACATGAAGTAGATCTACTTGATGTTACTCCGGGACATCATGGGATCCATCGACTCCAGCGCTGATGTCGGTTAAGCGACGGCCTTCTGTACACGCTGGGACAACACAAGCATGTTCATAGACTCGTACGTTGTTGACCTAATGAAACTTGATGCGCACAGCTGAGGGCAAGATTTCGGGTCTGCGAAGGTCGATGATGCCCGGATCTTCCATCAATGACATCCACAGCTGTGATGGAGTCCGCCGGTGCTTGGCTTGCTGGCTTTCCCAGCACTTCCTATGCCCCTTGCGGCCACCACGATGCCCCCTTTTCATCACTTGAGAGGACAGGGCAAATGGAGATGTTTTCATGTCTCTCAGTAGTCGTTTCTCAAGCGTTGAACAACTCTTACTCATTATCTCCAAGCTTTGGGAGCGGCACGTGTGAATCTGAGTCATTAGCCTCACGCAGGACATGGTTGTAACTGTTTATCTCAACAGCCCGCATGCATGTCGTGAGGCTCCATGTCTGGAATTAACGTGACTTATACATCTCACTTCTGTGATGATATTTAGGTCATCATGCTCAGCTCCATGCCGCCAAGTACTTCCAGAAAGTCTCTGCTTGAGTTGCTTGAAATCTATCGCTGTGTATTGACCGTACTATTAACACGATGGTGGTAACCCGTGGTTAGATAAATGTGGCATCAGCTAGGGCCTGATTCGCCAGGTTTTGTTTCTAACAGGTCGTTCCCAGACCGGCCCCCCTTTATCGCTGGCTCCTGTCCGAAAAATGTCGCGGCTGTGTCGGAACAACAATGCGCACACCAAATGCCGTGCCTGACCGGTTGCCTTGCAGTAAATTGCACTCATGCATGTGCGTTTTCCGCCGCTCAGGCCCTGATGCCCTAACCACCCTGGACCTGGTGCACAATTATTCATGGTGGCTGGCAGGTAGCCTGACGGTCTGCCTTACAAGGCGCCACCACGCGTCAGAGGCAGTGCAGGTCCAGGGATCACTTACTCCAATCCCGTCAATCAGCTGGATGATCAATTCATCCATCCCCGCTCAACCAACTTTGACATTTCAGATATAAGACTTCAGACACGTTGGGCGCGGCATCAACGCCCAAACCGGCTCCCGACAGTCCTAGCATACAAAAGCTACAATCAACGTCCTTCACGAGTCCAAATTACTGGCAATTACTCTCAAAATATAGTGTTTCTTAAGGGAGCCTGATGGCTGAAGCTGTAGCCTTCGGCGCCAGTGTTGTGGCCTTCATCCAACTAACCGACCGCGTCATCAGTCTCTGCAAGCGGTGCATAGATGCAGCAAGGGAAGGTGGTCCAGCCGAACTTCGCTCTATCTTTATCGAAACGACGGCTCTCAAGTCCATCCTTGAGAACCTACAGTTCCTACATGGAGCCGACAGCCAGTTTCCCCAGGATATCCAAGCGCAGACTGCCCCGCCTATGCAAGGTTGCCAATCAGCAATCCAGATGCTAGAGAATGAGCTGGCGAAATTGTCTATCTCGCCTGATGGGCTGACATCTCCGAACGCGCCCTCTAAACGTTAGAGAGTCAAGCAATCGATTCAGTGGATGGCTGGAGGGGCAGAGAGAGCTCGCAAGCTATTGCAGGAGATTCATCAGCACAAGACGACCATAAGCCTCGCGTTGACCGGAGATATCTCGTGAGTTTCTTCTGTCAAACGACCATACTTGAGCTGGACATCAGGCTTTACTAAAGACATCGTAGGCGCGAGATCAAGGATGTCAAAAGAACCGTCATACGGTGTTAGATAACTGCACTCGCAAGTCCCCCTTGTGCATTGGATTCTGGGATGGCCTGGTACTTCGCATGTTGCTAACTGATAACAGGAGAGATAAAACACCAGGTCCTCAAGTGGTTGGAACGGACAAACCCCTCTCCTCTACATAACCAGTCTCGTCAACTCCATGAGGATCACACGGGTCAATGGATGTTGCGAAACCAGGAGTGGCAGAAGTTCCGAGAAGGACATTCACGCTCTTTATGGATTCATGGTATCCCTGGTGCTGGGAAAACCATTCTCTCATCATACCTGATTGAGCAGCTACAGCAACAACAACCCTTGGGCGTCTCTCGATATGGGTGTACCTACTACTATTGCTATTTTGGCCACAACCAAGATGAAACCGAGCCACTCCTTAGATGGATCATCGTTCAACTCTGTCGGCAAGCAAGCAATTTCTTGCCTCAGGGGCTGGCCCTTGCGCATGAAAGGAGCCTCGAGCCAACTTGCGAGCAGCTGATGGATTACATTGCCAAAGTTCTCGATCAGTTCGACGTCGCATTTCTAGCAATCGACGCAGTGGATGAGAGTAAGCCGGTGGAGAAACTCTTATCTGTTCTGGAAATCCTCGGCACCGACCTCCGATACGAAAAACTGAAACTGCTCATCACGAGTCGCAAATACGTCGAGATCGAGTGTTGTATGGCAAAGTTCTCTGTGCCTGTGTCCATGTCGGACTCAGAAGTAGAAGAGGACATCCGCCTATACGTAAATTCTACCCTCAAAGCAGATTCCAAGTTTCGATGGCATACCCAGTCCCTACGCACCGAAGTCGAAAAAGCGCTGGCCAAAGGAGCTAAAGGAATGTAAGTATAGCAGTCAACAATTTCCTATTACGTAGGAGAGGTTCTGACACGGGATGCAGGTTCCGTTGGGCTGTCTGCCAGATTGACATACTCCGGAGGCTTAGACACCCTTCAGACATCAGAAGAGCTTTAGCGGCGCTGCCGGAAACACTCGATGAGACTTATGAACGAATTCTATCATCGATCCCGGGAAGGGATCGAGACTTCGTCCGGGAAGTACTCGAGACTCTCGCTGTGCAAAGCGGCTACTCAGGTTCCGACTGCGAAATGACTTCCTCGGAGCTCCTTTCGATCTGCTTTCACCGGCAAAACCCAACAGCAGCTAAATACCAATACTAAGACGTGAGCCACATTCGCGAAATCTGCGGATGTCTTGTGCGAATCATCAATCATGACGACAATTTACCCGATAATGGCCATGTTTCCAATGATGACCAGGTTTCTGAGGGTCAACTTGATTCCGAAAGTAACAACAGCGCAAAGAGCAAGAACGCCTCTCCTGGCACCGCGACATACGAGTCAGCCAGAGATGTGAGCAACAACACAGAGGACAAGGTCCTTTTGGCACATTACACCGTGAAAGAATATCTATACTCAGATCGAATAATACACAGTGAAGTGCCAGGGGTATCGCTATTCGCTGTTTCGGCGGAGCCTGCGGTTAGAAAATGGATAAGGACAATTCTCGAAGTCAACAAGGCCTCCAAGTCTGGGTTGGATATCTTGCCCATTGGTGTCCTTCAAAATTACTGCCTCAGGGCCACCGAAATAGTTTTGGGCACGTCAGAGGATCTACTTCTGAAGTATAGCGATTTGGGTGATCTCGCCGAAGAGCTGTACAACCCCTATATAGGCCAGCGCCCTGCGGTAGGTGCCGGTGCCGAGCCCAAGTCCGTCGCCCCATATAGCGAGAGTACCGCCGCTTTGTACGTTTTGGACGGTTATCTCTACCTGGGGCTTGGAGCAATGGCAGAACGGAAAATGGAGAGTATCAAAGCCGAGACGTTGGTATCTACCCGGCTGGACAGAATCGATATCGATGAAATTTCCGGATGTTGGATGGAGAGGCTGGAGGGATCCCTATTCTTCAATATGGGCACACCGCGAGAAATGCGCCTTTTCGACCCTCATGTTACGGACCTGCTGTTTACGAAACTTATGCTCGAAGTTGACAGGGAGATCCTGATTGCGGCCTTCACGGCTAATCACCTGAATCTCTGTCCTCATCACGACATTAGAGACATGCCATGTTATATCCTGCAGGCCCTGGCGATACCAAGGACTACCGTCCCATCGGCATGCTGGATGACGCCAATCCAACTCGCTGCCTACGCCCACGATTATTCCGCAGCGAAGATGTTGTTAGAAGCCGGTGCGAACCCGAACGCTCTTGGCAGGCTAGGCAGCTTCAGATCAGCAGATGTCGATCCCGAATTGGGGGACGAGCTGGTATTCACCAGCCCCCTGCGTATCATGAGGACCAGAAGAGCATCCATTGAGAAGGATAATGGTGTAGAGATGGAGGAACTGCTGATCAGCTACGGAGCACAAGACTTTGAGTCGATGTACGATTTACGATTTATTTTAACCAATTAGGTCGTGGACGAGCTACGAAGGTTTGTCTGTCCCAGGTACACTAAATCCCCATGAGTTTCCGTACGCCACCCGTTAGCAAGCAACGGTAAATTTATCGAATCGGTATAAGCACTATGGAATAAACATTAGGAATGATGTATTAAGCCAGAACTGCATATTCCTGTGCGCTTATGCCGTTATTTCCCAATTTCTATGTGTGATCTAGATTCCTCCCAACATGGTGCGTACGGAGACCTATGAGGGCTGAGTGTAGACTCTCCAAGCCGAGCGATAGATGGGACCAAGCATGGTCCCAAGTTCATCGATGATAGATGAAACTCAGCCTGACGAGTGACAATTTTTGGGGACCGGTACTATTGACCTTCACTTGTGCAGGCTCATACACCTTAGGTAGAGCAGCGCCCATGCTGGATATGTTGTCGTGGTATCGGATTCCTCATACAGCTGTTGCTCAGGCACTTCTTTTCCGTGAAGTGGAGTACCTTCTCGTCTCGACTTTGGGTGGCTGCGTGAGAGAAGGGCATGTTGTGACGTAGCATCCCTTAGAATGGCTTTTCCCATCACTATCAAAGTCATCGTACATGGTCGAGGGAGATCAGGGCGAGAGGGTCTTTATCTTCATACTTTATTTATGCTACCTCTGGTATCGTGAGATAATGCATGGAGCGTTGAAGAACCTTGGCTACCAGGGTTGGCAGCCAATCAACGACTGGCCTACGCGCTCTTGACACTCTCTGGTCTTCATGATGACCCATGGCATCTAGTGGGCAGTCACAGTGGGACCGATGTGACATGGGCGAGGCTCCCGACGTCACTAATACTTCCTCGGCTGGGGGGCCCTGGTCGTCACGCCGCGGCCCGCAGGATAGAAGAGCCACGGGACCTTGACAAGTTGAAATACCTCGTGCTTTTCCTATTATTCTTCTACGGTCATGCTCTCAACCTGGACCTGTCATGGCTCCGCCACACAACGCCGAAGAAATGCACCCAATCGAGCATGTTAATGCGCTCGACCCGGGACCCAATCCCCAGGAGAAGTCCAGGATTCCAACCGGCGCAGCACAGATAGACTGGTCAGGAAGCTCACACGAAATAAATGGGAGGCAGTTCCAAGGTTACATGCCAGGAGGTCAGTAACATACACAAACCCCATGAGTCAGACCGTCCTGATGATCAGACAGCGTACAGCCTCCCCAACAACGGAGACGAACAGGATCGTCTGGATATACAGCACGCCCTTATCAACCTGGTTCTCGATGGCAAGCTCTTAGCCGCCCCAATCCAGTCTCCCGCCTACGTACTGGACATAGGCGCGGGCACTGGAATCTGGTGCATCGAGTTCGCCGAGCAGAACCCCAACTCATTCGTCTTCGGCACCGATCTGTCCTTGACTCAGCCCCCTCCCACAACGAGCAACTGCGTCTTCATCTTGGAGAACTCGGAAACGGCGGAGTGGATGTTTCCGTGCACACTTGACTACGTCCACATGCGCAACGTCGGCCCCTGCTTCGATGACATCCGAACTGTGCTTCGGAAAGCGTACATGAATGTGACGCCAGGGGTTTGATCGACCTGCAAGACGGATACTGGGACCCCCAGTGCGTGGATGATAGCCTTGAAGGCACTGCCTTGCAACGATGGTTCCGACTTGTTATCCTGGGCGGGCAACGGCAGGGACGAGACTTTCTGAAGGCAAAATACCACAAGCAGTATCTCATCGAGACCGGGTTCGTGGGTGTGGAAGAGAAAATGCGTCAGCTTCCTGGCAATCCATGGGCTCATGACCGAAAGCTAAAGGAGGTGGGAAGGTGGGCTAGGACGGCTTTCATGCGGACGGTCGAAAGCTACCAGGCGTTCCTCGAATTTGCTGGTCTCTCAGCCCGAGATAGATGAGCTCATCCCAGCGGTGAAGAGAGATCTCCTAGACAACAGCATTCGCTGGTACTGCAATGCGTGAGCAACCCTATCATCAAGAATGAGCCGAGTTAGCCCAATATTACGTGGCGTATACTGACATGGGTTTGCAGGTATTTTGTTTATGGTCGGAAGCCTCTTCCGAGTGATCTTATTCAAGGGCTTCACCAAACGGCGACTGCCCGGCCGCAAATGTTCTAATAACAATCCCCTTATGGCACGATATGTCGATATACAAGACCATATATTACTAATGCATTCTTAATATTTCACCGTTATTAAGAAGGGCAAAGTCGAATTCAACCTAGGCGTTTGAAGCAGTCCATCATCTTCCAGCATACACACCATCGACAAGTCCGACCTATCTCTCAGTTGGTTATTCGAACGCTGGGCTCAATGAGTGCAGCTCCGATGAGGTCGCCGTTGGGAATATCGTTGTCCTCTGCTCGTAAAGCGGCCGCTTCTCTAGAAGTCTCGATGCCGGCTCGGAGATGGCGCTCTATCAGTCGCTCTCGCGCCACAATCGCCGGTACAACCACGAACCACCTACAGCAGCATTTCTCAACAGGCTGAATAAGAGTACGACATGGATTGTCTTACCTGTCATCAACCAGCTCCGATATCTCGTCCCAAGGCGACTGATTCAAGAGCGTATAGTTACCCTTCATGATCACGACCTTACTTTTCGATGAAATGTGGATGTCATCGAGGACTGGATCTTGGACCCCATGGTCGAAACTGGGAGCGGTGATGATCATTTCTTGATGCTCGTCGGTAGTTACCGGTATAGTCTTCAGAGTCAACACCAGTTCCAGAAGGCCAGCCGCATCGAACGTGAATGGAGCCCCTCGTTTGCGAAAAGCTAGTGCTGGGTCGTCGAAGGAGAATAAAACCGACGTGGAGTAGTGGAAGCCGTCCTGTCTTAACGATCAGCATTTATTACCCAACTGATCAATGGGCTCAGTGTACCATGGGTACTACGACGATGTCTTCGTTGCCTTGGCTTCGCAAGGCCTTTAGCAGTGCTGCGGAAACAGTCGACTTGCCTGAGCCTGGCACACTAGCCAAGGCAGTCAATACGCGTTCATGCTGGCGAGACGCGTTTTGCTTCAACAGAAGCTCTATGCGTGCGCACAGAGACGCCACCGCCTTGTTCAAATGCTCCGGTCTTTGTTGGAATGCCTCCATTGTGTCTTGTCATGGTCAACGGACCTGTTGACGCCAGGGCAGAAATCCATCTATGAATAGTCAAGTTTGCTTGTCCATTCTCGGGTCGGCGATGAATCCTTCGACTAGCCGGGCGACACTCGTCTGTGACCCATCTTGGTCTCCGAACGAAAAGCCCACCGCTGCCAACCATCGTAGTGTCTCCAGCGGTGTACGCTTTAAGAACCCCTATTGGGCCGGACGACTGTTTCCCGATACTCCTCCATATTACCATTTGCGGTGCCCCATCTCGTCGGGATGTCTCCGATACTCCTCTTTGCCATTTGCCCGGGGTGCCCCAACTTGTCAGGATGTTTTCCCCACGGGAAGGATCACGAGCACGTGTGAATGGGCCTTGCTGACATTACTACAGGATCCTCGAGAAGAGTTCAACCGCTCCAAGGCCATGGCCATCACGACGAGCGCGACGTGGATGTGCAACTTCGTCATCGGCCTCGTCACGCCGTTAATGCTCGAGGCGATTGGCTGGGGCACCTACATCTTCTTCGCGGCGCTCTCTGCTGGCCTTCGCGTTCACGTACTTCTTCGTGCCGGAGACCAGGGGCAGGAGTCTGGAGGGTATGGATGCCGTGTTTGGCGATACTGCTGCACATGAGGAGAAGGCGAGACTGTTTGATATTGCGTCTTCCATGGGGCTCACGGAGCAGCTGCCATCTGAGAAGCTGGATGCTGCGAGGGTTAACGCCGAGGAGGTTTGAGAGACAGGCTTGATTGGATTGTGTATATAGCCAACCACTTAACGACCAGGTCTAATTTCTCTATATACTGGATGATGATGTTTCTTCTGTCATTGTATTCCACAGCAAAGCCCACCGCTTGCATTCAACTATTTAAATCGAGCCAAAAGCGCCTCCAGCGAATCTGGGCTATCCATGTCTATATCAGGCATCGGTTCCTCGGTATCTGCATCTAGGACGAGTCTCTGCATAAGTGTATTGACAGCTTGATCGGACTCCCGTGCCTTATCACAGTATTCATAATCGTTGTTGTACCAGGCGGAATCCCGAGTCTGGATCGCACCCATAACGACGTTAGTCAGGGCAGCTGGTTTCGGCCGGTTTGCCGGCGTAGCGGCGAGACAGGCACATATCAAGTCCCGTAGATCTCGGTCCAGCAGCGACACGGGATCCGATCCATCTTCGTTGGGTCGTAGCTCAACCCCTCGGGTCCGTATTCGACTCCTGCTGTTATATCCGATTTGAAGGGTTCTGTTTTGCCGGAATTGGAAAGACTGCGGTTTCTGTAGTCGAAGGGCAGGTCCTTCCTAAGCAGCACGAGTGAGGCCATGATCTGTTTCATGATTAGCACGCATTGCATAGGGTGCTCTCAGGCCTCAGGGGAGAGGATCGTTTGACTTACTGTGCCTATGTCAAAGATGTTCCTCGTCAAGGCCTTATCCTTGGGGTCTCTGAGCCAGTGTTAGCAGACATCTGTACCTCAGCCGCATCCTACGCGAATACCTACAGAGGGGCCAGTTCCTTGGATATGCCAAAGTCGATCAGTTTGAGTATGGGGACGAGACTGTGCTCCGGCTCTCCAGGATCATCTTCAAGCGACCCGAGCATAACTAGTCCTCGTCAGTCAATATAATCCCGAAACTCGATCGGATAAGCTTACTATTTCCAGGATGAAAATCATCTTGAACAAGGCCGGAGGGGTCGATGTTCGGATTGACATGTTCTAGCACCGGTTGAGGGTTATCTCCTGCCGGGCGAGGAGGTGGCCAAGCCATTGCTATACACATCCTGATCACTTCCGCTGATGTTAGTACCTGGCTTGTCTCGACCCAGGGGGCGTCATAAACTCACAGCACATGATAAATCTCCACAGTATCCTGTTTGGCAAGATTTCGAGCCCCTGCCTCCGGATCCTGGTTATGAGACGGTCGAGCGACCCGTTCTCGATCCATTCCATGTACACATACATCCCGTCGTTCAGGGGAAGTCGCGGAAGACCGACGAATGTCTGAGCAAGGGGATCACGGGGGACGTCGGCGAGCTTCACTATGTGTTTCGCCTACGGGAGGACCTATGAGTAGTCCTGGTTAGCCTCTAAATATTGACCTCCGCAGTTCGCGAGTGAAAACGAGGTCTAGACAGCGACGAGGATGGAAGCTAACCCCCAAGACACTCTTTTCCCTCGTTATCTGGGTATTCTGAGGATGGACCTTGGAAATCGAAGGCTCCGCGTCGGCATTCTTCCCGGCTTCCTCCCCGGGCTTAACGATGTCCATATCGTCGACCCCGAAAATGTTTCCCTCTGTATCCGCTATCAAGGCCTTCAAGACGATACGCCGCCATTCCTTTGGCTTTGCCGCTGCCACCCGTTGTTGCTGCCTCGCCCGCCACCGTCGCCACACGCCTGAGCCTATGGGCCCTGCCGGGGCCGGCTCGGCGTTTCGAGGGAAGTACTTGATCTTCCACGCTGCCGAGAAATGCCCCTGGCCCACGTGATCCTCCCATTTGAAACGGAGTTGATCATCGCGGTCGAAATACTCCTTCAGCGCATTGGATAGCTTAAGCTGAGCTTGTTTCTTCTGATCCGGGTCCATTGTCCTCCTCGCCCATCCGCTGTTGGTGTTGGTAGGACGTGCTTGAAACCTGCTGTAGGTGTTCGGAACCGCAGTTGCCTTACATTAGGGAACTGGTTCGAGACAAAGACATGATCTCATTCTGGATCGTGGGTGCTTTCTTATTGGATGTGTAGGATCGGTGCTCATATCCTGAAACCGGTACAGCGCCTGTCTTTCTTTGTCCTGAGGTTTGAGCTTGGCCAACCACAAATTTACCGTCCAAAGCGATCATCAAAAGACGAGTCTGGAGAGATGACTTCTATGCGTTTGTGTCTATATTTGTAGCGAGATGATTTACGAACTATCGCGCTGTTTCTCTTGGCTGTACGTCGTTCACCACTGCCAGGTGACAGCCGAGGACTCGAGGAGCCAGTCTTCTTGTATTCCATTCAATGTGAACGACACAGTATCGGAGAAGAAGAGCCAGTAGCCAATTACCTGAAGGGATCTGTCAAAGCGATGAAGTTCTGGCATCGTAGTAATGTGACAGTTGTACAGCAGCACCATAGCCAGTCTCGGTGGCCCTACGATGGTGGTTGTCCGCTATGTTCTAGATCAGCAGTATCGACGTCGGACTCCATGATCAACAATCAGCTTCTTAATATACTCGTGTCCTCTCGCGACAGCCCGTTTTAACTTTGTCCGGACATGCCCGAGGTTGACAAACTTAATGTCTATCCCGTCTCGAACAAGCATCGGAACGGTAACATAGCCAATAGCCTCGGGGCCTTGGCCTCTCGAAGTTGTCATGGTGACTTGGGGTATACTTGTTCTTGCCCGTCGTAAAGACTATCCAGCTCCCATTCGTGCCAGGATGCCGGCCGCACCGTCGTGCTTCAAAACCTGCTTGCTGCGAAGCGGGTATCTAAGATAGTTCCCGTTCCCCTGAGTCTTCGTTAAGAACAAGGAGCGAGGTTGACTGGGCATATCACTTCTTCCCCTTCTCCTTCCCCCAACTCCCCACTCGCTTTGCCGACTTCTTCAAGATGCTCGACCGAGACGATTCCGCATATTCCGAACCAGTCCTCTGAGCATGCAGCCTGACAGTCCGCAAGTTATTACCCCCGCCCGGCATGTGCACCTGGGAAGAAACCGCAAGGCCTCCCAGATCCAGGGCTTCCTCCCACGCCACGGTCGGGGCGGCCTCGAACACAGGCAGAAGCTGAACGAGGGTGAACGGCACTCTACTAGAGCCGCCCGCCGAAGAACGTAAGCTCGGCGCCCTTGCGATCTGCACATTGATACCCCTCGGTTCGGACTTTGCGGACGACGAGCCCCTCTCGAGCGAGACCAGGAACCTGTGCCCCCGCGCGGTCTTGAAGGAGAGGATGGCCCACGGCAGGTCGACCAGGTAGAAGTTGACGCTCTCGGCCGCTTCTGGCGGGGGCGTCTGTATGTCCTGCAGAGCATTGGGAGGGTAGACCTCGACCAGCTCGAAAGACGGGTCTTCCGACCGGTGGATCGACACTTGCATGTCTCTCGAGACGGCGTGTGGTCTGCTGGGCAGTTGCATGTTGATGGGCCTGACGGCAAAGTCTTGGAGTTTTGTCTTGGGGACGAGGACGGGTTTGCTGTAGGGTGCGCGCCCGAACTCGTTCCTCGCGGTGGACGACCGCGTGAGAGGCAGCACCACGCAGCAGTCATCCACTACGCACTCGGTGTTCAGCAAAGCGGTGCCGGTCCGTCCGTCGATCAGCACCGGCAGCAGAACCCGCAGACCCGTCCCCGTTGTTTCGAAAGCCGGTTCATCATCACCGCGATCCAGGGGTGCAACTTGGGCGCAATGCTCAAACGCCGAAGGGGTTTCCGCGAGTATACCGACTTTACGTTCCCTACGCCCGTCGCTCAGCGGTAGCTGGAGACCCCACGCGAAGATCGATGGGTCGCGGGTCGATGCAAGGATCTGATGCTGGAGCCGCACAAAGGCCTTCGCCCGGCCCTCCCCGTACTCGATGGGCATGCTGACGCTGAATAAGCCCAGCAGACAATAAGCAAGATCCTCCCTCCTCGCGGTCTCCCGGCGGGCTACCCACGCCATCCGACAAGCGACGCTCTGCCGCCCTACCTCGCCCGGATCGCGCAAGATCCGCGCGCTGATGCCTGTCACGTCCTCGACAGTCTGGCTCAGCTCGGCCTTGGCACCGATGTACTTCCAAGCCGCGTCATAGAACCTGACATAGAGCGGCGCCAACAGCTCAGGCAGCGTCCAGCCCCGGGTGAACCACCGGCTGCGCCGAAAGTCTGAGTTGGGGGACTCGGGGCTCGTGCCCGTGCCGTGTTGCACATCGGCTAGATGCACGTAGCAGACGCGCGCGTCGGTGTAGTACTTCCACATCGACTCAACGGCCGCAGCCACATCAGCAGGATCGGACCTGTCGATGCAACAAGTGTCAATCCAAACATATTCAATCTCGTCCGTCAAGGCCTGCCGACAGCATCCCTTGACCTTGGCCCAGCCGGCCTTCCGCTTACACCACGACGTCCAGCTCGAGAGGTCTTTGCGCGTCACCTCGTCGCTGGGAGCGCCCCATGTGTGCGAGAGAACCGCGTATTGTGGGATCTCGTCCCCGCCTGAGAATTCGTGTAGAGTGAGCGTTTTGGCGTGCAAAAGACGCATGGTGACCATGATATATAGCAGCTCTCCTTGTATCTTTCTTGGTCGAGGAACGATGTGAAATCTGTAGACGACGTCTGAATAAGGTACACGCAAGCCTAGGAGGTGCGGAAGTTTGCGTCCGAGTCAGTTCAGCCCCCGGCTTCGACCGCCAACCGGTGTTGAGGCAGTGCATTTCAGACGCCCGCATCGAGCAGGGATCCGCACACTTACGCGTCGATACGAGTTTGAAAATAGACGATGTCAAGCAGTATATTTATAGTTTCAACTCGTACTAGAGATTCAACTTGGTCAGTCGTGCCAGCCGACCAGCAAGGCCTTTCCTTGGGTGAAAATGGCTATCTGCTTATACTACGAAACTACCCGAGACTACCTGCAGGTCAACTAACTGCAGTGTTTGCGGCACTCGAAGGCACTGACCAACGTAGTACACGGACAGTACACAGCATTCAGCAGCAAAGGCCGGACGTTATACTTCTTGATTAATGCTTCTAAGTGCACTTCCGGCGTAATGATTTCTGATAAGCGCCCAAGTCTACCGTTGGGTAATGGTATCCTGAACAGGCCGCTCCTCGGACCTCCTCACGGCACACTTCTACCCAGGTAGCGAGCATCTAAAACAGGGAGCAGCTAAACCGCATTCTCAGGAGCCAAGCCCTGCTTCCTCACCTCGTTGAGCGCCTTCAGCTTCGCGGTACCGAAGCCAGCCACGCCCGCCTCCTGGTTGTCGCCCAGCCAGGGCTTCTTGGACTCGCCCAGCATGCTGCCGGCGAGGAAGTAGACCATGAGGCCGAGTATGATCAGCACAAAGGCGATGGGGTACAGGAAGTGGATGGCGTAGCCGAAGACGTGGATGCCGATGATGGTGCCCCAGAAGTTGCCGGTCAGCAGCGAGATGTTGAAGAAGGCGGCCGAGGCGATGCGCAGTAGGAACGGCACGATGGAGTAGAAGAGCGTGAGCGCCAGCGTGTAACCCACGATGTAGCCGATGACGTCGCCGTTCCATGTCGCGTCCCGGAAGCTCTGGCGGTCGAAGATGGCGGCCTGGACGCCGTTGATGCACATTCCGAAGAGGCCGACGAAGGCTAGCACTTCGTACATGGGCCGCTTGCTGACGAACCACTCTTCAAAGGTGTTGGTGAGACCGTAGAGGGTGGCGCCGAGCAAGGCGAAGAGATCTCCCCTCAGCATGTTCTGTCCCTGCCCGCCGTTGGAACCCTGGATGTGGTCGCTAGCCAGCAGTATGCCCATGCCACCGCAGCAGATCAGAATACCCAGGATCTGGAAGATCTTATATCGTACGCGCAGCAAGATGAACGAGGCAATGACAACGACCACGATGGCCCAGAAGTTGATGAGCTGCGCGGACAGGATGTTGGTGTCGCGATACGCCAGCACGGTGAAGTAGTTGCCCTCGACATCCAGAAAGCTGAAGATGAAGTATCTCCACCCATCGTACAGCAGGATCTTGCCAAACTTCTTGAATCCGTACTTGTAGAGGGTGTAGGTTAGGTATATCAACGCCAGTAGAATGTAGTTGAAGAGAGTCTGAAAGGCCGGGACGGACGTGCCATAGTTGACCAGCAAACTCGAGAAGGTGTTCGTGGCGGTGATGCACAGCGCGAGGACCTGGCCGATCAAGAGCACAATCCAGAAATCCGGCGTCGTCAGGTACGAGTACCAGTGGACCTTCCTGGCTTCCAGTTGATGCAGGCCCTGGCTTACTGCCTCATCCGTAGCAGCGCCGTGGCTGTCCCCGTTGGTAGCAGTCACCTCGACGGTATGGCTGGGAGATTCGGCCTGGTTGCCCGGCTTGGAGTAGTCTGCCATTTCGGCCTGTGCAATTTGGCTGTACCCTTCGTGCTGTTGATTGTGTCCTAGCGTGCTTCGGAAACCCTGTACGAAGGAAGTCCCTATGTTGAGATACCTCATACAAAGGGACAACTGGGTGCGGATGCCGGCCTAAACGACTGGCTCATGTGTCGCAAGCAACCCACGATATGGAAGCGCAGCTGAGACGATATAATCCTTTTGGGTCTTTCTGGCAAAGAGCAAGCGCAAAGCCTCCAAGTCGCGTGATGCTTGTAGAGTTACAGCGATGCGCCAGTACTCATAGGGGTCTGTATAATAATGTCACACGTGAGGAAGATGGTGTTGAGATGAAGGCGGGGCGGGAGGGACACAAGGTTAAGCGAGACTGAAGACACAGCACATGCATGAGCGGTCACTATGATACATCTTGATAACGCAAACTCTATTCGGGCAACCACCACTCATCAACGAACAGCGCCACCTCTATCAACTAATGTTATCAACCAGAGAGGGGAATGTGAAGACAAGAAAAACGCAAAACTTCCCCTCAGCCCGTCTGGGAAGGTGGGGTGCCGCCAAGTGCACGATGCTGAGTCCTTCACATGTCTCCGACGAAGGAGGGTTCTTATTGGCCCAGTCATCTTCAACTTTCAAGCACCCCCGAAGCCGCCCCCGCACATTGGCAGGTATAGCGCCGACGCACAGGCGCAAGCTGCCACGAGCTCTCGGGAACCTCAGCGTTTGGCTCCACTGGGACAGGATGCTAGCAGGGGCCATGTTAGCGGGCAAAGTGGCAGTTCCAGGGCTCGCATCGGGAGCTCCCATTGGTAGCGCCAGATCCCAATCCTTCAGCTCGAGGTCCTCTGACCAAGCCCTATCTCTCTAGCCTCGAACCCCTTCAACATCTCGACCTGTGTAACCTTCAACATATGAGGGATAAGCTGTAATGTCTACCGTGATCTGGCTTGTGGCTTCCACACCGGTCAGCAGATTTACCGTCTGGGGTCCAAACAGGAGGGAAAGAGGTGACCTGAGCCCGACCTCGAACGTGGCCAAGCAAGAGGCATTATCAGCTCAATGTCACGGCATCACTTAGTGACGTGAGATGAAGCTTTAGCCTAAGCCTCATCCATCCAACTTTGCCCCCGAGCAGACGCGAGCTTGTCATCCGAGGAGTCGAAGGTGCGTATCTCACAGAAGGTGGCATCAGGAGGTGCTCTCTGTTGATGGGTCCCTTCTCTGTAAGCAAGTTGGTATACTACAGGTCTCTTACCCTGTGCAGTAGAGGATAGATAACCACTGCAGCGGACCATACTTTTTATCTCGAAAAACATCATATCACGGTCCTAGACCATACCAGATGGGCTCACTGTTTGTTGGGGTATGGGATAGCCTTACCACACCGAGATAATACGCGGCCGTGTTGCGATCCAGTACAATTCGCCTGGTGTACTACTGCGGCAGTGGACCGCCTTCTTATTCTGCCCATTCGAGCAATCCTGACCCTCACGGACGCACCGCGGGTGGTGCGGAGGCAGCCCGGGTCACGGAGCGTTGGAGTGGCCTCAGTGCGACGACCGACGTGCACGTTGGCCCTCTGGTCTGCAACATAGGGACACTCATACTGGCAGAGAGGTCCTCGAAGGACTCAGAGCCACTACCTGCGTCGAGCGCCCAAGAAATGGGAACTAGCCAAGATGATGGCGGCTGACGAGGCGTGAGCTAGGTCTTTGAATTCGAGAGGCGGTATCCGGGGAGGATGATAGATACTCAAGGCGCCATCTGTCAGGTGAGCTGGCATAACTGAACGTCTTCGATAGGTCAGCTAGTGATAGTCAGCCTCGGCGGCGTCCATGGTTGGAGTTCGAGTCGTGTACCCGTCTTCTCTGAACCTCGCCCTAGAGTGCGACTCTCCCATTCATATCTTCGGCTCCTGGAAACGCCTTGAGCAAAACGCAAGCATTTGCTCCAACAAACCAGCACTTGTACGGTCCAGGAACCGGTGTCGGGGCCGATGGAACAGAGGTGACGAGAGTAAGTACCCGAGCTCAAACTGCTGCGAATGCCTTTCCCGTCGTGTACGTGAATGATGGTGATCATCCTCGGAATACAGAAACACGGAAACCATGGAAGTATAGTCTCACAGAGCTTGTGAATGCCGTTCTTCCCTTCTGCTGGTTGCCTTGATGGTGATTGAGAGGTCACTAGGTGATTCCATATTTGCCGAACGGACCCTGAAGGAAATGAATAGGGGTTTACTAAGCCGCTGTGTGCCCTGCAAAGACGAGAGTAGCCTCGGGGTCTGCAGGTATCTCATGGAGCATATGAATCAACATGATAACCAGACTCACCCATGTAGGTTACCGCGAGACATGGACATAGAAGCCTGCATTGGATCTTGCATGCATGCGGAGCGCAGCGGGGGCGGCAGGTGCTTTCACGATTCTGTTGATCGTCGTGACACAGGTGCCTTTCAGGTCCCCTATCTCAGTGTCTCGGATACCGACCCGCTAGGACTGCCACTCGATTTGAGATTCTGCAGATGATGGTGACACGGATCGACTTCACCCTAATGTTGCTTGTCTCGCATGTTCCTGCAGAGGCCTTTGTCCACAGCAGACATTCATCTCGATATTATGTAACGCGTCTTGGCGGATTCCAACGGTGCAGGGAGGCCATGCGAGCCATGCGAGCCGCGTAAGAACGGATCGGCCCTTCTGGAAGACCCAGCGGCATATCTCCAATAGTGGAAGTGTAGAACTCCTCTCCCTTGAGAATGCAGTCGTGGAAGAATGATCTGCCGAGCCTAGGTTCTAGGGGAAGAACCAAGCACCCCGCAGCTGAGCGAGCATCATGGGTTTCCCCGTCGGAGAAGCTCGAACGCGGGGAAATCACATCAGGGTGGAAGTGAGCCCGAAGGAATCGACTGGGAAAACCTTGGTTGGTCATGTGGTGGGAGCATCTCTGCCGTTGGCCAGTAACAAGCATCCATGGATCTGACGCCTCTAGGCGCTCCGGCGTATGCACGCACTGTAGATCCAGGACACCTGCAGAATGTAGGCCGATGCAGCCCTCTGCAGCTAGGAATAACACAGCTCTGATTGCAATCTTGGAAGGCGACGTGGGGAAGATGGCTTATGGTCCATCAGAGGCTGCATTTGACTTGAAGCCGAACGCTAACGGAGGTCGAAGCCGGGTTGGAAGTCTCGGTGTCTGTTTCTAGGATATTCGGCGTAGTCGCACGCATCTGAGAGCCGCAATTGCCCGGCCCGGGTTGCGAAGTTGAGCCCAGTGCACAAGTAGAAGCAGCTCGTTGCCAATAAATCAGCGTAAAGACTAATGTACTGGTTGTGGACTTCTTTGGTCGGTAGTGCCTTACGTGATAGGTCTTGGCCAGCGAGATCTGACATGTGGTGAGATGAACGAGAGCCACACTTTGAACGAGAAAGTGATATAATCACTGCTGTCTCGTTGACAAATACTTACAGGTATACTGACATATATGGTGGAACTGGCGAGACCAACTGGACAAGTAGCTTGAACATTGATGTGATATGTTGCTCTAGTCGTCCGCTGCATGAATTGGCGATGGTAAGTGTGGGATAAGAGGAGATGCCGAAAGTTGATGAGCAAGGATGACGAAGCTGCCAAGCTGACGGCCGCCTTGCCCAACCCGTCTTCGCGGCGCCGCGATCTTTGCATCGTAGCCTTGGGTTCGAAGATTAGACATGAGCATGGTATGTGATTTGCGTTGGCAGCCTTCTTCATGAGCATGTTGCTTAATCAAGGAGACGGACTCGATCGCTGATGTGCTGAATGTGGAATATTGAATGGTTCTGGTATCGCGAGTCTTGTTACCCTCCGATCTCTTCGAGGAAGGAGTCCGGGTGAGCAGCAACGTACTGCGTAGGCGCGGCGACGCCCGAGGTCTCCAGTGAGCTCTCCTATCCAATTGGGCTTGAGGTTCGACAGTTTCTTGAAAGTCGTCTGGATTGAGGGCGCCATCGATGGAGCAGATTTCCCCTTTAGGAAGCTCTGAGGACGGATTCGACAACGGTCAAACCTTTCGGTTATTTTTTAGTCGCCGAAGGGGACCCTGTCCTCTTTACACCCGTACTGTGCCGTACTGTGCGAGAAGTATTTGATGTGATCAGGCCATTTCGGGGCCGGTGCCTGTGATGACGAGAGGCATTATTCAGACGGTCGAATCGCAAGCGAGCTCAGAAGTCGATCACCTCGGTTGATTGGGGCCGGCTTATCATGGAACATCGTCTAATAAATTTAAACGCCGCCAGATGCGCTAGAACAGAAAATAGGTAACTCAGTCAGCGCCGTGATGATTTGGTAATCAGCCGGAGACTGAAGCATTAATATTTCGTAAACTGGACGAAGCATTGGCCACCCTTACCCGTTTCCTCGCGCAGCGTAACGACGCATGCTGTCTCTGCGCGGAGTAGTTGGGAGAGTCATAAAGATTTGGATAATGAAGCATCAAAGCACTGAAGCATTTCAGTCTTGTTCCATGTCCAAGGTGGAGGTCTGGGTTCTCGTTCGGCTAGTGTATCCAGACTATCGGGATTTCGAACCGACACAAGCCTTGCGATGTTCGCAATGCGCCGTCTATTCATGACTTTGCAGGTACTCGCAGCATGTATAATGCAGCTCCACCAGCGGGTAATCGCACTGAATCGCAACGTGGTAATGGAGTCGGCCTCCACCGGTTTCGAAAGGAACAGTTGGTTGACTCGCTAGAAATCAGGAAGGTAGCCCAGAATGTGTTGGTGTGAAGCGCCCCCACGATAGTCTGTATGCACTACGTAGGTAGTATGCAGAGTGGTAACATGAGATGCAGGCCCTATAACGCGGGTGAGTCTGGAACACGGTATTCTTGGAAGTGTTAACGTCCGGATGTCTTCATGACGAGACAGTGTGTGACGCGGTGACGAATACGACGTGTGACGAGAACGTCGCAGGTGTTGCACAGGGGAAAACGCCCTGAGTCGTGTGTGCCATGCATGCTACTGACTAGTAGCGACATAATAGGAAAGCCGAGCGTCAACAGAGTCTGGAGTCTGGAGCTGGGGAGCCGCAAGGCGCAAGGGGCCTAGTTGTCGCCCCTTTTCCATGATCGTGGATAATTACCCTGACGAATCGCGCAAGATGATGCGAGTAATGAGATACCTTAGGTACAGCCTTTAATTAGCAGAGTATCCAGCCCCACACCACTTTTACACACACATACACACAATTTTAAGCTAGTGTTAAACACGATAATAATACGTTTTTCGACGACTATACATTTAAATTAACGTCGTAAATATTTATTTAAGCATGTATTAATAAGTACTATTTAAGACTATTAATATATATACGGTTAATATGTACGACCTCGGTTTAAAAGCGTAATCGTTATAAAACGTACTTTTATTATAATCGTTAAAAAATGCCGAAGTTTAAAATATCGACCTAGTAATAACGACGATAAAAGTACGTTTCGTAACCGTTATGCGGTTAAATTAACGTTATAAATACCGATAAACTATATATTAATAAGTACGGCTTAAAGCTATTAGTATATATATATATATCGATATATACGACTTTTAACGGTAATAACAACTTTAAATACCGTACTTTTATCGTCGTTATTAAGTCACCGTTAACTATGTAATTATATAATAACGCATTTAAACTATTATTATATATATTATTTTAAACGTTTTTAAATATTAACAACTTAAAGCTATTTAAAAACGTTTAAAATAATATATATAATGGTAATGTCACAATTCAAGGTCCAATATTAGGGTGAATTGCTTGTGTAATCGTCTATTAGATCTGGAACTAAATCTAGTACTAAATACACATTAAAGCACAAAAATTCGCTTATCCATTAATCTGGCAATTAATAGAGCCTTGTCTGTCACTCTGAAAGCCACCACTTCTGGTGCCTTCACTATTTTCATCTTTTGACCGCCTATTCTGGTCAGATACAGCTGCCTGAACAGCTGTTAACACACCTATACGGCATCCTGTATCCCACAGATGGTTAAAAAGCGTTATCGTTAAAAAAATGTACTTTTAAATCGTTACGTACTAGCTTAACTTTATATGTATATATATAAAAAGTTAATATAAAGCTAGACACTTTATTTACTAAAAGTAGTAGCTAGAATAATATAAAGTTAAATAAGAGGAACAGAGAGCTATTTATACGATGTTTTCTAAGTCAGGATATTAGTAATTGCTAATTACCGAGGTTTAAATAATAGGTTAAAGTTAAGAGGGCACATCGCGACCCGAAACAGTTATCGGGAACGAAGAGATAACCAGATCTAAACCCCTCTAAAATATGGGAAGGGCCGAGGTCATGCTGTTTCCTCTAAATCTGCAATCAAACGAAATAAAATAAGGCCGCTGAAGAAGAACCCCTAGACCCACCACCGCCAAGAAGTCAAGTGTCACGAGTACGGTTCAGACGGCAATCAGCTCCGGCTTCTTCAATTCTTCAGTTCTTCAGTTCTTTAGGTGAGTTCTTGAGTGTCTCACTCAAGACTCAAGAGTCAAGACAGTATCGGCAGTCCTGAGAAGACATGTTCACTGTCCGTGATAACTTGGAGACATATGAGATCCGAATATTGAAGCTCCTCACTCGCCGCAACGTCTCACCTCAATTTAAAATCAACTTCCCCCTATCAGGTCACGGATCATGCAGGAAAGGCTGCGGACGAATTGTCAAGTACTGCGACTTCCCAGTTCACCAACAGGCCCATGCTATTCGTCCCCCACAGTCCGTTAAGATAGTTCCGTCTGAACAACCTTCCCCTTGTATTCCGTACAGCTCCCCTACGCCTACAGTATGGGCGCGGAGATTGGTGATGCATCAGTCAGGACTCAGGGCTGTCAGGACTCAGGAGAGAGTAGACAAACGAGTGAGTGAGGTTAAACCACCTGAGCCGAGATGAATGAGCAGCACCTCAGGATCCCTCATGTACCTAGATATCCGTCCTCCCATCAAGTCCACCCACGCGCATACAGAGAGAGTGCGTGCATCGTCAATGTTCCATCATCACTCGCAGCTCGCCTCTGCAGCGTCCGCACACCATCGGTCCATCACTGAGGTCGTAGACCCGAGACCACCTTGCACCAACGGGCCAGGCTATTATTATGCTCCCGTCACTCCAGGGCCGGCTACCCACCCATCCACCACCCATCTTGCACCGCGTACCCAGTCTTGCCAGTCAGTTTCTGGAGATTGTTGTTTGATTATTGCGCTGCGTGACAAAAGGGGATGGAGACGCTTGACTTATTAGGCAAGCCTACCGGTACTGAAACGGTATTGTACAGTATCTGAAGTGCACATATACTGTACAGTGTCCGTCACCACCTGGCAATTGCAGATACCTGCCCCCCACCACCCAGACCACCCCACCCGGCAGCCCTGGCAGCTGGTACCCCTTCCGTATTCTGGAGACAGTATTGTTGTTGGGAGGGTCTCGCCCGTCGATCAAGCCGTTGTCCCTCCGATAATTTCTCTTGATTTTCGATACCACCTCCACGCACGTCCAATGCCCATCCTGTCATTCATTACTCACTGTGGACGTACCTACTGCTAAAAAGTAATTACTTCCCCCGTCCTCCCATTGTCGCCGCTGCCACCTTCTTCTCCCCCTCACACAACCTCTCCCAAGTACCTCCAGTTGAGCGCGCGCGCATTGTGTGGTGCCGTCCTTTCTTTTTTCTATTTCCCGACCAGCTTTTCTCTGTACTGAGGAGTTTGTCTGAGACCTGGCTAGGCCCTCGGATTAAAGATCCCTTTTTTTTTGGTAAGTTCCTGGCTTCCCCTTTTGCGACAACTAGGGAGCGAGATGTGCCTTTGCGCGCCTCAACGGCGTCCAAATGAATTAGAGCGCGAGCGACGTTGGACCGAGGCGAAACTCAAAATTTTCCCAATGCAAATTTCAATGATCATAACATCAACAATCTCTACACGCATCTACCAGGGCACACCACCCATAAGCATCCGAGGCAATGCAAGAGGACAGCACCCAGGCACAGCCCCTGTGAAGAGAGGGAGTGTGCGACGAATCAGAACATCATTCCAGGAGAGTGCAAACGCGCACATCTTCAGCGCAACGTCGCTCCGTCTCCTGTTTTCCGACCGCGTCAATCGTCACCGTCATCGGCGTCGCTCCGCTCCGCTCCGCTCGCTCTCTAATCGTCCCTTCATGTGTACGTCGGAATCGTTGACGACAAAGCTGACCCTGGTGCGCTAGAGGATTTCGGAATCAGTCGCAAGGACCCGTGGACTTAACGAATCTGTCCATATTCCTCCACCTTCAGACCGCGATCAAGACCAATACCGCAGTGGCCACGCAGACTGTTCTATTACCAATAGTAATCACAGACGACATGTCGCAATACTACGGAGAATCGCAGTGGCCTGGCGCTGGGCCTGCTACCGCTACTCCCCCGCCGTCCACTTGGGATCACCAAACTCCGCCGCCTCCCCCTGCTCGATCCGGTATGTTTGTCATAGATGGCCTTATGGCCTTGGGAAGATATTGGGATCACATCAATTGACTGAGTTTGTCACAGGCGCCAGCTCTGTCATCCCGCGCGAGGATTCGGCTGCTTTCTCCAACCAAATCGATGGTACGTTAAAACCCGCCGCGAAATCAAGTTTTGGAAAGGGCATACGTATCACAGGGGGTCACACGATCGAGACTGTTTCCTACAGTACTTGACGCCTATATCAGTCGAGCGACTATTGCGCGAACCATACATGTTGCCTTGGTTTTCCGGAACGCTGCCTGTTTGAGAGGCTAACATTGAGGTTTTCAGAGGTCGAGCGAGCCATCGACAATCTGGTCAAGAGCGGAAAGATGTTTGGCCAACCTGGCAGACGTGAGTTTACCCTGTCTGTTTCCGAGTATCCTCCTGGCACCTGCAAGTGGCCCAGACATTCGAAGGGCGGATTTTTCCTGGAGACAATGCTAATCAATGTATAGATGGCCGAGGCGCCTCAGGACAACACGGCCCGCGACATGCCTCCGCCGAATTCGGTGACCCACGCACGGGAGGCGGTCACTCTGGTCCGAACCTGCAGAACTTCTATGCCGCGCAACGACACCAATCCTCGCGTGGCTCCAACGAGGCGGAGCAGATGATGCAGGCCAAGCGGAGGATGGCAGCTCAACGGGAGCGAGAGCTTCGCAACTATCATCAGGAGCAGCAATATAACCGAAGTAGGCCGCCCTCTGCAGCATAGCACAAGACTTGCGTCGAAAATCAAAGAAAAGAAATACAATCGGCGGGGCCTACATTGTTCCACCGATTCGCTCCATCTACCATGCTTCTCTAAGATCGCGTAATTCCCATTACCGCATGTCACTACACGTTATCACAGCACACTGCTATCTCCTCGCGTCTTCTATGGACTCTTGCTAACTGGTGCATCTCTGTAGATGTCCTCGCTGATGTGTCCTACAATGGCAAGCCTGACCGCACCCTGAGCCCCAACAACAGCTTGCCCGACGATGAGCGACGAGAGGTGGTCGCCCGCCAACGTCCTGCAATGTACGAGGGTCAATACGATGACGCTGGTGCCAACCGGGTTGGAATGCAAGGCCTGCCACCTGCTTCAGCTGGACAACGCGGTCCCTCGCCCCTGGCATACGACTATCGACGACCCAGCGTGGCCACCGCCCCCGGAAACCCTGGTGATGGCCGCGTCTCTCGTGCCAACAGCAACGCTAGCCCTCAGTCAAACACACCAACCAACATGGGAATGTTTGATAATGCCGTCAACCAACAGGCCACCCGTACCAGCAACTCGTCGCCGACGGGTGGATCGCCTCCTCGAGCCGGTGAGACCCCCAAGTCCGGTCAGACTGGCAACACAGTGGCCCCCATCGGTACTCGACCCTTGGGAAACTCGCAAGCGCCGAACCCAGCGCTGAACAAGAGATCTACCACTCCTCTTCGCTCGCCGCTGAGTCATGGCTTCTCTGCGTCGGGTAATGGTGACGACATGGGACAGGGTGTAGCAACATCTGGTGTCCCTTCGAACCCTCCTAGCGCCTCAGCCGAAGGCTACAACGGGTGGGGTAGCCGCTCCGGCGTCTGGGGAAACAAGTCAAACTTGGGTGTTCAGGCGAGTGTCTGGGGCTAGGAATCAGTATCTCGTTATGAGAAAGCCAGCGGGGAGACCCTGATGTCAGCAACATGGTGCGAGTGAAATCTCGCCAAATACGGTGTTCAGGTTGGTTGGTTTCTAGGGTGTGGCAACAAGATACCCAGCATCAGCATGGGTCTTTCGGCCTTTGGCGACAAACGGAAACGTACATGTTTGGTCACCCCGGGTGGCAATGGTTTCTGCTCGGAGTTTTCACTTCTCTGCTTTTTTCAACTCGATACCGACGCGCCTTTCGACCAACACCTGTCAGCAACCACCGAACGAAAACGATATATACCTTTTCTTTAATGTACGGAAATACATACGCACAAAATTGGGGCGACACGAGAAACCGACATAGGCAAAACAGGGAAATCCGGAAATCGATCTGTATTAGGCACGGCACGGCACGGCATGGAAGGGCAAGGCAACGGCAATGTGGGAAACCGCGTCTTTGAGTGGAATTGCACGGTCTGCGATTGTTTGGGTAACCCACGGCATGGAGCAGCAATACTATTACTACCTCTACTGTAATCACAGTACGTGGATGGGAAAAGAAGGAGTTGGCGATTTTGACAGATCGGTCGGTAATGAGCAGCAGCAGGCATGGTGGTGTGCAGGGAAGCGGACGGTGATAGATGGTGTTCTTGCAGCAAAGGAAGGAGTTGTAGTTCTTGTCGGCGCGTGTAAAGCATTAGGGAGACATTAGGGGTCTGGTGGGTTGTTTCTCGTTTGTTTGCATGAGGGAGTCTGGCAGATAGATTACTTGTTTCTTTCCGGTCGGCATTGGCAAAATTCGAGGGGCAAATTCTGGCGTACACAAACCCTTCTCTGCTTTACATGATTTCGATATATATATGCTCGCACGTAACAACCGTGATGATTCTGCTCGATGCTCGTAACGGAGGCCTAAATCCCAACTTCCGACAAGATTGGGACGGTTCTGGACATGCGCCCCATGCCAGGCGATAGCGACAGTCGAGTCAAACGTAGAGTTCTAGACTTCATCCGAGCTTCTCGGATTCTTTTCTTAGCAGCAACAAGTCAACCACGGAGCTCTGAGCGAGTTTCCCGTCCTCACCATCTCAGTCCTGGGGTGGAACAGCGACAGCAATCCACGACTCAGACGCGAGCATGACTTTACCCCTGAGCCTGCCTACCTCGAGACATAGCTCAGTACATAATGGTTCCCCACCCCTTTCTTTCTCAGGTGCAGGGCGAGCAGGGCTTATTCAGGCTCCATGTCGTCGCTAACAATGAATAACAAGACGCGTCTCTGACTCGACTCTTACCCTACCATACCCTACAGGAAACGCGAGCGGAATAATTGGAGAAGACGTGTAATCGAGTCATGTCTGCACGAAGCGCGTACCTGACTACTTGTCGGGACAAATCTCCGACGGCGGGCGCACTTTGCTTTTTGAGTCTTTGTCGATACTCGATAGGGGTAAGAGGACCCCTGAATTCTGACTAGAATTAGACGATCTTGAACGATCTTGACTACCTGCTTTAGCCCGGCGCTATTGGGCGCAGGTACAGCGCGGATCATATGTACCTCAGGTAGGCTCGACGTCGACGTGGTCTGTGGTGGTCTGCTAGTCAAGGAGAGCTAGAGGCTCGAAAGACGCTTTGTAGGGTACGTATAGGTTTCGCCCGTCTAGCATAGGGAGGCTACCCGGTAACGTCTTTCTTATTATATTAGTCACCCGTACCCGTGTCTGTAGAAGGTTTGACGGCGGGCCTTTTTCTCGTCGCTGGTATCGACGTGCCCAGGCGAGCGCCGTCCCTTGTTGCGAGGGCGCTCGCTGCCTTGAGTTCTCGGGTGGTGAGTTGGTGGCCGCGTGTTTGAAAGTACTTTGCTCATTCGCCATTCTTCACTCAAGAATTCGCTAGAGTCTACCACTTAGCCTGGCGATCGCGGCTGGGAGTGGTGCTATGCCTGTTCTCGGCTCGTCGACTGTCTTCCCAGGGTGTTCTCAAAGTAGGTGTATATATGTATTCAACTCCGCTGGTGATGGGTCCGAAAGCGATCGTGACGGAGCTGGCGAGTCCGCGGGTTGCAGAACAGGGCCTTGCAAGAGACTCCGGAAGTGTTGAGTTTGTAAGGGAATTTTCTTCAGGTTGGATCTTTACAGGTTTGGCGAGCAAAAGGGGAAAAGGGGAAACGGGGAAACGGGGAAACAGGCTGTAGGTAGCAGAATGACTTGCATGACCGACTTGAGTGCGTTCTTGCCCAACTCACATGGAGACTCGCCGCTCACCCTCCCTTGAAAGTGCCAACGCCTTTCGACCCTCGTGGGCTTGAGCTTATCTTGTCTCCTGGCTTCTTGGCCCTTCCTTTGGTTTCGTGGCTGTCCCGAACGAGCTTGCTGCTGTTTTCAGGGCGTCGACAACCTTACGAAGGGAACCATAGAATTAGTGGCAATATTGGCATTTTGGCTCACGTGTATAGGCACTGCCATGACCACGGCATGAACACCGTTCATAAACGGAGCACCCTAGACGATGTCGTGAAGTCCCGGCATGAGTGTTTTGAGACTTCCGCTTGACCAGCCAAGGCTCATGAAGTATGCTTACAAGACCATGGCGAGATGCACCTTGCTAGTCGGTAAATCGCTAACCCCTGGAGTCAGCAAGGGAGCTGTCGACCTGCAAGCCCAGATGTGTGACATGAGACGAACAAAGGTGACGCTGTTGTCACGGCATCTGGTGGTGGTACGGATGTATAAGGTATGTAGTCTCGTACCGCACATTGAAGGTTGGGGGTCTTTTTATCGCCAAATCCGCAGTCAAATCACTTGAGAAAGGCACGTATGTCTCGTGTGACAGCCCCCCATTAGGTGTGAAATGTGATTTCAAAGTTCAAGTGGATAACTCCTACAAACGCCCAACGTGACAAAGTCCATCTAAAGTCAGCGACGAGGGTGGTCCCCTCACCCCTGATAACACACCCAAGTGGTCCAAGTACATTCGCATCCGTGGGTATATCAAAAGCCCACAACCGCAGCAGCAGCACCCATATCCATCACATCGTCCGCTCGTAGCGCCTTCGCCGCCCATACGACCGTGCCCCGTCCATCCACAGCGAACAGACCAGCCTGCTGCCACTTGTTGCCCATGACCGTCGAGGGACCCACGGCCTCGTCGGAATCCGCCTCAGCACCCCGCGCCGACGCCGCGCTCATCCCCGTGCCCGTCCTCCTCGGGCCGGGCCGCGGCGCCGGCGACGCGCGATCAGCACCCGTCCGCTGTATCGAATCCGCCACCTTGATGCCGAGCCAGCCCTTCTCCTTCCAGCCCTGGACCTGCGTCGTCGGGTTGAACATGGACCACACGGTGCCGAGACCCAAGCCCCAGGCCGCGTAGATGGCGCGGTCTTCGTCGATGATGACTTCGATGTTCCAGGCGCCGCCGAGCAGGTCCATCCACTTGCGTGTGGCGGCGGCGGACGAGTGCGAGACGGCGAGGCAGCGGAGGCTGCCTTGGTTTTTGTTGGCGAGGGCCCGGAGGGCGAGGAAGGACTTTTGGGCGACTGTAGAGGGCATGAGTGTCAATTGCACGAACAAGATACAAGCTAGAAGCGGGCATTGGGAAGAGGGAAGAGGGAAGCCTTACAAGCGCATCCAACACACCGGAGGAAGAGAACCACCACTGGTCTTCCGCCGCCGAACTCAAGTTGGCGATCGCGATCCAAAGGCGCCAGATCCCCTGCTTTGGGACATTCGGCGATGGGGACTGGAGGCGGGACCGGCGACAGCCAGGCCTGTGCGGTCAGCGGGAGCTTTTTCTTGTTCATCCAGGCTGGCCAGGCTGAGCCGTTGTTGGACTCGTCGGCGTCGTCGAGGCCGGGGACGGAGCCATCCTTGGCCGGCTTGCTGGGCTTTGACGATAAGTCAAAGGTGTCGCTCGACAACCCCGCCTTCCTCAGCGCCAGCTTTGTCGTCAAGCTTGAGAACATCTTGACTGTGTGCGCTCCCTCGATTTTTCGTAGGAATAACAAAACAATGATCGTAGGCAATCACGAGTGCTTCAAGAGGGTACAACTGGTACAGTTCAAGTCCGGTAGATCGAAATCACGCGAGTACTGGCAAAGCAGATACAATAACAGAAAAGAGGAACTTAAGAAATAACAAGGAACGCAAACCTGTTCATGATGGAACAAAGAGCAGAAACATGAAACACAAACGAACAAACCAATCCGCGGGCACGAGGCTGAAGAAATTCCTCGACAGCTCTTGACACAGGCAGTGTCTCGAGAGATGGAGAGATGGGAGAGGCTACAGCTCTGATCCCTGACCAGGGGCTCCAGGCAGCCCAGGAGTTGAACCCCTGACCGAGGCGAGGCTAACGACGCCAAGCAGCTTCCAATGGGGCTTACCTACATGTAGGAAGGTCCTTGCCGCTAACAGGGCAGTCACGGACGGGAGTCACGGCTGAATGCACGTCCCGCCATTCGGCCCTTGGGTCTTCCTGGTTACTTAATGTTTTGGCAGTTGCATCCGTGCCGAGCTTGCCACGCGAAGAGTACAGATCCATCTCTTGGCAGGCGTCTCCCGCCTTGATTGCATAACGAACCACATGCCCAAGACAACTCGAGACTTCACTTCCCAGTTCGACCTCGGCTCTGGACTTGCCCAGGCTTGGTCTGCATCGCGGACACCGGGAGATCGGCCGGGCATCCCATAGTATATGGGGTACGACAGTGGGGTCCCTGGACTGGGAACCAGTACTGCCAGCTCATGGACTGGTTGACTGGCAATATACGACGCGTCACATATTGCAGTACCATGCCGGACGGCCAGTCAACGACGGCTTGACCCGAGTAAGGGATTCCTTAGAGGGTACGAGCTCGACGTCGACGGAAGAAATGTGAGGGGTCGTGCCATTATCTCGGAGCCATCGTATCCGTCCAGATTGTTTTAGATGCTGTCATGCCGAAATTTCAACGTCTTGTTCCCAGGCTCGGTGTGAATACGTAGGAAGTCTTCAAAGGCAGTTCGTTTGGGGAGGCGAAAGAGTAGGCGAAGTGCTGTGGTGTGTCTACCTGTCCATGGGGCAATGGAAGTATGCCGACTCGCCGGGTTGATCATGGGGAATGCGTCCACATGCTCCAACGAGAATGGCTTTGCTGTATGCCGTTACACGCTGCGATATGTGACCAGCGGTTGGCCCTTCTCAAACGTGGTTGTGGGTTCCAATCATCTGACCAACTCCTCCATCTCTGTTGGTGGATGATCTGAGATCGAGCAAAGCTCATGTTGAATAACATCCACTACACGTGCGGGATTGTACGTGACCGATGCTGTGTCTCGGCTTGCAACGTTGGCGAGTTCCAACGGCAGGCGGCAGGATGCTTGAGCGTTGAGAAGAACATTCGAAGCCCCAACGTGATTACATCCCGTTTCAGCTGGTATGACAGAGCAACAATCGTCAGCTGAACTTGGCTGTTACGTTCCACTCAGCGTATGCTATCCACCATGCGAGGCTGACAACGTCACGGGCCGGCATATGCTGATGCCAGCATGGATGACCACTTTCCGATACCGTCGTTGTCGTTCGCGTCACTGCAAGATACACGACAGAACACAGCCCATGTGTCCTTAACGGCTACACGATGGCGGGGATACGGAACTTACGTCAGATCCTTTGGGGCACTGTTCATGGAGGCGGCTTACCTAGGTGTAGCTTATAGACTTCGGTGCTATCAACCCCATGTGGTAGGAAGGGTACCTAGGAGCGGTTGAAAGGTCAGATACGAAGACCACGGGGCGGCCTCCACTCCAAAGATGCCTAGTCTAGCTGAGTATCTTTTCGGCCATGCCGCAACGCACGTAGGTCTGGGAGGTAGGTACCGGTCTAACAGCTTTGTCAGTCCAGATATCGAGGTGAGTGGGACGGAAGAGGAGGAGAAGGTGAAGGTGAAGGATTGGGAATAGGAATGGGCACACACAGGAGTAGGAACTTGCTGACTTGTTAGTGTGAGGTCAGGCAACCCAGTGTGAGAATATCATCTATAACCTGTCGAGGATATGACAGATCAGCTTGAAATAGAACCGGCATGGCTTTCCATACTATCGGCTACCCAGGTGGGTGCGCTTATGGCAGGGCAGCGTTAGGTATAGCTAAGCCGATCGTGAACTTTGACGGGGCTCCAACGTGGGAATGGTTCGAGAGTTTCATCCACCGCACATGGCGTTCAATGCTCCTGGTGTTGCCGTTAACTTTCTGCAGTCTGGCAGACGACCCCAGCCGGCCGGATAGTCCAGTGGTCTACTGATGGTAAGTGATCGGCCGGCGCCTTGCCCTCTGTGGTGGCACATCTGGTACGTCATTGACCGATTCGGTAATACGAGATCAGATGTAGGTGTACTGCAGAGGTGCGGCGGCCTCGCTCGGCAGGCCTGTCGTTTAGGCGGCTTCGCTAGCGCCTGGACAGATGAGAAGTGTAAGCTGATGACTCCGTGATGCATGCGTGGTGGCCGGAGGAGAGCACAGTGCTTGAGGTCATGTCGCTCTCGCTTCCAAGATCTGACTTGGTTGGACAACCAGGAGACTGGCCCGGGGGGGGATTTCACACTGCAGGCACCGGTACGGCTGGGACCGGCGTCTGGTCTGGACTCTGGTGTGGTTACTCCCCCGGATGTAGGCTACCGGTAAGGCAGTTGGAAGTTAGAAGGTTCAAATGTTGTTAGCTCTGCCGTCTGAAGGGAGTAATTCATGTATTCGTTGCTGATGACTGAATGATGAGTTGTTTCGAAGAAAGAGACACGAGGAAATTGTATCCCCACTCGACTACAGGTAGTACGGGTTTGCTGTCTCGTATCAATGATCAGATACCCTCGCGATATGCTTATTACTGCCCCTCGTGAGATGGATGATGGCTGGACTCGACGGACACACGCTCAGTTGCTTCTTGAAAGCCAATGGGCGTGGTACTCAGCGACGTGAACAAAGACGTGTAATAAAACAATGGAGGCGACTCGAATTTGGTCGTGTCTCAGAGCGTTCCAACTCTTCCATTCGCACAACCAACCCTTTTAGCCATAACCCTTACCTCAGTACCTACATATGCCTCTTGGGCTGGAATATGGAAGAGCCACGTTGTAGACCTCGGTTGATTCGGATTGGACTCCATCACGTTCATACAACATTTGAGAAGGATATGAGTGTCAATCTATCTGTGAAGCATTTGGGAATGCATAATAGTAATAGCTTTCGCGTTGAGCGGGTGCCTCCTTGCCCTTGAGACAATGAGGCCACTAAAAGTTTAAGTGCCTCGATATCTTCGCACTATGTTGCTCCAGAGTCTAGCCACATGGATGTATAAGGTTAAGGCAGGTTCAATTTGGTACAGTACAGAGCAGGTCAAAGGCAGGCAGTGCAGACCAACATGTAGCAGGTGGTAGGTTCCTGCCTAACAGCAGCCTAACACCTGACCTGAACTAACAGCATTACCCGCCAACATGGCCACCCGGGGCACTAAATTGCGCTGTGTCAGGTACACCAACAGCACCTACCAACAGTGCCCGTGAACACCTGCACGCTACCTACGACACCAGACGCTCCAATTTCTTTCAATGAGTGCACGGTCAGCCGGCCGAATGACCCCTAAAGCACTACTCCTCCGTTTGTCGTGGCCCGTGTTCATGGTAGTTGGCACTGTCGCTGCCCTGCACAGTCCATCACCATTGCCTTGAACTCTCCGCGGTTGCCACACACTTCGATCACTACCGCCTACCGCCTCCCGCCTTTCTTTACCTACCTACCTAACGAACGATACGCCCTCGCTGCTTCCAGTTCTTCTCGCCCTGGACAGCAGCCTTTGGAAGTCACAATAGAAATAGCCGTCACTCGCACTACCGCGTCTTGTTTCTCTTGCATTGCCCAGGTTCTGGTTCACGTTCAGGTTCGGCTTCTGGTTCAGGCTCTGGTTCTGCCCTCTTCTTGCGATACCCCCTTTATACCCGCACGTCGACTCGTGTGTGCTTATTACGATCGTTTCTTCCGCCGAACGTCCCTGGAACTGGAGATGATGCCTTGATGCTCTGCGAGCCTCCCGAGCCCTCCTGCTTTCCATCGCCCCCAGCGTCAAAGGTACCGCATCCTCTACTATATCGATATAGCGATACGCCGATCATCTGCTCCTCCACACTTGCAGTGAGCGCACTTCACCTTAGCGAATCGAGAGAAAGACAGCTCCAATCTGGCTGTTGCTACGCCGATCTTCCGATTTTCCCATCATCCCAAGACTCTCCAACTCCCTATACCGCTAGACTATACCGAATTGCCTTCGTCCGACGTCGCGACACTCCTGTTTGTCCTGGGAACAAGTCATTATTTTGTTGTCCGACCGTGCCACAGCGACGACCCGTTCAAACACGAACCACATTCGTCCATACTTCCAACCTCTGGCACTGCGTCACGAGCCCACTCGTTTGACCCTCGCAGTTAAGGAACCGTCGCTTGTTTGTGCGGGGCCCATCTTTAATGGACAGCCGGCCTATAACGGCAGAATCGAAACATCATTATCCAGCTCCAGCTCATCTTTGGTCCCGGTCGACTTCGAGCCCAGCAGTCCCTAGACTCAGCACTCTCTCGCCCATCGTTCACGATCCGCCGCCCACACAGCAATACCCGACACACGTCAACTTGGTGCCCATCCTCTATCCCCAACAGGCGTCCTTATACCACACACAGCTTCTCCAGTACAACAAGCTCATTGCGCCGGGACGAGGGGGCGGTTTCCACACACTCCCTTTGCCGCCACTGCTATCCTCGCAGTCCGCCCACGCCGGGCCCAGATCTCAATCGTCATCTAAAGTGTTTAACAAAGATTCCCGCGCTAGGCAGGCCTCTCAGAACTGCCATGGGAATAGGGGCAATCAGAATTCCTACCAAGCCGATTGCGCGCTTATAACAGCCAAGGGCGCCGAGCCCAAGATGCCATCCAAGAAGGCAGATGTCACCCACGGCCTTCCGCTGAGGCCGAAGCCGTCAATCTCTTCGTCGAACCTGCCGCCACATTCCAGCTCGGTACCCTCGACTCCCCACCAGCACGCTCGCAAGTTCTCTTTCGAGTCCAGAGACCACTCACCGAATGCGAATCAAAGCCACTCTCCTCGCTCCGCATACTCCGAAACCAACTCCGCCGTCCCTTCTCTAAGACCCTTGCCATCGCGCCATGGTGGTTGCAAATACGAGACAGCACTCAAATTCTCCCGCCGAAGGATACCGTATAGCATTGGCATCGACCCGTTGGAAAAGACGGATTTGAAGACCATCAAGAACAAGCTGTCCGAAGATGACGAACGCAAGCTTACTACAGACATGCGCGAACTGTACGACCGGTTACAGCCGACTGAAGCGGTAGAAGCCAAGCGGCAAAAATTAGTACAAAAGTTGGAAAAGCTGCTCAACACCACCTGGCCTGGTCACGACATTCGCGTACATCTGTTCGGGTCCTCGGGAAATCTATTATGCTCGGATGATTCTGACGGTTCGTCAAGACCCAATCTGTTGGTCGCTGCTCCCTCTAGCATTACTGACCATATGAAGTGGATATCTGCATTAAGACTGCTTGGAAGGAGCTTGAAGGCGTCTGCATGCTGGCAGATTTACTGGCCAAACGTATGCTACAAAACTCTCGCCCCGATATCTTCTCAGCTTCTCACATGTTTTCTAGATGGAATGGAAAAGGTCGTCTGTGTATCTTCGGCCAAAGTCCCCATCGTCAAGATTTGGGATCCAGAGCTCGAGCTCAGTTGTGACATGAACGTCAACAACACTTTAGCGTTGGAGAACACTCGAATGATCAAGACGTATGTGGAACTCGACGAGCGAGTGCGACCGTTGGCGATGATCGTCAAGTATTGGACACGGAGGAGGGTTGTCAATGATGCTGGTGAGTCCAGGGCCTACCGCATGCTGAAGAGGCTTCGTTTACTGATCGTTGTAGCATTTGGTGGAACACTGAGTTCATACACTTGGATATGTATGATCATAGCATTTCTCCAGTTACGACAGCCCCCTGTTCTGCCGGCGCTGCACCAACGTCCTCACCAGAAGGTCACCCGGAAGACCGGCGAGATTGCAGCGTTTGCCGATGATGTCGACAAGCTGAGGGGGTTTGGAAGCAAGAACAAGTCCACTCTGGGCGAGCTACTTTTTCAGTTCTTCCGATTCTACGCTCACGAATTCGATTACAGTATGTACGTGCTGTCCGTCCGGTCGGGTAAGACGATTACCAAAACGGAGAAGAAGTGGCAATTCGCTCAGAACAACCAGCTTTGCGTCGAAGAGCCGTTCAATACCATGCGCAATCTTGGCAACACAGCCGACGATACGGCTTTCCGTGGCGTTCACCTCGAACTTCGGCGTGCCTTCGACCTCATCGCCCAGGGCAAGTTGGACGACTGCTGCGAGCAGTACATATTTCCCAAGGAGGAGGAGAGGATATTCCAGAAGCAGCCACCTGTGTCACGGCCAGTACCAGTACGAAGCGCTTCGCAACACCAAAATAATCGTGGCGGCCGTGGTGGAGCGTTTCGGGGTGGCAATCGACATTCTGGCCAAAACCGGAATAACACTGGCAACAACAACAGCAATAACCGCAGGGCATCATCAGTCGCAACGTACGACAACAACGCAAATGCGATGTATGCCCCTTATGCGATGCCATATGGACCTCAGGACGCTGCCGCCATGTACATGCCGTCGTCTTCAGACGTTGTTGCACAGACACTCTCTGCGTTGCAATTTCAGGAAAACAACCTGAGGTTTCTGCAGTACACGCAGTCGCAGCACTTTGCACAACAGCAGGCTCTACATAATGCTAACATGCAGGGCAACGTTCCTCAGTCGCAGTCGTCAACAGAGCGCTCTAGGACGAACTCTTTTGACACTCCTATGAGTGCGCCCCTTCGACCGGAAATGCGGCCAGACATGTATTACTATCCAGTGCACATGCAGCAAGCCCAAGCATACTATGCGCAACAGGGCGTGTTTCCGACGTATCCCCCTACAACCTCGAACAACCAGACTGCCGAGTATCGACGAGGTTCACAGCGGTCCACAGCAAGTGATACTGCGTCGTTATCTGGAAGTACCCTTAGATCACAATCCCAACCAGCGTCGCGACCTGTCAATGGCATGCCAAAAGCTCAGAGCTTTGCAACCACTGGTCAAGTGCCGAATGGATTCGCTAGTATTCCCGCCCGGCACATAAACGGAATCCCTATCCCCAGTTTCATCCCGGATGAAGGCAACGATTACGAACAAGAAGACTCATTGACAAGCTCACCGCCTCAAGAGGAGAGGAGTAATGGTTACTATACTAGCCCGTCCAGTCCACAGCGAGTAACAAATGCCTCGACCAACGGTATGCCCGCTTTCGGTGACATAGGTCCCCAGGCATCGGCGCCGAGCCGGCGGCTCTCGTCTGATCAATTCCCCCAATCTGTCCTCGATAGGATTCAGCACAAGTCACGATCCCCTTCGCCTTTGGGCCATAATCGAGCCTTTTCTGTTGGCAGAAGCTCGGTTCCAGCTCCAGTTGTTGTGACGTCTTCTCCTGGCGCACCGGCTCGAGAGACAGCCCCTGTAGTTGTCAACGGCTCTGTATCAAAACCTCCAAACGGTAGCATTCCTCGCCAGGCTTGGCGTGGTGAATCCACGACGACGGAATACGCAGGGCATGAAGGTATGCTCTACATCAACCAGTATTCTTCGTCGAGTTCTTCCGGGATGTCATCATCTCCTGAGCAGTCGCCTGTGTCTCAGAAGACCAACTCGCCAGTTGTGGTGAACGGCTCTACAAACTCGCCGGCGTTGGGAAACCCGCAATCAAGCGGCGGCCCTCACTTCACTATTGATGCTGTAAATGTCAACCCAACCGGGCTCGTCAATACCATCATTTTCCCAACGACAAATGGCTCTTTGGGTAACAAGGAAGTTGCGCCGATGTCGCCGGCAGCACCACCACCACAGCGAGTTCCGCGCGGCTTGCAGAGTGCGCTCATTGCACAACTAGACCTCGCCACGGAAAACCGCATACAGGCAAATGAACTACAGCACTTGTCGCCAGTCTACGAGGCCAACACTCCATCCCCGAATGTAACGAGGAAATTGGAGCTGCCACTGAATCAGAATTCTACCTTTGCGTCGACTGCAGGGTACAGCAACCAATTTGAAGCCAAGTCGGATACGGCTAAAGGCAAGCAGAAAACGCCAGCCGAGGCTTCGCTGCACAAGTTTGACGTACCAACGCATTCGAATACGAGGGTGAATGGTATCCAAAAAGAGAATGGTCACGTGCGAGGTGCGAAGAGTGAAAGCGACAATGCCGGTACCATTGGGACATGGCAAAGGGCCCAACGGGGCAGAAAGAAGGCCACTGAGCCAAATGGTCGAAGCGGAGTTTCCTCGCAAAGAGAGCAGCCGCCGAAGGATGAATCGGAGAGAAAAGGAGGCTGACGGGTCTCGACAAACCGACGGTGTCGCGCCCCATCTTGTCTGGCTAATGTCCATTTTGGATATGACCCAACGACGAATGAGCTGGTGACATTTGTCTTTGTCGTCTTGATCTCTACCTCGAAATCTCTTTATTGGACATGGTTCGGGTACCGCCGGCGCGGCCGATTAATGTCGAGTTCTACGCGGCTTGCGCTTGCTATTTCGGAAGTATCTCGGCAACTCGACACGATGCCATCATGGTGTATTACTGACTCCGCGTACGAGATTGATGTCAAAGCCCTGGCTCTTGCTACACGTGACGTCCGAAGGATTACGCAAGGCCAACCCGACTGTTCATGACCATTGATTGGTGGGATACATCAGCACATGATGCCCTCAACTCACCTCGCGCCTAGACGGAGTATGGTATGCTTGGCGAGACTCCCAGCTTGCCGACGTCGCCCGGATGGTTCAATACCGGTGTGTGAGTCACTGGATGTGGCGAGGTACCCTCAGTCCTAGATGCCTTGATCAGAACCTTAGGTTGCGCCCAGGGATGCCCGAATATCAGCGTCTTCATCTTCGCGAGCCTGTCATGTTACCGTTACATTTTGTTTCCCCGGGGCCTCAGGACCTTACAATCGACGGCATGCAAGGCTACCGGCAGCATTGTTTGGGAGCCAACTTTCTTGTGTCTGTACAGCTAGAGTCGGCGGGCGTGCAGATGGTCAGATCAGGGGCCCGTGGCATATATATTATAACATTGTACGTTTGTGGGAGCCAATATCCATGAGATGGGCGGCTAGATGTTTTTGTGGATGGTATTACGCGGTCAAGTGACGACCTTTCAGGGCTATCAGGGGTCGGGTTACATTCATGGCAGGACATACCCTCAATAGACGGCAGCGACATGGTGCATGAAAATAAGAATAAAGACAAAAATGGATAAACACCCAGTCATGCTCTACTGTGGGTCGACTTTCTGCTGTGACAGTTGATCTCTCTACTCACTACCTCTTTGCCGGGCACAGTTCAGGCCTTCAGTTTCTCGACCGCAGCCAGATCGTATGCCCCGAACCGACGTCAACGCATCTCAGACAAGCTATGGCACACATGCACAGAAGATTGGGATAAGGAGGAGAACTTCCCCCCTGTGAACGCCGTTGACGAACCTCTGCTTAGCCCCCTTTAGCCTCTACGGCCAAGCAAACCGCCCAGGGCCTCCGCCTCGTCCAGACTGCGCGACGACTTGACTGTAAACTCCGCATGGACATCACCGCCATGTGCGATTTACATTTCCGAAAATAAACCCATTTACATGTATGGACCAACCCCACTTGCTATCGTGGATGTTGAATGATCTCCAGTGTAAGAGGTGTGCATATCTTGGAGTTGAGAATAAAGCCCTCGTCGTTTCTCCATTGCCGTCACCACCAAAGACGAGTTAAACATCTCGCCATGCCCGTCGTGACACGGACCGCTACCTGGGCCTGGAGAGATGATCCCCCATCACGTCTTGAACCACACGGTGAAGCGTAGCACGACGCTTCAACACAGTCTCGACTCTCTCGTTTGACAAGTCCTCTTCGTACTTCCGGCCTAGATTATCCGTGACCATATGGAGATAACCAAATCGGACACCACTCCTGACGGCAGCCTGAGCCATCATGCCGATCTCCGGGTCCACGAAGTCTATATCGTCAACCAGCTTGGCATGCCAAGATTTGGTCTCATGTAAAACGCTGCCCAGCGTGACATGAGTCCCTATAATCACCGAGTTCCTCGCTCGCCGCTCGACAGACGGGCCAAGAACGTTTTCCCATTCGACAAATCGGCCGTTGACGAGTGACTTGTGTCCCGTAGCCAACCAGGCATTCGGCCGGACGTGCGGCTTGAGAGCCCCTAGCTTGCCGAGGTATATGACCTCTTTGACATTGAAGTGTGAGGCGAGGTAATGCACCACCTCTCCGGAAATATCGCCCCAGAATGCTGGACGGAACCCCAGAAACGCGACACGTCGACCGCCGAATGACTGCAGGATCCACTGCCACGGGCCGCACCCTTCCCACTCGGCTGAGCCGGTCAGCTGCGGGAGATGCCACACGAGTCCGAGGACCACGGTGTCGACCGCCTCACCGGGGAAGTGCTGAAGATTGGTGGCCCTGAGTGCAATCTGCGTATCCGAACACGACGACGGCACGAACGAGACCCGCGAAGACGGCGTCAGCGTATCGCCGCCGAGCTGTTCCCTGATCTTGAGGTAGACGGCTATGATCTCGGCATAGTGCTCGATGTGATCGTAGCCAGGAAAGCAGTCGATGTAGAGCGTCTTCCCGTCGGTGCGAGCGTTGGGCCTTTCCCAGTTGAACGGCTTATCCCGTTTCTCGCCGTCGAAGGCGATGGAATCCGAGGAGTGGCGCAGGTAGCGGCCTCGGACGACTATCTCGTCGTAGGCTTTTTTTAGTGCCGCTTGGTGGACTTTGATCTCTAGATACCGCGGTAGAGAGGCGCCCATCGTGTGGTTCTCTACTGTCGCCTCACGCTTGGGATACACCTTCTTGGCTGGGCTATAGCGAGTTTGTATCCCGGTTAGATAAGGAGACTTGATTACGCGGTTCAGGTGAGAGACCTTACTGATCAAGCACGGGAACTGCGCTGCGTGGCATCTGTGACTCCTCAACACTGCCATGGACGCCGTTTGTAGAGATATACTCGCACATCGATTAACCGGGGGCTGAACGAGGTCTTCTTGGGTTCGTACACGCTCAGAATCCATAGATATGGGAACTACAGGACGGGAAGAGCACACTCGCGGAGGCCATTCTGCTCGGTTTATGGTTCCGACTTCAGGTAGCTAGCTACCATGACCGTGCAGGGCTGGTCAGCGCTTATACAGGACCGTTGCATCATGCCGTCTTTTTATGCCGCCATGCAGTACTGCTACGACGCAGTGCTTATGGTTTCCGACCTGCATCTGCAGCAGTTTGCGAGAATTAGAGTATACAGATGCCCCCCCTGGATAATGAACAGCGGGCCGGTTTGGCAGGAAACCCTGCCAAGCACCAGTATATAAAGACTCGCACTTCCACGTGCGACAAAATACTTCTGATTCATTCTTACTAAACAGCAAGTCAAAGTTTCTTACCGTATCCAGAGATTCGATGGCGGTGCACTGTCGGTGGCCGGCGTACTGTTCATGCTTTCAGGGAGGTTGCCTGTATGCAGGCTTCGTATATGTAGATAACAAGCGAGGGGGACGTCGTATGACTAGGTTCCCTCTCAGGATTTGACGTGCCATGTCCAAGTGTCATCGTAAAGTTTTGCCAGTCCCATTTCGTTGCTGCCAGATCGCCGTCACTTCATGCAACTCGTACAGGTGATAGGCGCCCAGCCATGATATGTCGTCAATGCAGGTAAGCCAATACGACCTTGGATGTCGCGAAAGGGTCACTGCGGGCATGTGGCGAGGATATTAATCCCGCAAAAGGAGTTAAGTAGTCGCCCTCGTCATCAGAGCGATAGTTGTGGCTTTTAGGAGGCCTTCGGCATCGTTATATCCATCCTCAGCACCGTCAGGAAGTGGTGACTATAGCCAAAACATAAATCCATACAGAGGCTAACAGTGAGCTCTACGACATACCTAGAAATGGCCTGCAATGGGCTGCATCCACGCGTAGGCATTTTTGCCATCATCAGCGACGAGCAAGGCCGCGTCCTATTGGGCCAGCGGCTCAGCCCTTTAGGCAGAGGTGAGTAGGACCTCTTCATTGGCGCTCAACGGCGTCTCATCCCCCAGCCGAGCTGCTGAGTCTCTGTGCTGACTCATGTCTGGGTTTCCGAGAACAGGGTATTCGGGCTTTCCAGGCGGGCACCTCGAACAGGGCGAGGACTTCTTCGCCTGCGTCGAGCGCGAGACCTTGGAAGAGACGGGCCTCGTGATCCGGGGTCTGAAGATCGTCGGATTGACCAACGACAAGTTCCCGGAGTCGGGCAATCACTATGTTACGGTTTTCATAAAGTGCGAGCGGAAGGACTCGACGCTGCAACCACAGGTACGAGATGAAAATGAGAAACATCAGCTGATGTTCACGTTTACTGACCGAACCTCTCTGTTCCTGCAGAGGTTGGAGCCCGAGAAGTGCGAGGGTTGGAGCTGGAAGAGCTGGCAGGAGGTCAAGGCGATGGCAAATGAAGACACTGGGCCCGACAAGCTGTTTTTACCGGTTCAAAATCTGGTGCGAGAGAACCCACAGATTGATAGGCTGGTACAGTCTGAGTAGGGCAAGGGACCCAGGCATTTGGTGCGCAGAACTTTATCCACGGCGTAATTATCACCGTCGTGGAGAAGAACTTGATGGATGATAAGAACAGACGCTTTGGGAGGTCCCACGATTGTCGAGTCGCGCGACGAGCTGGCACTGACGAACACGCTCGAGGCGGGAGGGAGTGAGACGAGGTGAGTTTTGTCCGATGTATCATTCGGCTTGGTGAACGAGTAGTATCGGTACCACGTCCACACAGGCTAGAGTGCACTATGTGATCATCTCTGCCACGGCTGCTCCGATTCACTGCCCATGACAGGCATGACTGATGTGTTCTAAATAAGATCTTCCACCGCAAGAGAGCAGCTAAACTCAAGTACCCTATCAATGAATAAGAGCCGAGCCGCGTGCTATAAATCAAGTCTATAAAGTGAATTAGAACTGGTGAGTGACAAGCCACAGATGGTCCCCATTCACGAGGACCTTGACCTTACATCCCTTCGCCCAGTTTGATGCGTCAGATGCCAAGGGGCGTACGGGCAAAACCTTGCCCATCAAAACTGAGCCGGAAAGCCATCACCATATAAGCACAAGGGTATGACAGTTTGGGCCCTGGATAATTTCCCGCACACACATGAAAGCTGGTCGCAGACTGTTACGGTATTACCTAATACCTTCACATATTTATGTACATATATACCTCTAGCTTCCCCTTTCTCATCTGACCTTGCCTCTTCTTCCTTAGATATCGTTGAATCTAGATATTTCATCCCATCAGCCCTTACCAGCGCAGCTGCAGGCCTGATTGTCACACAGACGCCTAGGGTTGCTGTGGCGGTACTAAAACATAAACAAGGTGTCATGATATTCAAATGGTAACTTTCCGGAACCCCTTCTGGAGGGGTTCGGAAGATACTGCATTTTAATGGCTATTGTACATTTCATTTCGCCAAAGGCGTCAAGGCCTATAGGTAATCAATCATGCATCATGACGAAGAAACCAATAACCCCAGGCGCCTAACGAGCAGTGTGTATAACCGTGTGTGTATGTACGGGTCTGTGCCCATAGTGCCGAAGACGTCGAGTCTCAAAAAAAGAGGGAACTCTAGATAAACATCCAGATCATAAAAGTCGCAAGGGTCGGCAAGCCCGCCGCCGTCCAGTACACCAAGTCCAGCCAAAGGGGATCCCCTCGTTATCGAAGTCATAGTCTCTAGACTTAGTACAGACCCCGTGCACGGTTGTCCTTGTGGGGCAAGAAGCGGCGTTCCTTGAACTTCTCTACCATTGTGGTGGGCGTAGCGGCTGCAGACGAGGCGATTCCAGATGACATGACACCAGAAAAGATGGCTCCAGATGAGACGGCGAAGGACGAGGCGGCAGCGCTGGACGGGAGCTGGATGAAGCCGCCTCCGGCCATGGTGGGATCGGTCTCTGGGTCCGAGCTGGCCGTCGGTACGGCAGCTGAAGAGCTGGCGGTTGCTACGGCAGCTGTCTGGCTAGCTGTTGTGAAGGCGGCCCCCGATGAGGGACCAGCACTTGGGAACCCGGCGCCGGCGCCGCCTTTGGCAGCGCAGTATGGCACTTGGTTGACTTCGTTGATCGTGCAGGCCTGGGTGGACGCATCACATGAGCCCCCGGGCTGATCGTCGCTGGTTAGCTTGGAGGATCTTCTGGTGTACGTTGCAAAGGGGGAAGGGGGCAACTAACCTGCCATGTGCCGGTGACGTCGCAAGTTTGCCAGCCGCTGCCGTCCGCGGAGCACTGAAATTTTCCGGCAGTACATGCGCCCCCAGCCTGAGGTTGCGGTGCCGCCAGGGCGACCGAGGCGAGTGTGAGTGCTGCTAGGAAGTGCATATTGTCGATATAAAAATGGAAAACTGGTATGTTGATGTTTAGAAGAAGGAGGAGGAGGGAAAGGAAGTTGATGAGAGTTGGAGGCTTGATGTATGTATTGAATGGATGCGAACCAGGGGAATAGAGCCGGATGAAGGAGAAGGCTTATATGGATGTGATGAGTGTGTGATGAATGGTTCCTACCTCGATGCCAAGGTGACAGCACCGTCCTAAATAAGCCTTTCCTCCCGCCACCCCAGCTGTTTCATGTGCTGTCATGTAGGCAGCTGTCTCCATCGTTACGTGTGAGGAATCCTATTTCATCACTCGATGGACCAACACCCAGACTAGCCGGGGGACTTTCCAGCAGATCCCAAGCGAGAGACATGGTGGGTGGCTCCCGATCAGCCAAGGGGATCTGGACACTTTGCCCCCCCTTTCCGCTCGCTAGGTGCCGCATACGTGTGGATGTTACTATTCTCGGAGGATTTCCGCAGGCCTCGGCCATGCGGCGCATGTAGATCCCCGGCCTGTACACCCCTGGCATGGATCCTGCCACCCACGGGGCTGACAGGTGAAGGTCGACGTCAGGCTTATGTAATACCAGCATTTGGATGTCATGTTTCAAACATTTGTGGTGCTCAAAAAAGAGCAATAGTGTTTTTTTCGTCAAATCCGGAAGCTCCAACTCCTGGCCCCCAATGAATGACGCCTGCAAGGTTGCGGCTGAACCACTCGCCAGCAACGAGGCGATCATGATGGACAGCTACACAACAATAACTTATAAGTGGTGCTCACTCCCCCGCCAGTGATTCCCACGATTCCACAATTATGGAACCTTTGACGATCGATATCACGTGCTATCATATGGCTGATCTATCAGAGGACATTCATCCATATACAATCGAAGGCAGCAGGCACCAGCGACAGTCGATCGTCAAGCGGCGACGTCAACCCTCTCCGCCCGGCACCCATCAGCAAGCGGGACTCGGTCAACTTCATAGAAACACCACGATAGATCCGTGATGATTTGTGGTGGATGTTTCGTCGAATCGTGCCGATAGGGTTGTTTCGATCACCCCCATTTGAGGTGTCCAGTCAACCGGTCTCGCCGGTGTCCCAACCAGGCTGGTGTTCCCTTCCCGCCTGTAGTGGGCGCCGGGCAGAGGAGCCGCCAGTGTTTGAGGTCTGCGGATACTCCTCCTGCGCGATCCTTCGGCGCGACGCTGCGGTTTTCTGATTGTGGCGGCCAACCAATCACGCAATCAACACTGCCAGCCAACGTGTTCCGATTATTATAGAAATACCATGAGCCCGGTTCCGAACAGGTGGTGCGGGTGTGTAGAATGTAAAGGCCCATACGGCGAGCGACTCCATCGTCGATCGGGCCCGCTGGTGAAGGACCCTGACATTTGGGGACTCCAAGCTTCTTAGTCCTGACTCCCCGTGGGGCGAGTCTCATTCGCCTTGAATAGTTTCGATATTCTTGAGCCACTTGGCTTGCGGTACACCGCTTTGCAGATGTTGGTAGATGGTGCATCGATCGTAGTGGCGCTGTCTCAACTACTCAGCAACAGCAGTCGTAGTTTCGATACCAATGCACCAGCAAGAAAGCAAGCGAGCAAGCGCCTGCCACATAAGCGCCAGCCGCGAGCCGCAAGTTGCATGAGCATGAACGTATAAGCAAGCCACATCTGCAACGCTGATCAGGTACCGGCATCTCCCAGCTGCGAGCTTGCAGATGCGATGGCCAGATCTGCATCTACAGCTTCAGAACATACGAGGATCTGTATTTACGTGCACGCCTGGTGACAAGCGCTCCTGCTCGGACGCCCTTGCAAGCCTCGAGATCGCAATGCACGAAGGCTTATATGAAACCACAGCTTCGAGCACAATGAAGGCAGCAATTCCGTGACTCACATTGTCGCTACACCGTACCGATGTTGAAGTTCGTATGACACAGCCCGGGGATGACATCAATGGATCTCACGACGTGAAGGAGGCAAAATAGCGATTACGGACATATCAGTACGGTACCCGATAAGTGGCTTATTATTACCGAAGGCCTTCCATACTTCGATGACTGATGACGAAGTATGTAATCAAGTGGACTCGTCTAAATCTGTTTTCTGGGGGTGGGCTGAGAGGACACGAATCCTGCGGTTATCACTTTTTTTTTGGTTCTCGCCGCTACCTCTTGCACTCGAAGGATCCGTGACGTCCATCCAATCCTCTTCGATGGAGGTGCGTACGGCGGAACTTTGACCGATCGATATTTAAAAGAAGGACGAGTTCTTGATCAGGGACAACGTTGTTATGATTGACCAGAGCGGCTCCACCTGAAAGAAGATTGGAGGTTGGTTGAGGCCGGTTGAAACAGAGTTGGCACATACGGTAGTGAGTCTCTCTGGTGACGTAGTATCTTATTACAGTGGTGTGATACCTCATGCGGTGCTTAAACAGCATGCTCCTCCTCAAATTATCGCCGGGCGCCGATGATCATATCATCACATCATAATGCCGACAATGTTGGTGATGAACCGTCGAGGCGGCAGCCGGAGCATACCCTCGTATCAAACAAGAAAAAGTATGTGAATATATCATTGGCGAAAAGAACAACGTATCATTCCAGGCCGCTAGAACGCCGAGGAAGAGTCAGAATCTTTTAGGGAACAGATGACGACTTCCGATACCCCTTCCCAGATGCATCCCCCGATGATAAATCGAGTAAAGTATAAGACAAATTCCATCCCACGTATCTCATGAGGCTCATGATTGCCGTTAATAAGCGCACAAGTCCGCCCAGCTATTGCAGAATGCCACACGTTTCCGCCGTCTATGAGAGGACGACCGACCTGCCAGGTTCCTCCGCCCACCCTCGTGCCCTGGAAAATGAATCAAATTACTCAAGCACCTTTCTCCATGTTGCCAAGATCTTTATGAACCTCGCGGAAGATGCTCAGGCCCGTGCTAAATAGTAGGCTTGGAGATTTCTCCTTTAGGTGTGGTTGCTACAACCTGGCTGTGCGGCATAACGTCAACACTGTTAGTGGGTAGGCGACGAGGTTGGTTACAATTTCCACAAGCCGCCGATACTACTCTCAAGTAATCTGGTAACACCATCTAAAAGGAAGCCGACGTGTTTATCACCTATAATCAACTCTCGACTAGAACAGTCACACTTTGCAAAACAGCGTGTAGATTAGTCCCATTCAGTATGGTTTATTGGTACTATGAGTGAGTAGGTTTCAACCGAAATGTCAGGTAGCTATGAACTAATAAGCCTCCGATCTGATCCCAGGCTCTGATTAGGGGGTAGTCCATCGTAGTACCTAGCACCCAGAAGACTACCCCCATGATTATTACCACCAGAAGAGACAGCCTGTACCCCAGCCCTTGCCCCTAATCCGAGGAATCCCAAACACTCATCGCAGGGGTGAGCAAACGTAACATTCGCCAACAGACCCGGCTCAATAAAATCAACCGACGTACGGAACTGCGGATCAGGCATCAACGTCTTCACATTCTTATGAAGCGGCTCGGCGTCCGAGTTGTTCATGCGGAACGTGCACGTCTTTTTCACCCCCGCCGTGATCAGGTCGCGGTAGTACGTCTGGTACGTCGCGACCTGGTGGAACACCTGCGTGAAGTTCGGGTTGATGCCGGCCGCGCCGCCGGGCACCACGACGTCGTACAGCGCCACGGCGCCCGCCTCGGCCAGGTCCTCCGCCCACTTCGTGCGCCCGTAGCCCGTGATGACCGCCGCGTTGGCGTTGTAGGCGTCGCGCCAGACCTGGCTGTTGCTGAGGCCGCCGCCGGGGGCTACGCCGGGGATGCGCACGTCCGAGTCGAGCGTGTGGGAGATCTTTGGGTGCGGGGGTCAGTGATTACTCTTTTGAGGAAAAAAATATGCTGAGGGAAGCGAGGAGTTGGGTGCATGTATCGGCGGCAAATTCTTTGGAGAATAGGTCTGAGGAGGGAATCTGTGCTGTGATAGAACCGGGAGCAAAACAAATGACCCCAGAGTTCACATGCCTCATGCGCGATCAGGTGGTACCACCAGGCCCCGTCGCAGGTCACCGTGTTTCCATTGGACGTGATCCCGGCCGCCTTCGCGGCCTTGAGATTCGGCGTGGCGATCATGTGTTTGTGATGCTCGCGCATGCCCATAGGCGTGGCCGAATTTCTGCGTTATCGTGTCAGTGACACGCCTTGACGTTGACCGTTACGGGGAAATTGGCCGGGAAGCTGAGCATATAGTTATGCGCCTGAGTAGTGACTTACCATGGCCATCTCACCAATGGTGGTGACAGCCTCCTTGTGCCGGCACATGGTCCACACCTCGTCACAGTCCGCGTACTTGACGTTGTACACCTCAAAGTCTTCGGCAGCGTAGCCCTCGCGGGCACCTATTGTGTGGCAGTCTTTGGGTATTCATCCTGAGGGCCATATGCCGATGTGGTCGATATTGGCCGGCTCGAGGTACTGTTCCAGCCCGCGGCTGACCTTGTTTACCATGTCGAAAGGGGGGATGACCGCGGGCTTGGTGTCGGGTCTGTCTTGAGCACTTGAGATGCCGAAGCATGCTGCGAGAGCGAGGAGCCAGAATGAGGGAGCCATTGCTTCTAGCAACGATGCGAAGAGCTGACTTGGGGTGTCGTGTCTGGGTATAGGTGGGTAGTTGGATGCGTAGAGTGAGGAGAGAGCTGCTGTACTAGGATCTTCCCTTGATACTATACGAAATTTCTGAGACTTATACTGTTTTTAGGTAGGCTTTATAGACTATACGTAGCGATCCAGGTGGATAGGCCTGACGTTAGTGACAATGGAAGCTCATTGCGCACTGTGGTCGTCAACTATGAGACGGGCGAGTCAGGCCGGTGTTCACAATGAGATTTGCCTCAATTCTCTTCCCAGATTTCAACTAGTCTCTAGTTAGCGGAATAATCCCTCATGATAAGCCTTTCGTCCATCCTTTGCGGGTTCGTGTGTTAAGCGGTCAGGTTTTCAAACTTGTAATCGCGGTGTCGAAGAAAACAGTCGAACCTTCAGGCCAATCAGGGGCTTTGAATCGTCACATCTTGAAGAAGTCACCGTCACAGTGACTTTGACCTTGATGTATGGTCACTGTGAAATATGTCTCTCATCGACATTTGGGGCAATGGGAGTGTCAGAAAGCTTGTCTTGAGGCATGCTGGCACGTCAGACCGAATCACGTAGAACCGCCTCGTTGGCTGTAACTAACTTACCGAGAAAGGCGGTCGGAAGAACTGCTCCAACGGGATTCGAAATACCTAAAGTCGCATTGTCGACCACCTGAACATCCAAGACTATTCTTCATCTGAAATGAGAACGTACGGAGGACACGTCTCTTTCAGGTACTGACTTCAAGGCCCTGAGTCTAGCTGCTCTAGCTATCACACGATGCTCAGAACTCTCTGATTTCAGTACGGAGTAAGAATAGTTTGTTACGTATCAAATTGACTTTTGATTGTCAGTGATGAGCACCGAGCAAGCTTTAGAGTACCGTCAAGTTTGGACACCTGGACGACTTGGTCAAAAGTACCGGCATAGCGGATACCTTCGACCCTATAGATTCCCTCAGGAGGGACGTCCAATGGGGTAGTGTGCTCAACTTCAACATGACTGGCTAGTTCTTGACGGTGAAGACGGCGGTAAACGCGATGCATAAACAGTCACGCGCCGGAAGAATTGTGGTCTAGATCGGGTTCACGGCGAGATCGTATTGCATGACGTCTGAGTTGGCTTATACACTGAGCCTCACCCAATATTCCCATGATATTCCTCGTACGAGGTGTTCGCCCAGAACGACCTGCGTGGGTCCACTGACAGATCTTAAGTTTCGGCACACGGGTATCAGTCTTCATTAAGTCTTCGCCAAACCGCTGACATCGAGGTCCGTAGGTCGGCAAATACGGCGTCGCAGCTTTAGTGAAGAGTATCCTGCTGGGCGGTACCATCGATACGTATTTCCGACAGCACCGGGACGCCGGGCAGCTGGGTCCAGGACGCCTCCATGCAGATTGTCTCGGCTTCTTTCAAGCCCGAGTCGGCGGTGCACGTAGAGGACGTAGATAGGTACTATGTGCTTCTGGCGGATCGCGGAATCGTTTCGACCGCGAATAGCTCGTGTGCTACACTCAATCAGAACTGACTGACTGCATGATGCAGAGGACTGAGATGTGGGATCGATGAGTCCTGGCCTGCCTGCCTGCGTGGTCGAAGAAGACTATGGTTTTGCTGATAACACACAGGTATACATTACCACTGACATATTCCTGCGGCAGCTGACCCCTTACCGGAAGCTGGCCGCCCAGAAGCATTGTGAGGCCCTTCGAGGCCCCTACGTTTTGCGCATGCCAAACGGACCAAGACGGGAACTAGACATTCGAAGCGGCCAAGTGTCCGTGGAAGTGCGCGAGGAGGCGACAGTGTCATGCCAGAATTTAGCACTCATGCAGACCGATCAGGATTTATCATCTTGGACCGCCTAGGATCACCTGATCGCAAGCGTACGATTGCGATCAGTTATTGCCTTGCCGTATTTGCAATTTTTGTAATACAGCTTCATGAGTGTCGCACGTCCCGTACCTTCGCCCAGACACAGGCCTCCTTCTTTGCACGCCTCAAATTTCGAAGCTTGACCAATAGAGATGACGACCCTTCGAGTAGACTGCAGATAGTGACCAACAATCATCCGAATGTGGTAGAACTGACTCCGGCATTTGCTCGACAGCAGCTTGTCTCGTGGGCGGTATTCGAAATCATGGCAAGTCTTCCGTCGCGTTACACGAGGGCCAAGAGACGCTTTGTCTCGCTACACGTGTGGAAGCCAAGCGGCCAAGCAAGTCAACTCCAACCGAGCATCCTGAATCCTGAGAGCCCAAGACGAGCTTGTCCAGACTCAAGCAATTTTGACTCGGCCGGGTGCCCCTGGTTGACAAACGCTTGAACCATGCTTGCCCAAACCAACGATCGGGCACCTTGCCAATGCGACCTCGCCGTGCCGGATGGCACCGGCCGAATCATATCATCGGATGAAAACGGGCCAGAGTCGCGTTCGGGCTCGTCTACCGCTCAAGTGTCAAGACGGTTTGATCCTCGCTGGTGGTTCAGTCGGCAGATCTCGGCTGCGAAGCTGATCTCTGGCACGCTGAACGCGCATCTTGCCCATCGATCTGTGTTTGTGTCGATCTGGGGCGGCAGGAACTGAGTCCACACTGCCGCTGCTGGCATCAAATGAGATAAGATGAAATATGCTCGCAAAGGTCCAAATACAGGGCGCTTTGGCGTCAGAAATCCGCAATCGAGTTACTCAAAGGCCAAGTGCTCACATCAGAGCAAGACATGTTGTTTCTGCTTCGGACCCGGGAAGTAGCAATCAGGATCGTTTCGCTTGGATTCGGGGCCGGCGCGGCTCGAATTGGTTGGAGTGGCTCATCGCGTGCCGTTGACGACAAAGGACAATGGCCGAACAGCCAAGAACTTTCTGAAGGTGAAATGGGCTGATTGCTGTACAGGGTAGCGAAGCCCTGGCATGCGAACTTGGCAACACGATGCTCTGATGGCGATAAAGGCTGGAGTGGCTGGAGCATTGTAGCAGTATGCCTTGTCGCTGTTTGCATCACGGGATGGTGTTGGACGGGAAGACAATTAGACATTTACAGCCATGGAAGTTACAGACTTACAGTGGCATAGGTACCGCTAGCCATGCACTGCATCCGTCTTCCCCCAGCGCTAGAACCTCGGAAACCGTTGCCCAGCCACTTGGCAGGAAACTTGGCGTGCCAAACCCGCTGGGGAAGACGCGTTTAATCTTTGCTAGTGGCTCGACGTCAATCAACCTCCTCCAACTTCATACATACACATCACGAGGACACAAATAGCACAACGAAGTGTCCAACCACGTGGCCACAGGCGGTGCACCGAGCATCGTCCCAGGCACCGACAGATAATTCGGACTTCCTATGGCAGATACCGGTACCTATCAATGGCCTTATCTTGGGAGCATGGGGCCATCACCGAGATACTCCTTCAGAGGGATAATGGCGTTCAATGACGAGCCAACCCCGTAAGTTGGAAGCCCCCACGGCGCTGCCTCCGTAGGAATATGAGAGGCAAAATGCGGCCGAACTGCGCAGCCAAGAGAGGCCTCGTAATGGGCACGGGCAGTACCAGCGAAACTTCACATCGGCACTCATCTGTTGTGTCTTCCAAGCCTCTGATGCTTCACATCGCACTTGGCAGTTCATCCACGTCCCGTGAAACTGGGGAGCTGCGCTTGCAATGGCATATCCCTTCTGTCTCTTATCTTGATGCCACTTTGGCTATTACACGTCGCCAGTACCAACATTGCCACTTCAAGGGCCTCGACCAGTGGAGTCAGTGGTTGTGGCTCACTCTGCTGGGATGCATCTGGGGCAGATTCCTTCAGTGGATGCAAAACGTCGAAAGTTCGTCCGCGCCTTGCGAAGTCAAGCAACACTCTCAGCCCTCGGGTCCCGGGAACTCCGTAGGTTCTTCGATAGTGCGGTCTGTTGCCGGGAATGCCTGGTCAAGAAATACACCATCACCTGCTAGGCTGCCAATGCCCTTTGCTTCGTCTCGAGCGAGACGTTCATGTTACTTCCAAGGCTGGGCGCAAGGCCAGGGAAGCTGTGCCAATCATACTGTCGTATCCTGAACTCGTCGCAGCGCAATACGCCGCAGTGCAATATGTCGCCGTACAATATGCCGCAGTGCAATATACCGCAGTACAATAGGTATCCTCAGCACAATATGCCAATATACCGCAGTACAATACGCTGCAGGGCAGTATAAAGTACCGGCATGGTCAGCGAGCCAAAAAAGGCAACATGGAGCTCATCGCATTCTCGCCACAATATTCCCATCGGGCTTTCCGAGCTTCGTCTTTTCTTTTGCGATAAGCTTACCGAGAGCTCTTCGTAGGCGGTCCTCCCAACGTCGTTGTCATTATCTAGAAGTGCTTCATCTGCCCTTTCGTGTCCCTCATTCACGATACCCACTCGCCTGTCCCTTTTACACTAAAATCAATCATACGACATGTCTCCCATCAACCAGCTCATCCTCCTCCTCGCCGCATCTGTGACGCCGGCCTTGGGTTTCTGTGGTGGACACACCCATCTCGACAGAAGGGATGAGGGCGAGGTGCCCGAGTTTGGCTATTTCGGGACTAAAGGGCCGCTCCTCTGGAACAAGCTGGCCACCGCCAACGCGGTATGCTCGACAGGCACCAGACAGTCACCCATCAACATGGTGCCCGAAGTGTTCAAGCTCATAGACGCTAAAGACATCAAATTGACTCTCCCTGGGAACGTGGATGATGCTATGTTCGAGAACCTTGGTACAACCGTCGAGGTGGTCATGAAAGACAAGAAAGGAACCATCACCCTCGACAAGGTCGACTATACGCTGAAGCAGTTCCATTTCCACCACCCGAGCGAGCACGTGGACAACGGAGTCAGCCTGCCGATGGAGATGCACATGGTGTTCACGACGGAAGAGGCCCAGGTGGCCGTCATCGGCGTCTATGTGGACATCATCGACACGTCCTCCATCATGCGCCTTGCGCGCAGGGCCAGGCCATCGAAAATGCTCGAGACGATCTTCGCTTCCGTGGAAGATATCGCAAAGGCCGACAGCGAGACGGAGCTGCCGAAGTTGAACATGTCGGAGCTCAGCAAGCTCCTCCTGGCGGGCAAGTTCCAGAGCTATCCGGGCTCCCTCACGACGCCGCCGTGCTCCGAGGGTGTCTCGTGGCTCGTCTCGACGCAGAAGCTGATGCTTTCGCAAAAGACGTTTGTCAAGGTCCGCGACGTCATCGGCTTCAACTCGCGCTACCCGCAGAATACCCCTGGGGAGGCGAACTTGCTGTCGATGGTGACTGCATAGGTCTGAGTTGAGGAATGTTGCGCCCAGCGAGGGCTCTTGAATGCGGGATGACAGGCTACTACATGTGTAATGATATAGACATAGAGGATATAGACATTGGGATGTTTAATGACAACATATGAAGTTGAAAGAGAGCAATATGGAGTGTGAAACGCAGATGGGCCCAAGATATTGTTCATGTATCGGCTTCGTCCGATGGTGCATCCGTTCATGTACCCCCCTAAACTAACCGCCTAGCGCCCGCTATTCTGGCTCACCTGCAGTGTAACCGACGCCTAGAAATTCCGTCATAATTGACCACCACATCGGGTATCCTGGACAAATATTTTCTGGCTGCAATCAATAAGCACCAGGAACTTGCGACAAACCACCAAGCGACACCTCGTAGGAAACATGCCTTCTTACTATACCGACATCGACATCGCCTGAGAGAGACCGATCCCTACTTGTATACACAACACCAAACCGCTGTAGGCAGCCGGAAGCCCGCCATGGCGTCCTCCTTCCTCGAGCGAGCTTCGTCCAACTCGCGCGTCCAGCTCGCAGCGACAGCCATTGTGTCCGGCGCCGTAGCTGCCAGCGCAGTCCTCGGATACCAGCGCCTGCGCCGGGAAGAGCGCATCCACGAGCTGAAGGATTCGATACCGTCACAGGATGACGAGGGCGAGGAAGCTCTACGACGGGTGAGTAGTCGCCAGCCCCCAATACCCAATGCCTCCGGCCCAACCCAGCCTCGCTTGCCTCGCCCCGGACCCGTCACCCGTCCACTGACCAGCGCAAGGTTTATTAGCTCAACAGCTTCGGCGGCTCGTCCTCGAACGCCGACAAGGAAGACCTGCGCAACGAGATCCTGGCGCGTCGCGCCCAGGCCGGCGACTACGACGACGAGCTCATACTGGAGCAGCTGGCGCGCAACCGCGTGTTCCTGACGCCCGCGGGCCTCGACAAGCTGCGCTCTGCCTTCGTCGTCGTCGTGGGGTGCGGCGGCGTGGGCTCGCACTGCGCGGCCGCCCTGGCGCGGTCGGGCGTCTCGCGCATCCGCCTCGTCGACTTCGACCAGGTGACGCTGAGCTCGCTGAACCGCCACGCCGTCGCCACGCTCGCCGACGTCGGCATCCCCAAGGTCCAGTGCCTGCGCCGGCGCCTGCTGGCCGTCGTGCCCTGGGTGCGCTTCGACCTGCGCCAGGAGAAGTACTGGGACGAGGCCGCGGACCGCCTGCTGGAGCCGTGGAAGGACGACGACGACGACGACGGGCGGAAGCCGGATTATGTGGTGGATGCCATCGACAATATCGACACCAAGGTATCGCTGCTGAAGTACTGCCACGATCACGACCTGCCGGTCATATCGGCCATGGGCGCCGGGTGCAAGAGCGATCCCACGCGCATTATCGTGGGCGATATCGGGACGGGCACAGACGACAGGCTGTCGCGGTCCACGCGCCGGAGGTTGAAACTCCTGGGGATCACTAAGGGGATACCTACGGTGTACTCTACGGAGAAGACGGGCGAGGGCAAGGCGGAGCTGTTACCACTGCCCGAGGATGAGTTCCAGAAGGGCCAGGTTGGCGATCTCGGTGTCCTGCCGGATTTCCGCGTACGGATATTGCCGGTCTTGGGAACGATGCCTGCCGTGTTTGGGTACACGGTCGCAAACCATGTCATACTCTCCATCACCGGTAAGTTGCCGACCCTCACCTCGCTCCCCTTTTTTCTGTTTTACGCTGTTATCTGACTTGCACAAAGGATACCCCCACGACTACCTACCCGCCAAAGGCCGCGAGAAGGTGTACGAAGGCCTCGTAGCCGCCGTGCAAGGAAACGAAGAGAAGCTCCTGCGGTACATGACCGGCGGCGACCCCAGCATCACCGTCGGCCTGAAGGTCCCCGTCACGACGAGCGACATGGCCTTCCTAGCCGAGGAGATCTTCAAGGGTCAGAGCGCCATCACGGGGCTCACGACCCGCCTGACGGTGCTTCGGTGGCGGAAACCGACCGCCTCGACGCTGGTCAGGATCGGCGAGCCGCCCGACGAGCAGAAGTCGTCGAACGTGAAGTTGGAGGATCTTGTGATCATGACCAAGGAGGAGGGCCTGAGGCATGATAAGGAGGTGCTACGTGGGGATAAGAGGCCTGAGGATTTGTACGATGCTAAGACTGTGGAGAAAGTCGAGGCGCTGCTTAGAGAGACTGCCAAGTACGAGAAATATAGGTAGAGTCTGGATTATATAGCTCGTATATATCACCCCGGGCTGGCGTTCATAGTCCTAATCATAATCTAACTCCAAATCAAAGTGACCTGCTTCATTCATCTTGCCTGACGCTAACTCCTCCTATACCACTACTAACACCACCTCAAGCACGATATTCACATGTTATCACAACCTGCTCTCCCGCCTGAACCCCTCCCACAGCGCCACCGCAGCCAGCGCCTTAGCATCCCTTCCGCCCTCGCGCCACAGGTCCCGCATCCGCACCAGCTTCAGCGTGATCTTCTCCCCGTGATCCCTCAGCCCGGTAAGCCTGCCCGTCCACTCGCCCAGCTGCGCCCGAGGCACCCGCCGCTCGTGCATGTAGATGGGGATGTGCTCGTCGCAGCCGCCGGCCGAGGGGTACATTGCGTGGGGTAGTGCCTCGGCCTCGTCGTCTTCTTCTCCCTCTTCTTTCTCTCCTCCTCCTACTCCTCCTTCCTGTCTAGTAGTGGTAGTGGTGGTGGTGGCAGCAGCTGCCATCTCACTCAGACACCGCAGTTCTGACGCCGGGATCTCGAGACCGAGCTCCTCCTTGATCTCCCTGGCTGCCGTGCCGGCGAACGAGCCGCCCTCGTCTACCATCCCCGCCGGCAGCTCAGCGAAGGCTAGGCTGCCGGCTGGGATGCGCGGCTGGACTGTCAGGAGGACGTAGCGCTCTTCTTCCTTCTCGTCTACTGCTGTTCCTACGTGTTCCCCACCTGCTTTTGCTTTTGGGGACTGGCGTTGGGGAGCATCATCGGGGATCAGCATGATGAGCATAGCGACGCTGGGCCCGCGCAGGAACACGCTGCCTGGCAGCTTCTCACCCGCGGCGTTGGGGACGTCGGCTGTCAGCTTGAGGAAGCCGAGCCGCGACCCGGACCCGCTGCCGAAGAGGTCGTAGCTCTGGATCGCGATGGAGCGCAGGGCGTAGGGGTCTGGGTGGAAGGGGTGCGAGGGGTTGCTGTGTTGCAGGGCGAGGGAGTGGCTGAGGGTCTTGAGCCAGTTCTAGGCAAGTGGGTGGTTAGTAACTTTAAGGAGCTGGATTATTACTCATGAGAGGAGAGTGTATAGGTAGCATGAGATGAGAGTGTTTGAGCTTACGTTGAAAGGCGAAAATGCCAACAGCTTCTTCTCTGTGAGGCCTTGCGGTAGTGTGACTTCCACCTCAGCCGGGGATCTTATGGTGATGGTCGTCATGATGGACGTGGTGATGGTGATGCCTGGACGCAGCCGCTTACTGCCGATGAAGGGGATTGGGCTTTTGCTGCTTTTGACGCTTTGACGACTTGCGTGAGAGAAAGGTCTTGATAACCTTGTGGCTGTACTCAAAGGACTGCGCATCTCTCAATCAAAATCAAAATCAAAATCAATGGAAGTCATTCGTGAATCTCAGTGATGGAAGTTCATGGCATTGAGGCTGCTTGCTGCTTGCAATGAGGTGAGGCTGCTTGCAATGACGTCGTTCTGCTCATGCCTGAGGAAAGAGCAAATGCACTCAGCCGTGCTGCTCCTGCCAGCAATCGCTCATTCTACTGCATTGAAACCTTCAAATTGCCCACAACTCAATCAGCCTAAGCCTGTGCATCTTCTACATCTTTTTTCTCTTCCATGTCTCAATTCTATGAGAAAACACCACGCCCCTCTGAGCACCAACTCAGGTCCGCTCACTGCTGGAGAAAGCCACACGCCCACGCCACGGTAAGCGTTCCCACCTGGTCCGGTCGCAACAATCCGAGAATTCTCCGCTGCAAAGAACGATTGGTCCACAGCCAGAGCAATGTCACACTCCTATATATTTTGTCATAACCTGCAAATGTTATCCAGCAACACATCGTCCCGATTAGTGTAACGGTTAACATACCTCGTTTTCACCGAGGAGCTCGGGGTTCGATTCCCCGATCGGGAGATACTTCTTCTTTTGCCAGCTGTGTAGCACTGTGTATCTTCTAATTTCTATCATCTTCTTTTTGTAATTATCGCGCTTGCTTACTCGACTTCTGTTTTACTCCCTGTCCAGAGAATTAGACAGCCAACCCTTTGCACACCTGCATCCTTATGGATCCCAGCCGCTGGATCCAGCCACCAGTACCTTATCGGATCTCCTGTCATCCAGGGCGTTCTACGATAAGGTTACCTGGGATGGCTGCCCCAGGTGACAGGTACCAACCCACTGTAATTTAGGTATTTAGATACTTCTCGGATGAGATCCCTTCCCAAACCGAACTGAAACCAAGCACCAACCAGAATACAGATCATCCCAACCAAGACTTGTGATAGATCTCCGTTCTGGTTCCGCTACCACAAAGGCACATCCTTAGGCCGTGGTGCAGCACCCTACAAATGCCCAGTTGAAGGACTATTTGAACAGTAGAAGAGCTTGGAAGATGAACCATAAGCACTTCACCCTTGCACGAAGAGATCGTCGGAATGTAATACCTAGCTAGGCTTCAGGTGTCTCCTGGTGAGACACAGCAGGGAGACACAGACTGCGAGCCGCCTGATGGTGGCTATATATAGTAGAGTCCTTTCGAGCTGTGACATCCTCTTCACCCTGTGTCTAGGAGGGCGACATCTTGAGTAAACACATTCCCGTTGTGCCAGTCTGCTGCTATTGCCGCTAGCGTTCTCAGGTTTATTGTATTCGACTGGCATTGATCCATGCATTGCAGACGTGCAGGAGACTTCGCCAGCTGGCCAGCCTATTTGGGTCGTAAGATCCTACTTCATGGGCATATGTAACCAACCCTGTCTTAATGATCGCTTTGTATAGCTAGGTAATTGATCGCTTTGTATAGTGCGTGCAGCCTGAGGTAGATACTAGGCATTGGAGATGGAGTTGGTCCAGCGCTTGTACCGCTTGGTACAGTCTGGTGTCCAACATTCCTAGCTGGCTGCCTTGGGCCTCTCCTATGTTTCCCATGTCGGCAATTGCATTGAGCTCTCTTGTGTTTCCCATGGCGGCGACTATGTCGGGCTCTCTTGCATCACCCATGTTAGTAATGATGTCGAGCTCTTAGGTTTCTCATGTCGGCAACCATGTCACTGTAACTTATAGGTACCCTTTTAAGACAACTTCATTAACAGAACCAATAGCCTTATCGACAGGATCGCCGACAACGTCACTAACAGGATTGCCGACAGGCTTATTAACACCTCATTATATCTAAATTCCACGTCCTATGTTCAGATCAATGTCAAATGCTCTACGTAACGGAACAAGGAAACGACAAATTGTCCCATAAAGCCAACGCGACAATCAGAACCCGAACAAGCATGTAACTTTATACAACACCCCCCTAGAGTCTCTTCGTCACCATCTATAGTACCTGGAGTCTACTTCTCCCCAAGACATTATGAACGCCAAACTCCATCTCTTCTATGTTCTTGATGTGTTGTCTTCCTCTCCATCCATCCATCCACCCATCCCCCTAAACCAAATGCGAGCCCCCCCTCGTCTTCACCACCTCCCCCGTAGCATTCCGGTCCCTCATCAAATAAACATAAGCCTCCGCGACCTCCTCCACCCCTCCCGCCTTACCCACCGGCAGCTTCAGCTTCTCCGCCAGCTCTCTTAATCCCTCCTCCCGCTCTTTCGCCGTCGGCCACGTCGTGTCCCACAGCCCCGTATCCACGAGCCCCGGCTCGACGATATTCACCCGCCTCGGCTGCAGGTCCAGCGCCAGGTTCCGCGTCAGTCCCACGATGCCGGTGCAGAGGAAATTGATCAGGCTCCAGTCCGCCATCGGCTTGTCCGCGATCGACCCCGTCGTGAGCGTGAGGCTGCAGTTCGCGGACGGGCGCAAGTGCCGCTGGGCGAGCTTGCCGACAAGGATGGGAACGAGCATGCGCATATGCGTCGCCTTCGCGATCACCTCGGGCGTCATGTCTTGCAGGGGCACGATCGAGAGGTTGTCCGCGGCCGTGAGGACGATGTGGTCGATGGGGGCGCCGTCGTGGGCCGCGACGGCTTGTCGGAGGAGCGATTCGAGGTCGGCTTCGACGGTCGCGTTCGAGAGGTCGCAGTTGAGGCCGACAAGCTGCGGGGACGGGTATTCTTTCTTGAGGGCGGAGACGGCGGCTTCGGCGCTCTGGGGCGAGGAGCCTGACAGTGTGACGCGCGCACCGGACTCGAGGGAGGCTTCGACTACGCCGCGGCCGATGCCGTTGCTGCCGCCGATCACGACGATGTGCTTCCCCGCGAGCTTGTTGTACTTGGCCATGGCCGTCGTGTGGTGTTTAGTATAATCATGCGAGGATAAAGATACGAGCAGAATGTAGAGTCGAGATGGGATGTTTTTTCAAGGCTTTCGCGATTCGGTGTATCTATCAATAGATACCTGTGCAAAGCAGCGTTCTTCTTTCTAATCTAACAAAACATCTGGCAATGCCATGCCACTTTATATGCCTTTCTATACGTCTCTCGCGGATTCTATGCGTCATCGCGCAATCCGTGTGAAAAAGCTTCGCGCACTGAACCTAAACTCCGAACGTAACTCCACGAACCCTTCCCTATCGAGTAACTCCTTTGCCCGAAGCCGAATTCACGGCGACAACTCTGTATCGGATACTCTGGGATCTTATGACTCTTTGCCGTCGGGATGGAGCCGCTTCTCGACCTGCTGACAAAACTGCTCATCCAGCTCAGCCTCGCGAATGCTTCGCTTGCGCTCGGCGGTCTCAGACTCTATAGGCGCAGACACGAATGGCTTCGACGCGGCAAACTCGGAGTCGACAGGCTCAGACTCGTCGAACTCGGACTCGTCGACCTCGGACTCGGCATGCTCTACAGCAGGACGTTGAGCTCGCAAAAGTTCGTCCTAGGAACTTCGCTGAATAAATCGCAGATCCTGCTTCTGCTGCGCCGTGGGCGAGTTCCGTCGTACCTGGTCCAGAGGTGTTTGGCCAGGGAGTCTTCGGAGCTTGAATTGCTCATACATGCCACCTAAAACATAATTCTTTAGTCCTTGCCCTTGGCCCAATCAACTTCACGACTTACCTTTCGTGTTTTTGTTTAAGAAGAGTGCTTCTACGCGATACAGCCCATCGTATCGGATTCCACAGGGTGGAAAGTACTCGTTGTTGCCGCTGGCCGAAGCTCCTGAGCGCAATACTCGGACCGGATTTTGGGATGCGATGGAAGCCTTGAGAGACTTTGTGCCGGAGGTCGACTCATTAGGCTTGTTCGGGTCTTCGTTGGTATGGCTGCCTGAGCCAGAATAGAAGATGATGTCGCCCAAGTCTCTGTCAAGGTCATGATACTTGCCAGAGAGCACAATGGAGAAGGCGCCGCGAACGGTATCGCCAGAAATACCGCCCATCGACGTGCCATGTGCTCCTTGCTGCAGGGCACAGAGCTGGAAGGCGAACCACGTTCCAACTACCAGACCGTTGTGGCCATAGACTTTTGCGCTTCGCTTGAGGATCAGAATGTTGAGCCGCATGCCTTTTCTGCCGTTCTTACCCCGGAAAACCGCTGTAGCGTTCATAGTTAGTTGTTATAATGACTGGACGATTTCGAGAACAGGGAGAGGTCTCGAGTGACACTTGAGGGACGGACAGCCTCCCAGAAACCCAGATAAAGACAAGCTGGTCGGGCTATGTGACAGAGGGAAAGATAAGGGAAACCTACTGATTCCGTACATGATACCTCCCGGGCCGAAGTAACGGTCGTCGGGAGAGGGCAATGCAAACGTCACTGTGAGCGTGTCGCCATCAGCGGCCGGAGGAGCGTCAAGATCTGTTGAGTCGTCTTCTTCGGCGACCTCATCGTCGACGACAGCATCGGCACCCCAGTTCTCATCCTCCCATGCCTGATACTGCGCCTGGATTCCGTCTGCGATGTCCTGAGGGAGCACCAAAACTCCCGGCATGCCCATAGGCAGCTTGAAGAGACCGTTCATGTTGTATCTTCCCTTGATTTCGGGTGTCATCTGGAAGTCTGTTTGCAGCCAGGCAAGAAACATCCGCGCCCTCTTCAGGCGTCGTCCACACTCCACGTCGTCGTCGAGAGGAAGGCGGCCTTTGTGATATCTCATGCATCGCTGAAACAAGGACTTGAGGCTCTCCTTTTCTCTCTCTACGAGCTTGAGCTTGGCTTGCGGGTTGTCGCTGACGAGAAACACCTCGACAGTGCCCTCGCTGGGGCGAGTCATGTTGTTGATCTGGACCATTGCAGAGGACTATGTAGAGCGCGGAGGTCAGATGTGAAGGTGAAAAGCTACATCCCGATGGACTGTGTAGAGAGCGGAGGTCAGGTGTGAAGGTGAAAAGGCTAGGAAGCGGAAGGAAATTTGCGCTCTGGTGAATCGAAGTTTGGCGTGCTGGATCTGGAGGTGAGGAGGGAAACGTGACGGGGAACGTGACGGGGAACGTGCTGGGAGACGGGGTGGGAGACGGGATGGGAGACGGGATGGGAGACGGGGTTGGAGACGGGATGGGGAACAAGGTGGGAATGCCTTGGGAGACAATATGGATGGGTGAAGATATGGGAGACGATGTGGGCGGCGACATGGGAGATGGCGGATTCGGCGTCAGTGGCCAAAGACGAGAAAAAATTGTCTGGTCTATGGTGTTCGGATTACCTTGTCCAGGAGATCGGTAATGCTGATCGCAAGAGTATGCTCACAGCACCATCAAGCCAAGGCTGTCACCGATCAGGATCTCAGATCACCATTCCTGTCGGCGACATCAACTTCTCTTCCTGCCAACTATACCCAACCCGCTTCGGCATCCGGTTTCTCCTCTTCAGGTACTGCGGACTTGAGACTTCAGAATCGGCAAGGGAAGGAAGGGGCTGTGTAGTCTGCAACGGAAGGAAGAGGAAAGCCGCGATGCGAAGGCGGATGATGCAGAGTATGAAGTAAGAAGGAAGGTGTGCAAACCGACGGCAAGACTGTGATCTGTAATCGTGAGCGGCAGCAGCCTTCTGGCTTGGTGGTGTGCTTGGGGGTAATCTGCAAGAGCCCTTCAAGTTTGGTGGTGTGCAGGCTGCTGGTGTCACAAGGAACCGGCGACAGGAGCGTTGGTGATGTGCGGGATTCGGAGCGGCAGATGGTGCAGAAAGAATCGCCGGTCGCCTTTTTATCGCCAAACTTTACTTTGTGATGGGGCCGGACGAGTTGCAGCCAAGTGGAACTAGCGGGAGATGCAAAGTAAGGCAGCAAGCAACGCACGGATCAGCCTGCCGACACAGCTCGGCGATAAGGAACGATGCACGTAATAGGGAATCGGTCTTGCTGTCCCTAGTCCTTTCCCACTACGATACGTGTGCAAAAGGGCAGCAGGAAGATGCAATTGGGCTTCAACTACCTTGGCGAAGGGTAGGAAGACCTGCACTCTATCTAGATACGTGGCACCAAGGGCAATGTGTGACCTTGGCGAGAGGTTATGAAGATACACTCTCTGTAGGAACACGGACTTGCACTCTTGCCAAAGCTTCATGGACTGGAGGCGAAAGAACGAAGGGGAGACCTAGAGGCCACAGCTGGCCCTCATATAGCCAGATCAAGTTAAATAGTGGCAAAGAAAACAGGGATTCGTATTCTATGGTAGTAAGGTCTGGCCAGTGTGCATGGAACGTATCATGATCGTGGAGTCTGCATGGATAAGAAGCAAGCAAAAACTCGAGAAATGACGAGAGCGACATGGGTTGTTCTGAGATATCTGGCATCTAGATGCACTATGAGTGGTGGTAGATAGATAGTGCCCATTTTCTGTCGCATTTGATGAGTCGAAATCATCCTTGATCCTTCCACTGAAAAGAGAGGCGGTTCGGTGACGATATCTGATAGCCAATGGGGGACTGTGCCAGCTCTCGAGACGCTAACAAGAGCGTTGAACTAAACCATCAGCTGGGCGAGCTGGCAGACCGGCAGACTCCAGGTCCAGACATCGCGGGGTTTTGTATCTCTTTTGCAAACTGTCGTCACCCCTCAGGCGACAGGCGACAGGCCCAGCGGTGACCTGAGGTCTGTTGACACAGTGGAAAACCAGTACAGTCCATGGATGGGTGGGCGCCGTGCTGCCCACTATCAAGTCTCCTCCCAGGTAGCTTGGCTGGTTGGATACCACTCGCTGTCCTGATGACGCTAGTGAAGCACGTGCTTCAACTGCAAACACTTGCATCTCAATTTATCTCAGTTATCCAACAACTATGTTGTCAGTCCGTGCATGCTGGGGCGCAGGTGGGGCTGATGACTTGAAGTCCAGGTCATGTGCAGACTGGTGCACGCCTTCCGGCCCAGCTTCCACTTGGACCAGGGCAATGGAACAGAGCATCAATTCAACTCCTTGCAGCAAGATATCACCCTTGGGTTTCCGCTTCTAGCCAAGAAAGTTCTTGACGTTGCCACCAACAGTCTTGAGGTCGAGCAGGAATGTATCGTGGCCAAACATGCTCTGCTCCTCGCTCAACTCGACGTGGGCGACATTCCTGTTACCGGCAAGACGGAGCGCATTGGCAACCTCTCGCTGTTGCCAAGCTGGGAACAGAATATCACTTGCGACACCCATCACCAGAGTCGGGATATCTCTCATCGCAGATAAGCCAGCGATGAGGTCCTCCGGCGGCCGGGAATCAGCAGCAATTGGTGTGACAGAGTCATCTATCTTCGACTCAGCATCAGGCTGCTCAGCGTAAGGCGCATCTGGCAGTGTGAGGCTGCAAGACGTGTCATCCGCTTTCGGTTCGGATCCAGACCGAATGAGCTCTTCTCGCTCGGCCCTCCGTTCAGCGGCCGCCTTCTGGGTCTCTCGGCCCAGGTCAAACAAGTCCATCGCTTTGCTGACATAGAGAAGACTGTTCGGGTCGTAAGTGAGACAGAACTTCTCGCCGGCATGATCCAAGTATGTCTCAATCAGGAAATCCGGACACAGTGCCGGCGGCTTCGTTGGATCTGCTCTCCTTCGACCGAATCGCTGTTCCCATTCCGGGCCGGATCGATACGTTACTGTGGCGATCTCCCTGGCGAGCTTCATGCCTGCGTGCGGTGGTACGCGTCCATAGTAGAACCCACGGTTCCAGTTCGGATCCATCATAAGCACTTGCCGTTGTGTATGGCGCATCGCAATACTGTATGGATGGCTCCGCGCACAGCCGCTGATGGACACGATACGTCCAACCCTGGTTGGGAAGAGGACACCCGCCGCCAGCGACTGCATGCCGCCCATACTGGATCCAACACTTGCGTACAGCTTGTCCACTCCCAGGTGGTCGAGTAACCTGAACTGTGCCCTGACCATATCTTCCATGGTGAGGATGGGGAACCGCGTCGCATATCTCTGACCGTCGGCTGGATCTACACTGCTCGGTCCTGTCGACCCAAAGCAGCCTCCTATGACATTTGTGCAAATGACGAAGTACTTGTCCGTGTCCACGAGTCCTCCCGGTCCGATAAACTTCTCCCACCAACCGGGCTGAGGGTTGCTCTCGGTCGAATGCGCGTGTGACGAGGCGGATAGACCGGTATGTAACAGAATGACGTTCGATTTGTCTGCATTCATCGTCCCCCAAGTCTCGTATGCGACGTCGAAATCGGGCAACATACCGCCCCAGTCGAGTAGGAGGGGATCTCGACAGCGGAATGATTGTGTGGCACCAGTGGTGTACGCCGGCTCGGGGCCTGTCGATAATGACTTGGCTTCTAAGCTCGCAGACCTCGTCTCGAGCGCATCCAGACAGGGAAATGCCATCGCAGGGTTAGACGCCTCGCTCTGGCTCGCGTTGGAGCGCGTGGCGGGCTGGGAGTGTAGGGATCGCATGCCATTCCGTATGGTAGTGCCCTCGAAGGTTGCCGGCGCGGGTGTTCGAGCTGGCGTTGGAAGCCGAGGAACAGGCAGAGCGGCCGGCTGCAGTATGGCAGAGGCTCGGCGAAGAGCTGCTGTGCGGTATCTTTGGACCCTCATGGTGTTGGACTTGGTGTTTCTGAAGGTGTCTCTGATGGGCTCAACCTGGAGATCGAGATAGTCCTGTCATCTACCCATGGTGGTTATGGATGTTTGGCAGCGGAAAAGGTTGAAATTATTAAGAGGTTGCCAAAGACGTTTGTCACCACGAAAGATTTGAGATACCTGGATGATTTGAAAATAGCCGATCTCGGCTAAACGCCGGTCTAAGTGCCGTTTGATAAGGCTCAAGCAGCAGCCGATAAGCCCTCCATCATTGGTAGAAGCTTGTGGCTCCTCAACCCATTTTCCAGCCACAATGACGGATGGGTCACAGACTAGGTACAAGGTACCTTAGAGCCCAACTGGTACCCATTTGTACCAGATTCGTACCCAACTTGGATGATAGCTACTTCTGGGATGGGGACACCACCCATCCCTTCTTTCAATCAAGCAACTTCCAGAATACAGACCAATAGCCACCATTCGTGACCCTGGTCCTTATTCTGGATACCGCTACCACAAGGCACAAGCTCCCGATCTCGAAGACGCGCATGGCTTAATTGGCGTCCGATAAGGGCGCGCTGAATAGGATTTCCTAAATCGCAACTAGTAGGAAAATAATACAGCTAAACCTACTATATTTGTATAAAAATCGGCTAAAACCCTTATTACTTTCTCGATATTACTTTTATAAATAAATAGTGGTAAAGATTTTACTTTTAACCTTGTTTAACTTTTTAACTTTAAATATTTTGTAGTTTTTTATTTATTAAAACCTTTAAAGCTATTCTTTGAGTTAAAGCTATTACTATTATAAAAACATCCCTTTTCATCCTTTTAAACGTTGAAAAGCTCGATTTTTAACCTTTATTAATTTATAACCTTTTTTAATCGTAATAATTTCAAGCTTAAGATGCTAGCTTTTTAAATAAGAAACCAAAAATAAAAATAAACAGTCTTAAAGCTGCCGTTAAAAAGATTGTTTAAAAAGCAGTAATAATAATAATATTATATGTTGTTATTATTTTAATCATTATTATGCCGAACAATTTAATTTGAAAACCCCTAATTAATTCAATCGCTATCTTACCTTTAATACCAACGTAAAAAGCCTATATTAAATTGATAATCTTTTATTAAACATGCTCAATTATACTTATATAATCTTATGAAAATACTATTTAAAACGGGAAAACGATAAAACATCATTTTGGAAAAGCGCACATTTAATAATAAATATAAGATACACTTTTTATCATAACTTCTTTAATATAATGCTTATTATAATTAATAAGGCCTCTAATAAAAATTTAATAATACGAAAATAGATTGATAAGTGTATTACGACTTATAATATAGTTGAATTAATAACGTAGTTAAGGTTAATAAGAGTATAAGTCGATTTTTAATATTTGATAAAAAATAAGCCAAGTATATATATTGTTGGATCCATGTGATTCCACAGTCAAACCATCAATACAGAACCCACATGTATGATTAGATAAGAGATTAGATACCAGATTGTGAGGCCACTTAGCCAGACCTGCAGGTCCAGCTAGAATTCCCAATCCAACCATCAGCAACATCATGACCTTGACCAAATACTCGAGTATTATGATTGATCGTTCAAGCCTGTTCCAACAACTACTCCCCGTTTAACGTTAAAAACAACTACGTTTTAAAAAATAACAACACCTTTAAAAGTATGTCAAAAACGATCTTTAGTATCTACTTTAACGCTAATACTTACCACGTTAACGCCGTTAACAAAGGCATTTATTAAATTAACTATTATCTTTAAAAATAAATCTAATATGCTAGTTACACAGTCTCATAAAAAATAAAAAATAATTATCAAAAACATCTTACACTTATTAAACAACTTTAAAATAAATACGAAAAGCCTTGCTAAGTTTTATATAAAATAAAACCAGTAATAAAACCTATAAAAATTAACTTTGTTTAAACTTTTTAAATAAAAAAGATAATAATATAATTTACTTAAAAAAGTACAAACCACTTGAGAACTGTCAAAGAACAGCTGGCAGCTCAGGACGAAGATGCCCATCTATTACTCCAGATGAATAAGAATCTACTGGTGAGGAGGGAAGAAGGATCAGAACCACCAGCCAATTCTGGTGGAGGATTAGATCTTCAATCCCGCTCCACAATTATCCATAGTGAGTGCAGCGGGGCAACGCGTCCACCCCACCAGATCACCTGATGAGCGCACGTACCACCGTGAATGGATAGATGGATGTCAGATCCATCACAAGAACGACCTTTAAAGATTAAAAACCCCCAAAAATAATTAAAAGCTTGTTATTAAAAAGTAATATGAAAATTAAACAAGTAATTAGCCATATTTCAGTAATAAATATATCGAATAAATAAATTATTGTCTTATAAATAAAACATGTTATTATCTCGTTAACTGTTATTAATTACCTTTAAAATAATGCCTCGTGTGATGGTTGCTACGTCGCTACCATCTGTCACGGGCTCCGGTACGGGCAGTATAGGTGATCGTATGACAGTTTATTCTCTACGGTTCTGGCAGGGTTACGGGTAACTCTATTGACAGGACGTAGCTCGAAGAGCTACAATTCGGGTTCGGGCGGGGACAGTGAAGATATTGTCAGTTCTCAGGTCCATATCGGTCCACCCGGGCCGCCCACAGCTGGCGCCCGGGGTCCCTCCACTTCCTGCCCATAGGCAGGGTCCAGCGCCGTGACAGTACTCCCCTCTCTAGGCGGAGCTCCGACGACGCGTCTAACAGGTTCACAGGCTTCCAGTTTATCCTCATAGCGGAGGTTCAGGTCCGGGCTTGTTCGGGTACCGGCGATGGAAGTTGTTAACAACCTCCTGTGCATTCTCGAGCCAGGCAGCAGGGGACTCCGTGGGCTCGTCGTATCCTTCCCACTTAACAGTATACTTCAGGTTAGGCCTTCCTCCACGTCCTCGGCGATCCCAGCGGGAATCAAGTATCTCCTCTACAGTCCATTCTTGCAGGCCGTTTACTTCGATGGGAGGCGGCGGTTCTTGCTGCTGTCCAGGCTGGGGGTCGGCAGAATCAGGGCGCAGCAGGTTTACATGGAAGACAGGATGTATTCTCATGGACGCAGGCAGCTTCAGGCGGTAGGCGTACGGGCTAATAGCCTTAGCTATTTCCCACGGGCCCAGGTTCTTCCAGTCAAGCTTCTTTTGGGGGCGGGCAGTCTTGATGTTCCTTGCGTCTAGCCAGACCTTCTGTCCGACATAGAATCTGCGGGCAGGTCGGCGTTTCCGGTTGGCATACTCCTCGTGGCGGGCTTGGGCGATGCAGATCTCAGACTTCAGGTACTCGTGTACAGTGGCCATCTTCAGGGCGACCTCCTCGGCATCCTTGGCGGCAAGGCGACGTCCGGGTAGGGCAGGTTCGAATCCGAAACGGGGGTGATATCCATAATTCGCGAAGAAGGGCGTGGTCTTCAGGCTCTCGTTCAGTGCGTTATTGATCGCAAATTCGGCTAACGGTAGCCAGCGTACCCAGTCGTCTTGAAGGTATGATACGTGGCCTCGTAGGTACTGTTCCAGGAAGGAATTGGCGATCTCGGTCTGCCCATCGGTCTCGGGGTGGTAGGCGGTCGACAGCAGTGCGGTGATTCCCAGGCGTTTGGTCAGATGCTTCCAGAAATCAGATACGAACTGGGGTCCTCGGTCGGATACAATGGTTCTAGGCAGGCCGTGCAGTTTCCAGACATACTTAACATATAGACGGGCGACTTCTTCAGAATCGCAGGTTCCCTTACAGTGGATGAAGTGCTTCATCTTGGTCAGGCGGTCGACGACTACCAGGATCGCGTCGTAGCCGTAGCTGTCAGGCAGGTGCGTGATGAAGTCCATCGAAATATCTTGCCAGGCTCTCTGGGGAATCGGGAGGGGTCTCAGGACTCCTTGATGGGCTTCTCTCGAGGCGGTAGTCCTCTTGCAGGTATGGCAATTGCGAACCCATCGTTCGACATAAGACAACATACCAGGCCAGTAGTATTCTCGGGACAGTACTTCGTACGTACGGGCTCGACCCATGTGGCCGGCGACAGGGCTAGCGTGGTACAGGCGCAGGAGCTCGGCGTGGAGTCCTTCGTTCGCAGGGACATACAGGCGTTCGCGGTAATACAAGTGTTCTCCGGACAGTTCGCACTCGGCCAGTGATATCTTGCGGTGGCGAGACTTCTTTTCTTTCAGAGCTCGGACGATCGACTGTAGTTCTTTGTCTGTGGCGTATCCTTGGTTGAAAAGGTCCTGGATCTGGGGAGGTAGCAGCGGTGTAGTCCTCTCGACGGGCAGTGCAGGCCGTGGTGGTTCCAAATCGGGCTGTGGTCGGTGGTCTGGAGCTCCAGGTCCACGGAGCTGGCTGCGAGTGATTGGGTACAGCTTCAGGATCGGGTCTGCGAATCGTACTCGCTTGACGGGGCGGGCTGGTTTCGGCACGGGTTCTGGGGCAGCAGGCACTGGTTCAAGAACCTCAGGAGTCTGTGGTGGAGTTGGCGGCAACTTAACGGGCTGGTCTTCCGGTTTCCTATCTATAGGTAAGAAATCGTCAAGGTTGGCTCTTTTCAGCACTACCTGACTCTGGTGCAATAGGCGTTCATCCCCCTCTTTAGGCAGGTCCTCTGACCTCCTGGTCAGAGCATCCGGCTTCGTTCCTTGCTTTCCGGGGCGGTAGACAATCTTAAAGTTAAAACGGGACAGGAATTCGGACCATCTGGCTTGGCGGCGGTTCAGTAACTTTGTCGTCATGAAATACTCTAGGTTCCGGTGGTCGGTAATAACCTTAATCGGGGAACTCGTCCCCTCCAGCTCGGGTCTCCATTTTTCGAAGCAGCGGATAATCGCCAGCAGTTCCTTGTCGTAAATTTCGTAATTACACTCCGTCGTCGAGTGTTTTTTCGAAAAGAAAGCTACTGGCCTTAGGATTCCATCGTCCCCATACTGGGACAACACTCCGGCGGACACGTAATCAGACGCGTCGGTCTCCAGGATGATATCTTTTCCCCAATCAAACGGGGCCAGGACAGGCGCTGTCGTAAAAGCTTGCTTCAGGCGGTCAAAGGCAGTCTGGCAGGCCGGGTTCCAGTGGAAACGCATTCCTTTTCTCGTCAGGGCTACCATAGGGGCGATGATCTTCGAGAAATCCTTCACGAAGCGTCGGTAAAAGTTACTGAATCCGATAAACGCTTGGACGTCTGTCAGGCAGGACGGGGTTTGCCAGTTCTGAATGGTCTCGATCTTCTTCGGGTCCATGCGAATCCCATTCTTCCCGACAATTACACCCAAGAAGGTGGTCTCATCCTTGAAGAATTCGCACTTCTGGATCTTGGCATACAGGCCGGCTTGTCTCAGGGACTCTAATACCTTGCGGACGTGGTTCAGGTGCTCTTCTCGAGTACGGCTGTAGATCAGGATATCGTCTAGATAGGCAGTGCAAAATACATCTAGGTACTCTCGCAAGGTGTCGTTCATGAACCTTTGGAAGGTTGCGGGGGCCCCAGTCAGTCCAAAGGGCATCACCAGGGACTCGTACAAGCCAAAGCGGGTACGGAACGCGGTCAGGTACTCTTGTCCTTTCTTCATGCGGATATTATTGAAAGCAGACACGATATCGATCTTCGTGAAGTACTTCATTCCCTTCAGGTTGTTCAGCGATTCCTTGGTCAAAGGCAGCGGATATCGGTCCTTAACAGAGATGTTGTTCAGTCCTCGGTAGTCGACGCAGAAACGGAGGCTTTCATCAGCCTTTTTTACGAACAGGACTGGGGAGGCGGCAGGCGACGAGCTGGGACGGACGAACCCCTTGCGCAGGTTCTCTTCCAGCCATTCCTTCAGTGCGATCAGCTCGTTGCGGGACATTGGGTACAGTGGTCCAAATGGGGGCGTCTTGCCATCCTGCAGGCGGATATCGTGATCATAATCCCGGTGCGGGGGGAGTCTTTCGGCTTCCTTGGGTGAAAAGATGTCGGCATAATCCTTTAGTTCCTCGGGCAGCAGGTCTCGGGGCTCCGGCGGGCTGGCATTCTGCAGGTACCGGTCGATATCATTGATCGTAACAGTAAAAAGCTGGCAGTTCTTTCGGCTGTACATCGTACAGGCTCTTAACGATACTCGGGCAATATCTAGATGCTGCAGCTCAGCCGGTCGGGGAGGCAAGTTGTGCGGTCGGGCCTTGGCAGGGACGTCATGCAATGCTCGGATCTTCGTCGGGCAGGCGGGAGTATTGCAGTGTTTCCGGCAGTATTCACTGTCAAAAGTAAAGGTATGGCAGGCGAATCCGATCTTCGGGTCGTGCTTCTTTAGCCAGGGCATTCCCAGAATAACGGGGTAATGGGCCAGTTGGGTCACGAAGAGCTTGATCTCTTCGCAATGGTCTTCAGTTCTCAGTCGGGTCTCGATATAATGGGTGATCATTCCACTCTCGGCGTTTCTTCCATCGAACACTTCTAATCTGAATGGTCTCTTTAGTTTCCTCAGGGGTAGCTCGTGGCTCGCGGCCCAGCTCTGGTCTATGAAGCCTTTTCCTTCGGCTCTGGTATCGGTCATGGCGTAAGTCGGGAGCGCCTTGCTTCCTAACTCCAGGGTAACAGGTAGAATCATCAAATGGGACCTCTGATCCGTTTCTTCTTGGACAGAGACTCCCTTGGCGGCGGCAGCAGATAGTCGGACGGTGGCAGCGGTTCTCGGGCGGCGCTCTTTCTTGGGAGCCTGGGTGCGACTTAACCCAGACTCGCTCCATTTGTCGAGCTCGGTGGGCTGGGAGGCGGGCTGACAGATCGGACAGGATCAGGGCTATCGAAACGGTGGACATAGCTGGCACGGAATTGACGAAGTTGGGACGAGGGGCGAGTATCAGGTTCGGGGCAGGCAGCGACGCGATGACCCTCTGAACCGCAGCGGAAGCATTCTCCGCGCTCTTTCCTTCCACCGGGGGCGAATCTTTTCTGGGAGCTCAAGTCCATAGGCTCTCCTCCGTTGGCGACGGGCGAAGCAGGTCGGGGCGCTCTCCATTCTCTCTTGGGCTGGTCCGGGCTCGGGTTCGGGCTCGCGGCAGCGGGCTGGCGGGGGACAACGGCGGCGGCATAACTGGCAGGGGTTCTGGCAGGAGTGACGATACGGTTCCGGGAGACTTGCTGTTGGTGTTGGCGGAAGCGGTTATCCAGAGCTTGTAGATGGTTGGCGTAGTCTCTGTATTTCCGGGACGGGGTCGGGCTGTGTAGGAGCATATCCTGAAGTTCGTGAGATATGCCTTGGAACAACAATGGGGTCAGGGCGTCCTCGGGCATCTCTCCTTCCAGGGCCAGGCATTGAAATTCGGAAAAGAAGGTGCTAAAATCCAGGTTCCTCTGCTTCAGCTGGTATAGCTTATTCTGGGCATTCTGAATACGGTCGGGGTCTCCAAAGGCGTTCTCCAGGTAGGCAAGCATTTCCGGGTAATCAAGGAACTCGGGAACTCCGTAGCGGGTCTTCGGCAGGATCAATTCGTAGGCTTTCCCGGTCAGACGTCCAGCAACATAGGTCAGGCGGGCAGCAGCGGTCGGGAATCGGTCAGCGTTGGCGGTCATCTTGCCATAGGTCTGTTGCGTGAACCAGCGAAGGTCGCTTCGAGAGCCATCGAATTCTTTTGGGTCAGGGATCTTCTCACTGAGATGGGAAGATCCGGAACAGACGGGCGGAACAAGCGTAGTCGGTATCGGTACAGAATCCGCAGGCTGTTCAGCCGGGGGACTTGGGATAGCGGCAGGGACGGGTCGGGGAGTGTGGACAGCGGGCGTGGCGGCGTCGAGCAGGCGGAGTTTCTCAACCTCTAGATGGGTAATCTCCTTCTGGAGCAGGGCAGTATCTTCTCGGTGCTGTTGCTTTTGGTATTCGATAATTCCCTCTTGCTTGGCGATGGTCGATCGGAGGGGCTGGAGGGAGTTATCGTGGTCAGAGTCGGCGAGGCGGGAGAAATCGTTCTCTTCCTTCAAGGCGGCAGCGTAGCCATTGATATGGCGCAAGTATAACAGCCAGTCGGACGGGTTGTTGGTAACGTGGGCAACGAGCTCTTCTGGAGAGTCCGCTCCCGAAGGCGGTTCAGGCCGCTCCTGGGACATTCTTGCAGTAGATACGGCGCCTATAGGATAGGAGCTACGTAATGTCACGGGCTCCGGTACGGGCAGTATAGGTGATCGTATGACAGTTTATTCTCTATGGTTCTGGCAGGGTTACGGGTAACTCTATTGACAGGACGTAGCTCGAAGAGCTACAATTCGGGTTCGGGCGGGGACAGTGAAGATATTGTCAGTTCTCAGGTCCATATCGGTCCACCCGGGCCGCCCACAGCTGGCGCCCGGGGTCCCTCCACTTCCTGCCCATAGGCAGGGTCCAGCGCCGTGACACCATCGGTGATAATCCTGGGATCACATGACAGCACGTGACCAGCTGGACGACTGGTTGTCCTAGACCCACTAGGGCTCTGAATTATGGGGCGGACACACTTATCTAGTTCCCTACCAGATTTGGCTGTGCCGCTCAATCTTCTTTTTCCTTTTCAGCCAGAGATAGTTATACGTACATAATAAACAAGGGCTTCTATGTCCTATTCACATATACAAAACGTCACACCTCGACTTATTAAGTATATTATAACATTGGAAAAAAATCTTTGAAGTATTAAAAGTGTTATAACACGTTTAAAAGAGCCGGTTTTCTTTTAAACAATGCCTTATATATATTATATATAAAATAGATATTCTATTAATTATTCAAAAATTTGCCCTTCTTTTTATTATTATCATTATATTTTATCTTACTTTTTTTTAGCACAATTATATTTATGACTTCATGTCACAATTCATGGTCCAAAATTGGGGTTAATTGCTTGTGTAATCATCTATTAGATATGAGGACCAAATCTATTACTAAATACATACCAAAGCACAAAGCTTCGCCCATCTATTGATCTGGCAATCAATGGAGCCTTGTCTGTCACTTTGAAAGCCACCACTTGCGGTGCCTTCACCCCTTTCATCCTTTAACCACCTATTCTGGTCAGCTACAGCTGCCTGAACAGCTGCCAACACACCTGTACGGCACCCTGTATCCCGCACTTTATAACTTGAACAACTTTATAAATTCAACTCCGATTATTTTAAAACTATAATAAAAAAAAATATATCCTTATTTAATTTGAAAGCTACTTTGTATTTATTTAACCGGTTATATTCGGAAAACATATTTAAAAAGCACCGCTTTAATAAAGTTACGATAAAATCTTTTAAACTTTAATATAAACAAGATAAAAAGCAAATCACACATATTTTGGTTCGTTCATTAACATCTTATATTCTTTTGGTATCGATTTAAATTATTTTTACTTATTACCATTTTTAAGTCTATTTTGATATATATTGATAAACCTCTTTAAATATATAATCTTGAAACATAAACTCTTACTACCGCTTTACCACCTTCAAATACATGAGCTTATAATAAACTTTGCATAACGTGTATAAATGAAAGTAAGAAGATAATTAATAATTGAACATTTTTATAAACAATTTAATTTATATATAATCATTATTTATATAAACATTTAAACATTTAAACGTTAAAGCCGCTAGTAATAAGCTTTTAAGCTTTAAAACTATATTCTTTTTCCTATTTTCTTCTTTCTCCCCCCCACCGATTAAGCCCGGTAAAACTATGTTAAAATTTCGAATTTTGATTATAATAAGCTTTTTGAATAAGCTAAATATTCATTGTAATATTTTTATGTACCTATCGCTATTAACCCTTTTAAATTGTTATTTTCCGCTATTAATCATCTATTTATAATGCTATAGAACAATGAACCGTTAATACTTTCTTATAATTAAAATACAACAAAAATAACTTTAAATTCGTCGTTATTATCCTCGTTTCTTCTTTTCTTGTCGTCGCTTTTCAAAAATATAAGTTTCAATTATGTTAAAAATTTTAAAGCTTATCAAAGTTATATATAAAATCGATTTATTGTTTTATGAAATGAATTGATACCGAAATTTTATTATTTGTTAACGCTTTTTTAATATATTAACCACATTCTTAACCGTTATTTATAACAGGTTATAATAAAACTTAACAAAGTCGTTATCATTTATAAATCCCTTGTTCATAACTTACCATTCCTTTAAATAATACCTCGTTCCCGAATAAAGTATTACAATTTTACAACCTTATGAATACTTAGCATTTATTAATATATATTTAGCTTTAAAAACCTGAAAACTAACGCTTTAACGAAATTTAAATACTCGTTTATTATATATACTACCTTTGTACCAATAAAAACAAAGCTGAATATATGATTAAAGCTTATTATAACTAGTAAGTTTTATATAAAAATACCTTTACAAAACCGCTAAGCTCGCTAATCGTTTATACAAAATTGTTAATTATATTAATATAGTTTTTAAAGTACAAATATCTTTCTAAATCGTTGAAAATCTTTTTTATAACGTTATTTTTGTTCATAAAAGATGCTTATAAAATGATTATAACTTTCAAAACCTTATTAAATACTAGATTAATCGTTAAAATTAATTGCCTTTATTTAAAGTATATATTACTTAAAGTCTTATTAAACGTATAATTTTTTTAAAAATTAACGCCTTTTAATGAATATTAATATATTTACTAGTAATTATCCCCGTATATTATTACAACTAGTGAACAAAGCCATAAAATATACACTTACTTATTTAAATAATCTTTTTTAATTTAAGATTGAACGTATATAATAATAATATATTAACAACTCAATTGTTATTACCCTTATTATATAACTCGTTTAAATTAAACGGCTTTTTTGTTGACATTAGTTCTGTTGGAACAGGCTTGAACGATCAATCATAATACTCGAGTATGGGGTCAAGGTCATGATGTTGCTGATGGTTGGATTGGGAGGTCTAGCTGGACCTGAAGGTCTGGCTAAGTGACCTCGCAATCCGGTATCTAATCACTTATCTAATCATACATGTGGGTCCTGGTATAGGTGGTTTGCAGGCTGGAATCGCATGGATCCAACAAGTTCTTTATTAATATTGATTATAACAACTGCTTATAAAGCAATTATAACTAAGCCGTATTATCGCGTAATAAATTTGATTATTTTGTCGTTATTGCGTTACAAACCAACAGATACCACGGCCTGTTAGAGGGTCAAAGGGAGTACACCAAGAACCAATGAAATCAGAAGCCAGGAACGGAACAATGGGTATTACGGATTACATAACAAAGGTTACGTGACGGATCACTGGATCACGAAGTGAGCCAGTGTGTTGAATGGGAGCCGGAGATAGACACCGGAAGATCTCCAGTGGGGCAGAGACGTACAGTACATCTGACCCACCAAGAAGACAGATGATCAATCTCTGCACGCAGAGCAGAACAATCAATAGCATCCATCAATCAACATCCGTATATTCAACACAGTGAGCATCACTCTGGGACAAGGTGATCCTACTCCATCAGTGAAGAAGAGATTGGATATATAAGGACGGACATTTCCCAGCTAGACAGATAGATAGTCTCTACCTCAGTGATCAATCTAAGCATCTTAGCCAATCCTAAGGTGGGAGAAATCTCCTGACGACTCGACTACGCAGTGAGCACAGTTCAGACCAAGCGCCAGTATCTGAGTGTTTTCTAGTTAACAGAAGCCTTTATTGTCTTTTGTGTTGACTTACTTCAGAACATAAACCCTATAGAACCCTTTTGTTGGAACAGGCTTGAACGATCAATCATAATACTCGAGTATGGGGTCAAGGTCATGATGTTGCTGATGGTTGGATTGAGAGGAATCTAGCTGGACTCGAAGGTCTGGCCAAGTGCCCTCTCAATCCACTATCTTATCTAGTCTAATCATACATGTGGGTCCTGGTATAGATGGTTTGCAGTCTGGAATCGCATGGATCCAACACCTTTAGCAATATAGGTTAGACGGCTCGTCATATATTGCGGCTTATTTTATTAAATTTTATTATAATATTCGATAATATCATATTATAAAAATAAATGATTAAATATCTGGTTAAATAAAACTTTTAAAATAAACAATTTGTTAAAATTCTAAAACTGACAATAAATCTCTTATATTCATTAAAATAATTATAAAAGGTATGTGAGATTCTAGAAGGTCACAAGCCTCGGTGGTGTGAGCGGTCGTTGCAAATGTTGTTGTCATTCTCAAGTATGCTTGGCAGGGCTAATCTACAGCTAAATACCATACTGCACTATGCCAGGGTGGATCTACTGTTCCCTTGACAGCCTCTAGTAGGTACTTCACCTAAGGGCACTATATCTGGGATCCAACATCTGATAAGGTATAATAAACCTTTTAAATAATATAATAACTTTAGATAATTTATAACTCTTAATCAATAAAAACACACTTAAAAATGTTCAATTATTTGATTATAAAATAATCACAGATTAAATATAATTTAGTTTTATATAAATTACGATTTTAACTTTACATACTTGAAATACCTATTTATATATTAAGAATAAATACAATAGCACCGGAAATTAATACTCTAAAAAGTATAACGCGTGCTGATCAGTAGATCGGCTTTAAGCTTAGCAAAAAAGCTATATAACAAAGATTTAAATTTGCGATTTAAATTTCTATCAGGCGCGCTTTAAGCCTAATAACGATAAGCCTAATAGCGATAAGTGTTGAATACACGGGTGTTGATTACAAAAAATGACCCGGTGGTAGAAAAGAAACAGGTGTGCGTACAGCCGAGGCTGCAGCACATATGGTCCTGGTCTTCTTATCTAATCGACACGTGACCTGATGACTCAGCATCTAACCAGGTGGATACAGCTGTACACCCACGTGACATCATTCGTGCTAGTATCTAACAATAAGCCTAATAGCAATAAAGCTCAATAGCAATAATCCCACATTGCGTGCTTCGCCACATGGACATGGACCGAGCTTTGTACAGGATTCCCCCACAACCATGGATTCTAGCTTTCACATCTGAACACCTGGGTCGGTCTAGAACTTGGACCTGCACCGCCCGTGGCTACAAAGCGGAATGACGTCAACAGCCCGACCGTACTAAATACCTATCTTCCACTCAGAACACCCTGTGAGAGTGCCCGAAACGGCAATCCATCGTCACTCCCTGCCAACGGACGCCACATTTGAAAGGGTTCCAGCGTGAGATGACTGGCCAGAATTCCGTCTGTCTGTCTGTCGTCTACCTAGACCACAGTGACGGAAGTCAACCAGAAACGCGGGCATCATTCCTTGTTTTTGAGCAGCTCCCGTCTGTGTCAGATGAGAGCCAGATGAGACCTTCTCACGGTGCATATCTAAGGTTGCTTAGAGACTCCCTACGTACCTTACGTACCCGTCTGCCTGTAGGACCACTGAGACATCGTCATTGCCTCCACACAAAACCTGCAGCTGCCTTCCCTGGCCAACTCCCATCGCCTGAATAAAACACCGTCATCCCCACCCCCACATCTTCATCAGCCTTAGAATGTTCCACTTTCTCAACACCATCCTACTTCTATTGATAGGTCTTGTCTTCGCCGCAAGATTCCTTGGCTTCATCCAGAGAGCTACAACACCATCACCTACACCTGCCATCATGAACCGCCGAGGAGGAGCACACATCCCTCTCAGGAGGAGACCCTTGATACCGACTCCGCAAGACCCTCCCGTGCTGCAGAACGGATATGAGGCCAGCCCAGCCGATTGCGCTGAGGTGAAGAGAACCGTGTCTGAGGCTACCAACTTTCCTCCCGAACTCGTCGACATTATTATGGACTTTGCCGAATATTGGGCCTGCTCAGTGACTAGCATCGACTACACAGTTCTCCCGGCGAGGCACCTGGCCATTCGGGGTGCGCGAGCAGGCGAAAATAAGTTACTTGTGAGCCAACGCGTTCAATGTGTAAACGTTTCGTATCGACTGACCTGCCGCGCATAGCTTCGCACCGAGCCCTTGGGACTGACCAAATGGCATCCACACAATGATGATTTGTGGCGATCACAGGCGTCCCCTCGCCCTCTACTGGAGGAATACTCACGAGCTCAACTCGAGAGCCTCGCCGAGGGCCCAATCTCAACCCTTGAGCATCCTATTCGAAAGGTTGTCTTCAATATTAAGAGTCGTGACCAGGGTCATGGCGGCGACAGGGAGGACCATTATACCTACCGCTACTCTTGGACCTGGTTTGACGCTGGGATTGACCGATTCGACGCCAAGAACATATGTGAGAGTACCGCCGCTACAAAAAGTCCTGCTTGCTAATGATATTTCAGGCGGAACAGACTGCACAGACGATAAGCCAGAGACTGAGGGATCGAGCGATGATGCCCCACAAGTCCCAACTTGCGCAATACGCCCCGTATGGCCTCCTATCAAAGAAGATGCCTCATACGACCACGCGCTGCACGCTACCCCGGACCATCTGATCCAGCGGAACAGACTCGCTGACAAGAACTGGCAACAACACCACATCGAGTGGTCGTGGACCGATGACATAGATCCAGAGTCCACCGCAGGAGAGGACTTGGAGAAGAAAGGCCGAGGGTCAGCTACTGGCAATGGCGACTCCGTCAGGAGCTTGAAGGTTGGTGACATGATTACCGTCTGGGGTCGGGCTAGGTTCATGGGATGGTCAAACAACATCGAAAAGGTGGAGGTCCAGGTTTACTGGGCTTTGTAAGCTTCCTGGGCTGCTTTTTGTAAGACAATGAAGTCGTACTACTACTAAAGCCTCAAACACCTAGGAGTGAGCATCACTTAAATCCACGATATACTCGAGACTTATTTCAGGTGAACTGCCTTTTGATCTCCTTGATTCTCCTGTTTTAGTGTGTCGAAGGGTCCGTACTGCAAAGCCCTAGGCTCATTAAAAACGGCCAAAGCGGTAAGCTGACTAGCCAGTGGTGAGGATTGACCAGCTTTGGGGCCGGTTGCGGCCGTGTTAGCGGAAGATGATGTTGGTTGGAAGCCCCTATCGTTGCGCAGAGTTCAGCGAGACCACCACAAAATCGCACTAGCTCAAACATACCTCGTGTTCATGAGCCGGCATGTTGACTTCTTTTAATCCATTCCCCAACTTTATTTCCTGACATGAACGCACCAGCTGCTCTTCGGCCGGCTTTGTTCGATGGTGTGGTGCGCCCACAGGAAGCCGGTTTAGATACATCGGCTATGATCAACATAGCCGGCCAACTGCAGTATTACGCCGTGACGAGAGCATCAGGTGTTGTGTGCAGCAGGACTGGTAGACCTGCGGGCTCGATGGGTATATGGTAGGTATATTCCAGCTGCGATTGCTGCCCTTTCCTGATTGATACCTAACGACCTGACTGAGTTACAACCTTGTCACTTGTGTCTATAAAATGTCTACTTCCAATCGTACAAGTTCAAGTTTCGTCACTCATGATGATCCCGAGGCATTTTCTAACAACATAAACAGTATATGCGATGACTATCTTCAGACAGGCACCGGCCACTCGCGACCCAAACCCGGCAGCAGTGTTGGGCCGTCTTATCGAGGGGTCCCCTCAAGGCCTGGCTCACAACCACTGCTCACATTCCCCCGCGAACGATCCTGCTCCCGCCACCCGTCCTCAGCAGTCGATTTTGTACGTGCTCGCTGCATAGGGAGTATCATGGCATTCGTTCCCTTCGTCCTCCGGAAGCTTGAGCATCATGTCCTTAGCCGAGCACCACGGTGACGGGGACTGAAAGAAGGAAAAGCTGCAGTCGTCCTCCATGGACTTGGGCATCCTGTAGCTTCTTATCAATTCATGGCGGAAGAAGGTGCAGTCCTGGGTGTTCTCAATCTTGATCTCCTGGCTCGAGCCCCCGCATTTTTTTCTCGGTGTAGACTTTGACCTTGCCGTCGTCGGCGGCTGCGATGGTGAGCAGAGGGATGATGGCGGCGAGAGTGGGGGAGAATTGCATGTTCGGTCGTTCGAACGAGTGAGGACTCGGGTGAGTCGTTGCCTCTTGGAAATGAACGGGGCGGCAGTAGATGTAATGGTGTGGTTGGGAGTTATGGGTATTCTCGACTGGACAGTCCGAATCAGGGTGTGTACGATGGATACTCTGAACAACATAGACGTTTGCGGATATCCCTTGAGGGTGTACGGCGATCTTGCTAGTGTGGCTGAAATTAGAAGCATAGGAAGGGTCAGATCCTCAGGGGTCTGAGGAGGATAAGTATAGGAAGGGCCAAACCCTCAGGGGTCCAAGAAGAGTAATCATAGGAAGGCTCAGATCCTCAGGGGTCTAGGAAGGATCACTCCCTGCATAATAGCAGTTGGCCTTCTTTCTTCTCGTCACCACGCAGCTAGCCTGGTGTACAACCACCGGTGGAAAGGGCGCTTGTGGTCGCGTCGTGGCTCCACACATAGACCATAACCCTAGGATCAACACCATCCCAGCCATGATCGAGTTCGCCAACTCATCTCAGGTGCCCGGCCCTCTCGAACATTGCATGTGGGAACTTGCCACGGTCCCGGGCGATCTCGAGCCACCCCAGGCATGGCGCGGCCTGGTTTGTACTTTGCTCGTCGATCTCCGCAGCGCCGCCGGCCCCGACGACAACAATAAGTAGCGCCTCCCAGATATCGGTGGCGGCACGGCCGAGGCCGATTCACCGCAGTTCTCGATGACAACGGTCCTCTCGATGCTCTTTTCGACCTCCTCCTGGCTCTGCGAAAGAGCGACCCCGAAGAGCGCATCCTGTGCGTCTTTGCTGGGGTTGGGAGGCTCGCCGAACTTGACGAAGTGACAAAGAGGTACATGAAAAGGTTTATGGAGGTCGTCTACAACTCTAGTGCGGTATTAACTCTTTAATCGCGACCTAAAATTATCTATCTATCTACGTAGCAGAGTAACGTATTCATACTACCAGGGCAACTGGTATGGTAGACCACATGATAGAGGTTAGAGTTATGACACCGCCAATAACAGCCAAGCCAACGGCGAAGAAGAGCCTGCTCTTTGTTGTCCGTCCCAAAACCATTGCAAAGACTATAATACCAGTCGAGATAAGGGCTAGCGGGAACAAGAGAGATGGAATGGTTATCAGAAGAGCGACACACCACCACTTGTCTCTTTGCATCCATAGCCAAAGGCCGTGGCGAAAGCTGTAACCGCTTCTTGCGAGCGGCATGTCGAATGAGATGGACCCTCCTTGCAGATGCTTGCGAATTTCGCGCTTCAGCTCCCGATCCGTCAACGAACTAGCATCCAGGCCATTTTCCTTGATTTCTCTGCTGATCGTCTCAGCCAGAATAAGTACGGATCTCCAGCCCCTGGGGACCTCGGGCTGTTCTTGGAGCGGCAGTTGCAGATGGGCCTTGAGCCACATGAGGTAGGTCCCAATAGTCCATACTAGCAGGAGGACCAACATGATGAAGACCTGCAAGAAGGAAAAGCCCCATTTGAACCTCTAGAAGTTGCAGGTGGTCAGTAAAATCACCAGCGAGCATCGAACCGGGGCTGACGCACGTCTTGGACAGGCTGACAACTGCCGTGTGTCTGGACGTTGTCAACACTGTACGTATTATTCGAGTACGTCCACGAGATACTCGATTGATTGGCAAAAGGCTGTGCAGGCTCGCCAGTTCGCGGATCAGACCATTCCCACCCAAACAGTTCGCTCCACGGATCGAAATAGAAGGCTGAAATGTTGAGTGTAGGACTTGGAAGTGAGATATCTGTAAAGTTTGATTCCTCGTCACTTAGGCCGTAGAACCCGTACTGTGAAGCATCTACCGCGAATTTGATTAGTGATCTACCTTTTTGCGTGAGAGGGCAACGAACAATTCGAAACGTTCTGCTGCAGAGAGCAATCAACGTTGTCGAGACTGTAGCTGCTACGGTCCGAACAATCAACTTGGAACCATTTATAACCGTGAAGGGCGCCAATCGTAGGATCCTCTGCATATACGGTTAGCCTGCATTTCGTTGAGTCGTCCATGCGCCTTACCGGTAGATTGTTCGCCCAAGACACCGACGGGTTGATCTCCATCTAAGCCAACCCTCCATCCATCATGTATGATATACGCTAGTTGGTGAAATTCCGAGAATGGGATGTAGCTCTCGTTCAGATCCCGAACGAAAGCCCCACTGGTTGTCGCGTAACCAGACATGGCACCTGCGAATGTTGGCCACCCTAAAACGAACAGCATGTTCAGGACCATGAAAGTCATGGCGACTTTGGAGACGAGTCCCCTCCCAGAGAGGAAGTCTCGGGCAAGGCGATACGTCGATAGAATTGAGGGCCCTTGCTGGAGGAAGAGACTGAAGAATGCCGCGTAAGTGACAGGTGAAGTCTCCATGGAAGTCGTCAGATAGTCGGCGAATGCGCGCCAGGACAGGAAAGCCATGAGCGCCTGCCCACCACGACCAATGATCTGCAAGTCCATTATTAGCGTCGATGCGGCCTGGGTTTGGATAGGCATGTCGTGGTCATGTGTTACTGACAATGTCCCATGATATATCAATAATCTTGACCTCCGTAAAAGTAAGGCTTCCAGAGCCCAAGTTGATTTGGAAAAACCCCGAAATAGCCCAATAGCTATACCCGTCGGCATAGGGACTGAAGGACCCGTCCGGCCGGCACGCCGAAGTGCTCCAATTAAAAGCAGTTGAATAGGCACCGTAGATGCTGAGAAAGACAATACAGCCCACGAGAGTCATTGTCCAGAGTGCAAGGCCAATGCGAAAAGCCCCGCCGGACCGCAGGTCCGACATGGCCTCTCGGCGGGCATCATTGCAATATGCCACGACCGTCTTGCGCTTCCTCAGTAGAAACCCTTGCTGACGTTCATCATAACTGAGATCGGGCTCTTGGACTTGGATTAGCGAATCGAATGAGGATGACGGGGAGGATGTCAACGTCTTCCGTTTGAAGACACGACTCGGTCTGGTGAGTATCGTCATGGTGGATTGATGTTGCGACCTGCCAGAATGAGCTGAAAACTTGGACGTCCCCAGGAAGGTAGATAGATGCTTCCAGCTGTAGGGACGCCACGGCAACTTTATGGTTATTAAATCATCCCTAATAGCAATCTGCGCCTTACTCCTGCGTTGTCGAACGGCTAGGGTTGAAGGCCTGCCGCGGAGGACTGCATAGACCCATTCAGGGACCCGATGTATGTACGTCATGAAACCTCCATGAGAGAGGGGGCCATCATGAGTACACATTTGTGTAGAGCATAACATGCACTGGTTGGAAGTTGCTGCCCCCAAAGCCTCTCCTGTTGAAACGTAGGCAGTGCAACATGGGCAGCAAGTTGGATGATATGAGTGATTACAAGCGCATATATGTACTTCTTGATTGGCCGCCATAAATGAGGTGTCGCGTCGTCTGCGACGCAACAGATGCAGGCTGAAAGCTGACACAAGGCACGGCGCAAAGGGGCACCCGCGAGTGGCTGGCCAAAGGTTTCCGCCCCAAGCCCATGCACCCGGGTTATCCGAATACTTCATCAGGAGAAAGCACATGTTCTATGTTGAGGCTCCAGAGCTGATGAATGATCGATACGCTCCACGCTGCCTTTCCTAACCCCCTTGCTCGTCTTGGTATCCCAAGAGAAGACCTCAGACTCGCCGAACGCTAGGCAAACGGATCGACGCTGGGATCGGTATTGCGGACATACTCGGAGGCGTTGGCAAGATCCGCGGCGACTCTCTCACCATGTTGGTCTGCAATGAACGCATACATCATGTCCAAGCCAGCTGAGATGCCCGAAGAAGTCCAGATGTTGCCGTCCGTTACCCATCGTGCTTGTCGCACCCACTGCACGGCTGGGCCCTGAGCTACGACCTGGAAGTCCAGTACTGCGTCAGATACTCTAACACCAAGGAGTCGATGCTACCTTGCTCACCCACTCTCACGCCCTCTTGTTCGAGGTTGCGCGTTTCCCATCCAAGAGGCCTGACATGGCCACGACTGCACTCCCGGTGCAGACAGTGAGTAGAGACCTCAGCTTAGGGTACCTCGACCCGACGAAATCAACCACGGGACGAACGATGTCCTTTTCTCGGGTACCGTAGCCGCCCGGGACAAGAAGGACTTCAATGTCATCCGGGCAGTCTTCGAATGTGTAGGTCGGCATCACACATTAGCGGATGCTGTGGGCCGAGCCATCAAATCTAGTCGGTACCGGCTCTAGAGTATCTGCGAGGATGACCAGCTCCAGGGGAAAGGACTTCGAAAGCAAGTTAAGGATGTCGAGAGGTCCGAAGACATCAAGGGCTTGGAAGACGGAGAATAGCGCCACGGCATACTTGGTGGGGGCCTGGTTATTTGGTGCTGACATCGTGGTACGCGAACCATTCAGAGATCGTCTTGTCGGTTATCCCTAGGTACGTATGTATCGATGGTCCCACGCGAGATGCGGACCCTTGTGTAGACGAAGCATTAGTTTTAGCAACGGCCCATACAGAATGAATCCCCTCAATATCTCTCAGTCATGCCCCAGCTAGACCGTATGCAGCAGCTGGGAATAGGCGACTAGTGCTGCGTGTCAGCATGACCGGAATTGCCGGATTGGCAGGAGCTCATTCCGGCATCCATGTACGACGACTGACCAGACTACCGGCGGATCCAGAGGGGGATGTGCGCCGGCGGGACGACAGATTCACTTATCCAGGAACGGGCAACGACGGTCCGGAAGCATCACCAATGGGAGATGTCGTTCGGACGTGTCGGCCGACGACTTGAAGATTAATAAGTCCAACTAAGGGATAGCAGATAGATAATGCCAGTGACATAACTAATACACTGCATAGATAGAAAGCTCTTTACCTGTCGAATCTCATATACTGTTGATGATGATGATGATTGTATTTAACGTGGGGGATCGCTCCTCAGTAGTGCAAATCACGCCTCCCAGAGCCTCTGCATCGCAGGGTTGTGGAGGTATCAAGATAATAAGTATAGTCAGTCCCGCTCACGAGCCCATCCCCGTTGTTGCGGCGGTATGACCTTGGGGTCATCCATCTGGTCCTTCAAAAACAGCTATTTATCGGGGACAGATTGATGAAAAGAATTTGCTCTTCTCTATGAATTTTGTCCATTCTGTGTTCCTCTCCCCCAAGTATTGTAAACAGGCTGTCCTAGACGAGTACCTAGGCAGTAATCAGTTTTTCCCAAACCTCTTACAAAAGAAAATGTGTTGTGGTGTTTTCTTTTCACCACAGCTGTAGTGATCATTCGAGTCTGTATGCCCAAAACGTTCATGGTATCTAACAAAGTCGCCATGTCCAGATCTGGCTGCTAGAAGTCTGTGTAAAGTGCTTCTTTCAAAAAATAAAAGGTCCCTTTTAGTTACTATATGTAAGTATACTTCTTGATACCTAGGTTCTGATTGGTTTTTCTATTATTGATCAAATTCTTTCTTGCCCTTCCTTTTGAGATCTCTCTTTACCCAAGAGATTGTAGAAAGGTTTGCGTGTCCGTTTTAACATGGTACCCTCTTTTGCTAGTGTTTCAGCAGCTTCGTTGCCATCAATATCTTTGTGTCCAGGAATCTACTTGACGGTCACTCTAGGAATGTGTGCTGTGGCAAGTTCTTAGAATCGTAGAAAAATGATCTGTGATGTCTTGGGTGGGGTCCTATTGAGCCTATCTACCACCGATGTGTTATCCAGGCAGACATATAGCTGTTTTCCGCGTCCAATTGCCCTGGCTGCTGCGAGACCTTAGAGAATGCCATGGACTTCAACATCTATTACTTCTGCTTAAAGAAGTCTGCCCTTTCCCTGATATACTTCTTGTGTAGTGTCGCCTTTTCTGATGGTGTAACCCCATCTAGTGCGTGTTATGCCTTGGTCGTCCAATTGTGATCCATCCGAGTAGATGACAAGGTCAGTGCTCACGTTTCTCTTCTGTAGCCATTATTTAAAGAGCTCTATTTTTTGTCTTTGTCCTTACAGATTGGGGGCTTTTTCTATAATGGTTTTGTGAGTGTCGGTCTCTGGAAGTCAGGAACTAGCTAGAAGTTCCTTTGTAACCTTATTGGTTCTTTGCGAGCTTATATTTGGAGCCTGCCGATGGGAGGGTGTCTCTGGTCTATTTGTCTGAGTCAGAGGCCGTGACATCGTCTTATTGACTCCGTAAGAACTACTGCTGGGAGAATCTGTGATTCAAAGTATAAGATATATCCAGGGTGTGTTTTCCAGATTGGCAAGATAGCCCTGATCGCTATTTGTAGTACAGTATCTATTATTCTAAGAAGCCCCTTAATGCAGCATGCTGATGTCCCACCTAAGCTCTTAACTTTTTTTGATTCCTGGGTACCAGGCCTCCAGGCTATGTGTAAGGATGGGGATAATACAAGCTATCACAGCCCTCCTGGTTGACTTTACTGGAAGTCATTTGACTGTGTTGCATAGTCCTTAAAAGTGATTTGCTACTGTTGGATTAAAGGTGAGCCCAGAGGGCACCTTGATAGGTAGACACCGGAGCCTAGTTGTTCCGTCCCGATCCAGCCCCCTCTGGCACAAAACTGCCACGGTCGCACGAGGACACTCTAGAGAGACAGAATACACACACACACACTTCAACCTCACGATTGGCTCAAATCTGACAGTAGTGATGCCAGACCGTGTGGGTTTCGATTTTTTGTGCCTTAAGAATGTCGGCGATTTCTTCTTGGAAGGCCAGGAGCTTAGTCTGAGTTGGCTTGTCCCTTAGGTGTACGGTAAATCCGGAGGGGCACCGCGTCACCTCTCTAAGCTCCTGGGGATGGAGCTTAAGTCTTCTGTTCAATGTAGACTTTATCCCATAAGGCTCTAAGTGGCTATTATCCATGCGAACAAAGACCCAGAGATCATTCTGTTTTTTCTGTAGTTGATTGGTAGCAGTAAGGGCGCCAGGCTGTGTTCTCTTCATGGTGGTGTTGACTGTCAATGGATGCTGTTAGTGGTTAGAAGAGACAGCTTGGTCGAAAGTCATGGTGGGCTTCCCCATCATTATCCCCCTGGAAGTGGCCTTCCTTATGGTTGAATCTCGGGTTTCCAGCCACTCGTTCATGCATTTAGAGAAGAAGGCGCTGAACTCCTTGGCATGTGAGTATAATTTGGTTCCAGCTTTCTTAAGTGTCTTGTCAACTACTACAGTACACTCTTAAAACATTATTATCTTGGCTTTGTAAAGATACCTGTCTTTATCCAGTATTTTTATAACTTAGTCCTAGCACTCTAAAGAAAAGGCTTTACTCCCTGTACCGCGTTTAATGGCTTAGTCTATAGAGATTTTGTTCAGTTGAGGTCGTTTCATTCCAGTGGTGCTGCTGTCATTGACATTTCGGGATTTTCTTTTCAGAGAGGAAACAACGGTGAAGTCAGCCTTGGAGACCTGTGACGGGCTGTTGCTGATGTCGTCAAGCAGTGCCTGACGGAGCCTGCTCGGAGTTGCCGGACTGTATGTCTTTCTAGGGGCCGGGGATTTGAGCACGCCGTCAGTGGTCGTCTTTGGGACAGCCACGGGCGTGTTTGGGGGCCCGTTATGGAAGGGTGCCATCCGGCTTGTGAGAAAAATTCTCTTGTGCCTTAGCAAAGATAGTCAGTTACTGAAAGAAGTGCCTGCTTTAGCGCAGATATCGAGGTTACGCCCTAACAGCATAGTTGTTTTCGGCTGGTGTGTGTCATCTCATATACTGTAGTCGGATAACCCCCCTGTTTGGCCGCCCTGTTTTGATCACGACCACAGCTCACGTCCACTCAACGCGACATAACGTATTCTTACCAAAACTCAAATGACTTAGCTATTTCTCGTATGGCGAAATATTTCAAGTTCCTTGTTAGACTTATTCTGCAGGTACCTTAGGTACCTAGTATCGCAATGTCGCCACGTCATCAAGCGCTGTCATTCGCACATACAGGGCGGGCAAGTCTAGATCCCATACATATGGCGTGAATCAATGATTATATATGATTTTGACTTCGTCTTGCACGGAGGAAGGTGTTGGACCTGTGTAAGAGCCCAATAGACAACGTGATAAGCGTGATACACTTGAACACTGCCGTCCAACCTTACCCCGTGACTGGTCGAAGAGCTTGAAAATAAAATAAGTCGTGACTGGTCACCAATACCGCATCTAGTCACGACAGATAAAGGAAGACTGCCGGGGTGATAGAATGTGATTCTAGTGCTAGAAGTCTGGTGATAGCTGAATGTCTCGCTGGCTGGGAACTGACTTTCTTTCTATAAAGCGATTAAAAAGGTGAGCACAACGTCCAACTCTCCCAACCATAAACCAAAAACAATAGTTCAGTACACCACCATCTACACCACCATCTACACCTATACCCAAAATGTCGGTCATCCTCTTTAAAGACACCGTCTGCGGCCATCCTACCACCAATGCCCCCACGCCCCTCGCCCTGAATACCTGCTTTAACCCAGTAGCCGGCCAGCCCTCCTTCACGGTTGCGACGCTACCGCTCTGCGCCAACCGCGCGACGCCGCTACTTCTCGTCTCCCCCGAGCAGAACTGCCAGTTTCCCAAGGAAACATTCGTGTCGAGCGGAGTCGTTGCGGTCAAGAACACCGCTGCTTGTCATAACTTGAGAGGCCGGGAGATCGGTAGTATGGAATTCATTTGCCCGCTGTAAACGGTACGGCCCCGATGGCCATGGTGCATGCAGGTGGCGGTGCTGCTACAGGAATGAGTTGGAGGCTGATGAGAGCTGCTTTGGTTGCTTCTTGTGTCGTGGGCCTTGTCATGGGCCTTGGAAACTCCTGGCTGGGTATGTAACCACAATGACGATGGAGAACTGGCGGAGTACCGTGATATCAGTTGCTAGAAGCAATCAGGTCCAGCTGGACGCCTTTCTTTACTAGGTAGTCGTTCTGCCGGGGATATTAAATATACGTTAATACTATTAATTTCTTATTAATTTCTAATTAATATAACCTTGTAATATACGGACTACCGTTTAGTTTGATCTGTTTTTTTACTACGGCTTTAAATATGTCGCGCCTTTTAAGCTTTGAAGCTGTTACTACCGATTAAGTATTTAAATCTTTATTTTATACGGCAAATTCGACGATTTGACGCACTGCTTTAATATATATATTATTTATAATAACTAAAAGTTTCGCGGCGTTATTAAACGTTTCTTTTCTTTATTAACACTTAATATCGTTAAAATAATTAGATTTTTTTTAATATTATAAATTGTGATAGTTGCTACGTCGCTACCATCGGTGATAGTCCTGGGATCACGTGACAGCACGTGACCAGCTGGACGACTGGTTGTCTCAGACCCACTAGGGCTCTGAATTATGGGGCGGACACACTTATCTAGTTGCTCACCAGATTTGGCAGTGCCGCTCGATCTTCTTTTTCCTCTTCAGCCAGAGATAGTTATATGTATATAGTAAACAAGGGCTTCTATGTCCTATTCACATATACGGAACGTCACATAAATTTGAAAGTTTTTTTAAATTAAGTTTAAATAATTTTAATTTAATATCGTTAGTCAGTTTTATCAAGTCGTTTAAGCTTACGTAGTTATAAAATACTTTTAATTTTCGGTCAAAATATTATTTAAAGTTATCGTAATATCGAGAAACCGGTAAGCCGTCTAAAAGATAGTTGTTATAACCCGGTAATTATTAAATTACGTTATTACGTATAAAAAGAGCTATTAATTTATATAGTTATATATAATACGTATAAAAATAGAAATATGTACGTGGGAAAATCCATTCTTATATAAAGCTTTCATTTAAAAAAAATAGGAAAGTTTTATTAATAACGTAAAAAATTCTTTTTACTATAAGCTATTAAAAAACCATTCCTTATTTATTTAAAGTTAAAATAAAGCCTAAATTAATTTTATAATATCGATATCATCTTAGTTTGCTAGGTTAAGAACACGAAGTCTTTGCTAAGTAGTAATCCAGCTTTTCGATAACCCCGATAAGCCAAGAGACCCCGAGCCCTGCGCCTCCCTGGACATATACTGGCTGTCCATTGTCTACATCGAAACGTCCTCCGTGAGTCTCTCTTCGTGCAACAAGACTTGCAACGTCTAAGGGCTGTCGGGAGGAGCTTTTGGACAGTTTGCGCTTGTGGATAGTACCTAGCCTTTGGGGAGCTTTGGATAGCTGGGGCTGGTACATGTAATTGTAGCTTTTTAACAAGGTTTATAATTATGCCTCAAGATTTTGTGGACTTCTTCCTGCTGGGCCAGGCACAGCCATACACTTTTGTGTGGCCATCTGAGATGAGTAACCCTGAACGAGGCGGAGAGCATCCAGGAGGTGACACTTTTACGTTATTGGACAGTGTGTGACGTTGATGCTTGCCACCAGCTAGGCCTCCATCCGACGCTGTGATCATACTTGGGTACTCGCGACATGCTACCGTGCGTTAACAGGTCTCGAACCTACCCAAGTTCGCCGCCATGAAGTGAAGCTTACGTGGCGGATGGACATCGAAGCACATAAAACGCTGGTCAATCAGATAAATATAGAGCGGCGTCCCCGGGGCTTGGTGAGGCGTCAGTGACCAGATTGAATTACATCTTTAAGCTTGTGTTGTTCATATTGGCCCATAGAAGCATCTATGAGGTGGAGCGATGACCTAAGTTCTGGTTTGGATTCAAGTACTAGTTCATAGGCACCACTGACGGTATGGATTCAAGGTGTATGAGATAGAGTGACAGCTACGCCAGCGTCAATTCGATTGCTAGTAATGTTTCTCCTGCAGTTGCAATGCATTGTTCCTTTGTTCTTCCAATCCATATTACATTATTACGACGCCGCTTCCCACACAACGCCGCTTCGCACAAGGCATAGTTAGCACTTGTCCGACGTCATGAAATTTCGGCGAACGGCCACGTTGTTCAAATATCAGTCGTACGCGCGCGCCTTGTTTCGGACTATATGTTACAGTAAAATGTCTTCGAAATATCTCGACAATAACCATCACTCGCAAGCTGCACCATCATATCCAATCCAAACGTACACATTCTTAGAAGCGATAACGCACTTGATTTCCACCCAATTCCCATTTGATTCTCACCCGATTCCCACCCAACAACAGCCATGCAGTTCTCCACCGCCCTCTTGGCCGTCATCCCTTTCTTTACCCTCGCAGCCGCCAAGTTCTAGCGACGACAACGGCAAGGCCGCAGGGTCAACGTTTACACTGCATGGGACTGCCGCGGGAGCTCAAAAGGAGTGATCGATGTCCAGGACACTAACGGCTGCAAACACTTCAAGAACAGCAAAGGGGTGAAACATCCGTATACAGCCACAAGATCAGCGAACAGATAGGCAACGGCTGCAGCTTTTCCATGTACTCGAACCCGGGCTGTAGGGGCCACCTGAACACGCTTACGAGGGAGTCACAACCTGACAACTGCGAGAATATTAACGCGTCCGTATCGTATATGATCACCTGTTTTTAAGGCATGGCGCGAGGAGGACGAACCGTACGAAGGTGCGAATTGTTCGAACTGGAGGAGGCAAGACTTGTATACACGAGCGTTGGCTAAACTGTACTACCACTATCATCTTAGAATAGACCGCACTGTTAGTTTTTGGAACTGATCACTTTGTAACACGTCGCATTAAATGCAGTACACGGTTCACAACCAGTGGTATGTCCCCTAGAGGTGTCAACATCCTGTGTGTCTCGCGAGCCATTCGGCATGGTCCGTAGTGGCTATGTGAGTCCGACGGCACGACCCGTCTACTTCCTGGTTTGCCAAAGCAGGTCTCAACACGTTCTTGGCCTGAGAGCTAGGCTAGGTGAATCATCGTTGGATAGATTAAGCTAAACGACAAACGGAGTAAACAACGTCTACAAAGCAAAAAAAAAAAAAAAAAGCTACCGACTGCCGGATTCGAACCAGCGTCTTCTTGCTAGGAAATATAAGGTGTATCGGAGACCAGCGAGCTAACCACTGCTCTAAGCCGGTCTAGTGACCTAGTTGTGACAAATCACCATCGTCAGGGATGTCGCTCGCCACGTGGTGGTGATGTTTCTATGCCAAAAAAAAATTTATTCCGGGTTACATCGAAGGCATCGTGACATTAAGTTACCAGTCAGTCCCGTGACGGGTTTAGGTGGTTCGTTGGGAGTGTCATGTGCCTGGAGGTGCGTCTTGGGAGACGGGCGTTGCTTGTTTATATGGGCAGGCGCGTGTAGCAAACATGCCCGTCACTTGACCCTCGTGGCCGTGTCATGGGACCACGTGTCGCGTTGATTAGGCCACATTAGGATGAGCCAGAGGAGCAGTTGCTCTTTCCCATTTAAGGTACAATCATGTAAGAATGGAAGATGTATCGGCGCACCGCTACCCGTCGAAAATACATTGATTTGCAACATGTGGCATGGTGCAGGTGCTCAGTCAACAAGCGATGCAAGCCGTGTAACCGTATTGAGTTGTAGGAGACTCTTCAGTAAAAAGCCAGGTCGCCCCTGACCCTCGCCATCAGGGTATAAAGTCCAGATTGAGTCCTGGAGGCTGTTTCATTTTAGCTGTTAGGACGAACACTTCCTCTTCATGTTTTTGAGCATCTGCTCCGGTGTACCCACACATCTAAGATTTCACTCCATTCCCCCTATCCTTATAATCAGCCAACAGGCCTTAGACGGGAGTGTCCATCTTGGTCAACCTTGTCCCCAGCAATAGCCCCACACTCCATGTGTGTCTCGCTGCGTGCATTCAGACGGCAATGGACTTTGAGGGGACTACAATATATAAGTATACCTACTGGCAGTAGAGGGGCTGGTAGTTATAAAGTCCGTCAACTCGAGAGAAGTGGGAACGAAGTGGAGATGGTTGCTTCATGATGATACTTGGTTGAATCCAACGGTCTCTTTCCACAGCTGGCTTCTTTCGCATATGACTGCTCAGAGGTACCTACTTATGTATCTTATCGAGTCCCGCTGACAGTGCCCAGGTGGTGTTGACGCCTCTGGATTGACCATCGAATCAGACTATCTTCAAGGGCCCATTGATGGATGTTTAATTCCACTTCAGATATGAGGGCTGGGGGAGATACCGCGGTGTTTATTCAGTCGAAGTCAAGGTCATTTATTCGGCCCGGTGTAACTACCAGAGATGCGTCGGGCCGGGCTGATGGTCATTGTCGGGCCTAGTCCAGTTTCGAACGTCACAGCATCTCAACGTACAGTTCCTATCGGCGACATCCAGTCATGGAAAATACCCCGCTCTAAGAAGGCGAGATTCTCTGCAAGACGGCATGCAGCAGCAGGACAACAACGCCACCGTGCCGACTCTACAAGGATCTAACCGCCCGCCCCTCCCGTGTCGTGGGGGCCGGTAGCCTTGCACTCACATACCTGCTTGCAACACCAGCTGGGGCTCCTCCGTGTTGTTCAAATATCACTCCATGCTATGATCCAGGTGGTTCTCTTCACATGGATATGGAGGGCCTAATGACTCAACTTCATCACCCATTCCTCGTCCAGACTCTGGCAGTGGCGATCTGATCTGCCAAGTACATAAGTACTTACATGTACTCAAGTACATCATCAGCAACAGCAGAAGGAGCTACCAGTCTCGATGTTACACACCAATGTTAGGGTGGGTCGATGACCCCTCTGTCGACTGGTCCTTGGTAGTCATGTCCGATGAAGGGGGCCCTCAGAGGTCGAACCTGCCTCCCACCACTTCAACTACGAGAACGCGCAGTCTGGTAAAATCTCTCTCACCTTGTGCAATTCGATCAGTATTGATTCAAAGCGCCAGGATGACAACTTCACACAGACGCAGGACATCTCGAACGGGCCGCCCGCAGGGCAACAGGAGGCTTCGGACGAGTATGATCCTGACACAAGGGGACTGGGTACTGACGCATACTATCCGGACGAGCCGGGCAGAGCAGCAGAGCAACAGACCGGGTCCCAGCTTCACTACTCGATACCGGATGACTCGTCGGTTTCATCAGAAGTTTCGAGCGACTCATCTACGAACGGCGCCCCGATCCGGGACGTTGCACTTGGCTGGAGTGGATCTCGCCCACCACTTCCAAGGGGTGAAGAATGGAAATTCGTTGGTCCATTGCCCGAGCTCCCGACACCCCCCGGGGCCCTTCCCGCCACTATCACATGCATTCCAGCTTATGTTGAAGACGCCGATAGTGAAGGTTTCGCTGCCGATGAAGAGCCCAAACTCGAAAGCTGGTCGCGTGAAGGCTACTATGCCGATTCCGAGCCTGCAACTCAGGGAAAACTCTGGCCTGCTGAGACCGATCCACCAAAGTCAAGAAGGAACCCAGCCCACAGGGATCGTCGGTTTACCTGGCAGAGGCGGTCCTCGCCCACGTCTAGCGCAGAACCTTCGCGAAAAAGCACGAAACGGTCATTGCGTACTGCTGGGAGTGAACCAAACCGAGCTACGATTTGGAACTCATCAGATAACGACTCAGACGAGTACTCAGACTCCAGTTCTCGGGGTTATACAAGCCTGTCAAACTCTCATGACTCTTCTGGCCCATCTCCCACACGGCTGTCTTTCCGCCGCCAAAAGCTAGTGTCGCGGTTGAACAGGAATGTTGACAGGTATACAACTCAGCGTGCACCAACATATGAGAATCCATTCACGCCTCGTCGGAACGTAGAACCATACACGAACTTGAATCCACGCCCACTGTATCCGCCTCAGTACCCTCCTGCCTCAAATTATCCATTCAGTACGCACTACAACGGGTACGCTCCGCAGGCGAATTACGGGAACTATAACATGCCAAATATTCCCTACAATCACTACTCGCCCTATGCCAGTGGTCCTCCTGGATATTATCAGCAGCATTACCCCTATCAAAGGGCGGCCAACCCGAACTACTTCCAAGTACCACCGCAAGCCCCACTCGATACGCAGGCATCACCTTACGGTCAACAACCGATGGGAGACCCAGCTAGTGGACATGACAATCAGGCCAAGCGAGAATCCCCGCCGGAACGCCTACTGTCAGGGCCTGTCATATTGCAAATGCCTGTGCAGAACCCATCAGCACACTACAAGGCTCCTGTGTCGGTCGACTCGCGTGCTAATGAGATATCGTTTCAGCTGTCCCTCAAACCTCTACGTAGTGACCAGGGCGCATTGTACTCTGCCACTTCGGAAATGGTCTGAGCACAACTTCAGGGAAGACTCTAGATTCGCAGGAGCCTGGCATCAACGCAAATGCAGACTCGAACGAGACGGAACAAGCGAGCTATCATCAGCTCTGGCAGTCGAGCACTATTCAGACGGGCTAGGCCAAGACAGAGTCACAATGATATGTCCAAGCTCGGACGATTGGTCACCAGCTAGAAAATTGAGGTGGCTGTGAGTATGCCCAACCACTGGAGACTCTGGTGCTGACATTCAACAGCCATCTGGAACAATCTACACTTTGCCTCAATGACCTCGTGGTGGGTGATGTTTCGACCACTCATGAATTTGAACAGTTGTTGACATTTTCAGGGTCTTGTCTCAACATGTCATTTTCTCGATGAGGATTATGTGAGCCTTGCGCTCCGTCTCCTGCAAGTGGAATGCCCGAAATTTGAGAAGAAGTTCTCAAACGGAAGCCGCGGCGGATTTTAAATCGAGCCTGGTACAGTTCTGCGCTATGACGGAAGATATGATCATGACCCAAGCCGAGGAGAGAAGTCCGTTCTGTTTGGCTCCGCACCGTACCTGCATCTTGAAAGACACCGCGACCCCAAAGAAGACTTCCATGTAGGCGAAGAACGTATTCACCGTACACGAAGCCTCCTCGAATCACTTTACGATTACGATCTCATGGACGAGAGGGACAGCCACCAGGTAGTACGGCAAACTGCTGAGGGGAGCCAGCATGATATCATAAGTGTCCCGCAGATATGGTACACTAAACCCTCATAAGTCTCCGTACACCACCCTCTACCAATCCAGGGTATATTGTAACGAGCCGTCTAACCTATAAGGCTAAAGGGTTCTATAGGGTTTATGTTCTGAGGTAAGTCAACACAAAGGACGATAGAGGCTTCTGTCAACTAGAAGACATCCAGATGCTGGGGCTTGATCTGATCCAGGGGATCACTGTATAGTCGAGTCGTCAGGAGATTTCTCCCATCTTAGGGTTGGCTAAGATGCTTAGATTGATCACTGAGGTAGAGACTGTCTATCTGTCTAGTTAAGAAATGTCCATCCTTATATATCCCATCTCTCTCTCACTGATGAGGTGTGCTCACCGTCGCTCGTGTGAGCAGACGTGAGCGACTCTAGTCACGTGATCCTGACTTCCTGGATCACGTGCCTGGATGCCCTGCGCTGTTCTGTATTGTTTCCCCGTTCTAATTGGGTTCCCTCATAGGTCATCCTTTTCCCTTCAGGCCTGCCAACGGGCCTGTGGTATTGTTGGTTCGTAACATATATTTATCAAATCGGAATAAGCACACTGGAGTAAGCAGTGCAAGTGACGTATTAAACTAGAGCTGCTTATTTCTGTCTGATTATTTTAGTATTTTAATTCTTTACTGATGATGCGGAACCTTATCAACATCAATTCGCGTACGGAGACTTATGAGGGGTGAGTGTATCTACTGCGCGGGTCGCGTGAGTGCTATAAAGTTCCGCTGACGAGTGAAGTCAACAACTGAACACAGCATAGTCCTTATATCCTGCGGCCAAGTCTCTTTGGCCGATGTTCGCGGGGACTCCATCCAAGAAAAAACTGTGAGATTTCAAAGTGTTCTATTAAGGAGAGGAATTCCAGCTACTCTGGAGCGGCCAGAGTGGCCCTATATATATCCAAGATACTAAAGGAAAGGATACGTGGCCTTATATTGGCCACGTATGTGACAGAGTCACGAATGGGGATGGTGATCCTGAAGGATGACTATGGATGGGCTAACATAGCCCAGAATCCAACAAAAAGTCGACCAGACAAGAACTTGATAGCCTTTGTTACAGACCTCGACAGTCACCATTCCGCTGTTGCGTTAAAGACTACGGACTCCTACTACGTTCGTCATTTCGATGAGACACAGTGCTGGCGCTGACGGGTCACAGGCTGCCATCCAAATTATTGAGTCGCTACGGTCCAACCTAGGTGGCAACTCCATCAACGACTATGACATCGAATTGGAAGGTGGGGAGTTCTTGACGTCGAAGATATGGCTTGACATCGTCAAGAGTGGTCCTCTTCCTCTGTTGAAGTTGACATTGAAACCTCGCATGCGTCCGGGCAACAATTCTCTTGCGCTCATACTTTTCTCGACAAAAGAGGTCACAACTGATGGTTTAGCATCCACCTCGAGTCAATCAGCTAGGAACAATGGTATGATCCAGCTTCTGACCCTGGGCCCATAGTCAAGTTTCTCACGATCCTCAGCAGACGCCTTTGGAGCACTCCCAGAATCAGATTACAAAACTTCAGGGGACGAAGGTGAACACGAGAACCTTGACCCTCGCAACCGGTCACTCATTGTCAGAGCGCCTGGAGAGCTTCAAATTTTTGACCAGGACGACCCAGAGCCTTCGAAATTTCAGAATACGGGCAGGAACACCAAGGGACGGTTACGGATTACCGACAAACATTCAGCACATGGTCCGTCACATCCAGCCTACCCGCTTGACTCATTTACTGGGGCGTTGGTTAAAGTAGATGATACTCCGGCATCTGCTGCTGAGGACGCCACTATGAAGACTCTCATTGGCGGCTTCGGCGGCCAGTCCGAACCAACCCTTGTCGGCAGTCTCGGGTCACGTCAAGAGAACGACAGTCGTCGTATTCTGGATCTCAACTCCAACGGTATAAATAATCAACGATTTGGATTCAGTATGGGAAGTACCCGAAGTCTTCAACCTCAAACCTAACGACCCTGAGCCAGGAGGCAAGCCTGATGAGGATGGAAGAGTACGTGTTTGGGATTATCTAATTGACGCTGGAGATGCCGATGAAGTCATCTTCACCCCAAGTGCTACGGGACACGATGCACAAAGCAGCCCTTGCGGAGATTCTGGCTCTCTAGAAAGACAGCCGCACCGAGTCGAAAGAAGCGAGCAGAGCGAGAAGCAAAGAGAACCGCAATTGCGCACGCATGGTGTTATTTTCGCTGCTAGTAAGAGCAGCGACGATGCTTTGCCGCAATCTGCGAAAATGCTACACCCGGACGGAGGACTATACGTAAGTATACACCACCTCTCAAATTGCAACAAAAAGATTCCGTACTTGCGACGTTCGATGTTCCCAGCATAAAAGCGCTTGTCACCCTAATTTGGTAACTTGAAGGTACTTTACTGAACCTCCATGCCCTTACAGGCTACACAAAATCTGCCTCGCCAACAGCCAGCCAGTCCAGATTTGAGACTGGCGTTGTACCGATTCCTTTCCTACAGTGGGGCCACTCGGATTCTTTCCTCAACTTTGTTGACCGTGATGACATTGTCCGGCGCGTGCTTGATCAAGTCAATGAAAGGCTTTCAAGAGACCCGATGTATCACAAACAGTACAGCAGAATCCTAATATGCTCTCTGCATGAATTGAGAAGGCAGAATGAGTTTCTATACGGGGCGGTGCGTTCGCCTCTCGATGGTAATCCCCGAGGCTTTGCCGAGACGAGCGATCGTGGCGCTAGAGCTTCCAACCCCACCAGATTTTGGAATATCGGAAGAAGGCCGCCTCAAAGCTCGTCTTCGACTTCTTCACTACATCAAGGTCTTTACTGGAGATGTTCATCCCAATCAATTTCGAGCACGACACTACCAAAAAGAACTGGGGCGGGATGAGTGTTATTTGCCAGGTAAATATTGTGTACACACTCTCCCCTGTATCAGAAGGTTAACTCATGTAACAGGTCATGGACACGATCTTCACCCCAAAAGTGCAGCTTGAACAGCCGGCCTACTTCGTCCAGAATTATGCAGATGATGTTGATCTTCGAGAAGTCTTTTCCATAACTGCGCCCTCGAAGGCATTCGACGGTTGCACTGGGTGCTCGAAGGGCTTCAAGTCATATGATGAAGGAGTAATACATCTGAAAACGATGCATTTTTCCCAGGACCCTGACCACGCGTTTCTTTCGAGGGATCAAGCGGCGGGTTTCTTTATCCGGGCCCCTGATCAGATACAAGTCGAAACACGAATCAATGACTTGACATTACTCGTCCGAAAGAGCGAATCATTCATAAGTACACTGTGCGAAAAGGCTGAAGAACTACGTCTGGGGGCTACGAGGTCTGAAGGCGATGATACCGAACAAGGCTATCCAGTGATGGAGAGGCTCGTCAGGGTTTTCGAGAGTGTCACTCTTCTCATCGTGTTGACCGCGCGTATGGTGTCCAAAGTAGACCTCCTAATGAGGCAAACCCACAGGAGCAGTCGACACAGACAGAATCTCGCCGCCAAACCGATCTGGCAACTACACAAGATCCATGCAGAAGCCCAGAAGCACCTTGAGCACCTTGAGCACGCAAGAATCGACATCATACTCGCCAGCAAGACAGACAGCCGAGCTGGGCGTGTGACGCTCACCTCGATCGGACCGGAATTTATGATTTCTTTGATTAGCAACGGCTTGTTTCTGCGTCGACTCAAAGGCAGCTCGGGGGAAAGCGTTGACGTTTGCGAGTCATATAAGCAACATACAACCAGTCTACAGCTCCAGGTGAACCAGAGACCACAGAAGCGGCTTTTTGCAGATATGTACGCGCTTGAAGAAGAACTCGACATACTGCGCCGGGTGATACACTGGCAGCGAAAGTTCTGCAGCGACATCATGCGTGTGCTCGATCCCACGTCACACAACCGACATCAGAAACACTGAGAAAGACCAGACGTTCTCTTGGATCATCGCCCTGCCCACGACCGTGGTAGTCATTGTGATAGCGTATATGTACGCTTATAAGTGGGATACTTGGAAGAGCTCGACCGACGGCACACGTATCAAGCTAAAGGTCAAGAGAAGGGGCCTATCGCGGAATACCCACGGCCCCTTGCTGAGACTGTACTCCCTCGATGGATGACTCGAAGCAAATCTGACGCTGACGATGTGGAGCATGGGGCGATCGTACAACGAGAGACCGGCATGAGCCTGTTCTCCATACCGCCAGCAAGAAGAAGAAGAGGGCTCGTTTCGTCAATGAGCCGTAGAAGTCCGAGGTAAGTGGTTTATGATCTTTCTGCGGGTTTGGAATTTACAAGAACGCGAGCGCTTTGATCCAGTCACGGATCTAAAAGCCGAACATGAAAGAAGACAAGGAGATAGGGGGTAGCTTCAAGCACGCCAGGTGCTGAGGCATTCCTGAAGACGGCATCTTCCTTTCGACGACCTTGGCCGAGCTGATAATCTGTCGAATTTTCTGCAAATTGTCTTATCATCTGTTTGATGTGCGCGTATAGGCTTATTCGGCGAAAGTACCTCCGTATTTCAGTCCCATGTTAGGTCTTGACATCAGGCCGGGTGGGCTGGAATATCTTTCAGTGGTACAAAGTCGTTTCCCGGCAACAGTACTTCAGTCACCACTCAGTTGAAATATTTTCTAGAGATTCCGAGTTCGCGCAGCGACCATGGAGATCTGTTCGGCTTCCTGGAAGACTATCTGAGCAGCTCTTCAGTAAAAGTGAGTGCTCAACTTGTCTCTATTCTGTACGATGCGCTGGCAGAGCTTGCGACGACTCAGCAGCTTCTCGCCAACGTGCGTGCACAGAGCTACGGCTTGGAATCGAGTTTCAGGGGGGCATTGGGCAGCTGGGATACGGTGATTTAGACCACCATCACCATCACCGCAACAACGTCACTCGCTAACCAGTGGGCTTATAGGGATAGGTCCCCACCCCAGGCTCCCAATCCGTCACGTTGGTCGAAAAGGGGCCAATCAATTACCATGTGACTCTTTCGTGCGCGGCACACCGTATATCACCACTCTTCTTCCTTTGCAAGCTGTGACGTGTTTATTGTTTCTTGCAGGCCTCCACGAACCAGCAAACTTTCGACCGCCTTTCTTGACGACTCTTCGCACGCACGTACCATAAGTACTAAAACACAAGACCCCATTTCGCACGGCTTGACCGACAACGCGCAAGTAACATGGATGGCAACTTGATCGGCCGCTTTGGCGATCACGACCTCGACCCCAACCCCGACCTTACCATGGCTCCAGACGATCTCGTGGCATGTATCGTATGCGGAGACCAAGTAGCAAACAGCATGGCGCGAGCCTTCTCCTGCGGCCACCACATGTGCAAGGCCGACATGGAGCAAGCCGTGCGCCTGGCGCTCACCGACCGCACGGTCTGGCCGCCGCGCTGCTGTTCGGGTTTTTATGGTGCTGCTTTTGGTTCGGGTTTTACCGAGGATGACGTCGCATGGCTGGAAGACGAAGACTTGCTATCCCGATTCCGCGAGGCAAATGCTGAGCGCACGGCGCGGGACCCGACTTACTGCACCAGCCCGCGATGCAGCACGTTCCTGGATAACGAGCAAGCGGAGCCTGACGGCAAGATCAAGTGCGAGAAGTGCGGCATCAAGACTTGTATGAAGTGCAAATGCACACACGGCGAGGACGACGAACAGTGCAGACCTGAGAGACTGGATGCGGACCTCGAGGCTGCGGTGGCGGAGGGGGAGTGGCAGCGCTGCCCGAATTGTCGACGCATGGTCTGCCTCAGGGATGGATGCCATCATATTCGGTGAGTGTCTGTTCTTTGTTCCGCCCCTATTTGAAGATTCGATATTAGGCGGGGATCCATTTCCCTTCTCTTGTCTTCCCTTCCCTTCCCTTTACCACCAGCACGTCCATACCTAGCCCCTGGTCCCAAGCTCTTATCATGTCAACGACAAGTACTAATATTACCCCCAGGTGCATTTGCGGTACCGACTTCTGCTACGTATGCGGCATGCGCTGGCGGAGCTGCGCCTGCGCCCAGTACCCCCTGGACCCAAACCGAGACCGCCCGGGCAACAACCAGGAGGAACAGCGAGGCGCACTCCCCGACGACTTTCCCTATGGGCCCGAACTCCTCGATCAGCAGCGCCGAGAACACGCGCGACGAGCCGCTGAGCAATTCCCTTGGCTCGATCCTCCTCCATTCAGAGGCATTGGATACGACCGACGTGGCGGCCGATGGGAGGACTTTGAAGAAGAGGAGCAGGAGCAGGATGATCTGTTTGGCGGCCGCGCAGAGAATCGATTTCGTGCGCAAAGGCTGCCGTTTCGTCGGCGCGTAGAGCCCTCCGTGCTGGGTCAAGGGCGGGGAGCCGAGAACGACGCCGGATTTCGCTTTGGTGATGCAGCGGCCGGCTCTGGTCGTAGTCGTGGACCACCGGTAGGGCGAGGGCGAGCGCGAGCACGAGGACTAGGACTAGGATTAGGGCGAGGAGGACAGGTGATGACGGGAACTGCGTTGAGAATACACGACCATGATCAAGAGTACCACACACGACAGTTCCTTCAGCACCTCCCACCGCCGCAGCCGCAGGCAGTATTGGGCACAGATCCACGACAAGCCAGGTTTCTTCCGGGGCAGGGAAACAGGGCGCATTGGATGCGACCACCGGTGCTCGGCGGGCAGTTTGGAACGGCGAACCTTGCTCGTCCCCCTCCCGCTCCTGTCGTTCGAGGTCCTCCTTTCGCAGATCACGTGCACAGAGACCGGTACATCGGAGATAACCAGCACCATGGCCACCACGCCGGCCAGGGCGTTGCCGAAGACCATGAGGAGGTGTTCGTTCAGACGCCCGCGGCTCGCTTGCCCATGGAAACGGAGTCGCGACACCACCCATTGTGGCGAATGCGGCAACTGTGGCTACAGCAGGGGCAACAAGAGCAGGAGTGGCAGGAGCAAGAGCAGCTGGAGCTGCTGGAGCAAGGGCGCCGGCAGGAGCAACGGCGAGAAGATGGGCGGCAACAGCAGCAAGAGCAGGAGTATCGAGAGCGGCTGGAGCGGCTGGAGCGGCTGGAGCGGCTGGAGCGGCTGGAGCGGCTGGAGCGGCTGGAGCAAGAGCAGCTGGAGCGGGAGTACCAAGGGCAGCTGGAGCGAGAGCAGCAGGAGCAGCAAGAATAGCAGCAGGGTGGTCGCGGTTGGTGAGGCAGCAACATTCGGGGTTCGAATCCCCAGACTTCTTGTCGTTTTCTGTTGTCTGTCTCTTCACGGCGGCCCCCGTTGGACCGACTACACATCAGCTTCTGCGATCGATCACACAAGTCTGGTTGGCTTGTGTGTTTTGGGTTCGATTCCCTTACTTCATGCTTTTGCCATTTCCGCCTCCCTGCCATGGCCATGTGTTGTTCGGCTCTTTGACGTCTGGCTTTCTGTTCGGCCTAAGCCAGAAGGCTGCCGCCGACCACGATCACAGATCACAGACTCGCCGCCAGTTTGAGCACCTTCTTTTCTTACTTCACACACTACACCACCCGCCTTCGCATCGCATGGTTCCTCTCCAAGTACTTTGCGGCAATCGCGTTCTGGCTACGGCAGTTGCGATTGCCATGCGGTCAACATTCGATTGTTCGCCGCCTTCTCGGTTTCATAGTTTAGATAGGGGGTGGACTAGTTGGTGCCCTTGCGGCTTTCTTAGTCAGTGAATGAGTAGACCAGTGAATCAATCAGTCCGTTAGACAGTCACATGGATGGTGACTCTATCCGTCCGTCTGTCGGGCCATGGCTTGCTTTTCCCGAGATAGTGAGCATGAACAAGCAAACAAGTCAGGTCGCAAAAGTATGAATGTTATAAGCAGTCTCCAAGTGCTTCCTATCCAAGGTGCCGGCTATGGTCTCGTCTCGCTGCTGCCGGAGTCAGCGGGTGACTCCGGAATGACCATTTCGGGCTTGTCTCGAGGATGTGTCTTGATGAAGTCTGCGTCCAATGCGGCGTAGGAGGAAGTCTGAGGCTGGGTGACAGGTCTTCCCTCGTTCAAGTTCATGTTGGCGAGGTAGCTAACTTTCTTACTGAAAACAAGCGACTCCATGTGCTTATACCAATAAGGTATCATTTGTATTGCTTCTAAGCAAGGCACGTGTTTTTCATAGGTGCAGGTAGAAGAAGACGCACTGGAGAACAAACACAGTCAGCACAGGCACGAAGACACACAATAAAGCAGGAGAGTAACGAACATGATCGGATCAATGTCTGTATTACCCAGTCCCTCGTATAGAGAGACGTTGCTCCCCAAACATTGAGACATAGCACAGTAATTACAAGGTGGCCATGCTACCTTCACCCCTTTCCATTCTGTTCAAGACAAATGCTGACGGTTCCATCAACATACATGTACATGTAGATCATCAAAATCTAGCTTCCGCAACTCGGTAGCTAAGTGGGTAGACAGTTGCCTACCTTCATGGAACATAGGTTCAGAAGAGCCAGAACCAGATCCAGCCAAGCCAAACGCCAAAACAAACAGCCCTTGTCCCGCGCCCAGTCCCACCTTCTGTGACCCTATGCCATGAGCAGTGCAAGCAAACAGGCGAACAAAGATGCCAACCATTAGAAATATTTGCAAAGAATATTAGAACCCTTAATGCGCGCTTAATGCGGTGTGCCCTTAATGCGGTGTGCCTCCAGTAAAGAAGCTTGCAAGTGAAAAATATGCTCGAAAAGTATTAGGAGAGCGAGTCGAGGTAGGCTGCGGGTTTTTCGCTTGCGCAGGTAAAGAGGTTAATGTACTGATCGCCGCGTGCCGCGCAGCCCAAGATCATGCGGTGCGGGTGGAAGGCTGTGGCAGCGATGGGTGTGCCACGGCTCTGCTGCAGGAAGTTCGAGTACGGCTCCATTCGGGACAGCTCATTGCCATCAAAGTTGAACACCTTGACCGTGTGTGCCGAGGTTCCGCTAGAAGTTGGTTAGCAAAGTCAGCTGCAAGTTGGGCCGTCATCATACTTACACTGAGAACACCGGCAGGTGCTCGTGGGTGCTTGCGGTTCTTAGCGTATCCCGTGAGGCTTGGATCACACGGAGAGGGTTGTCCATTCGGATATCCCATAACTTGACCATTCCGTTGCGGCTCGCCGAGAGTAGTTCGCGTTGGCCACCGCGCTGCATGTGTACGCTCCTGATCCACTGCCTGTCGGAATCGTTCCTCCACTTCTTCACCATGGATTCCTGAGGTCGAAGGCGCGTATCGAAGACCCTAACGGCACCATCCCCGAAACCAGCAACGAAGATGTTACCGGTCATCTGATCGGACGTCAAAGAGGTCACACAAGACCCAGACCGTGCGGGTATGTCCATCACGCATGTTTCGTATGCAGCGGCCCAGACCCGAATGACTCGAACATCGCCAGCGACAAGCACCTTGCCGGTCACCTGCTGCCAGTCAAATACCATCCCGGAGTTGACATTACTCGGGACCATCTGAGTCAACGCCCTCCACGCGGCTGCGAGCTCGGTCGTCTTGGAGGAGTCGTAGTTCCGATATACTCGCAGTACTCCGTCAGAGGAACCTGTCATTAAGAACGCGGTATCATCTTCGTTGATAAACTTCATATCGCTGATCTTTGATCCCTCAGGATTGCCGTTAGAGAAGCGGCTCAACCGACTCTGTTTCTTCCAGTCCCAGATGTGAACAGTGTTGCCGTCGTCTGCGACCGCAAGATGATCTTCGAACTGATGGAAAGTCATTTTGGCCGGCTGGGCACCATTATTCATGATGCAGAGCTGATTGTTCCACCTGTGGCTCCCAGCAAACTGCTTCTGAGGTTGTGTTTCTCGAAGTATGTTTTCGTTGCGGGATCTTCTCCAGAGGCGCTCGTTATACTCTGTGCTGCCCGGTTCCTCAGCCTCACTAGGCTTCATCTGAGGTTCACGGAAGTACTCAATCGACCAGTCCAAGAAAGTGCTGACGAGGGGTAACGAAGGCGGTTCGCGAAGATTGCGGCCACGGAAGCCACCAGATACAGGCTCGTCGGTGATGTTGTAATGAGCCGGCACCTTGGCCTGATCGTTCTGCTCAGGCGGCGCACTCCGTTCCGCAGGGTACCGTGGCTTCTGGGGGGCGTTCCGGGTAAGTTCGGGAGATGGCATTTGGCTGTCCTCACCTCCCCACATTTTGGGAAGCTGGAACAGGACACTGGCAGTCCGCTTCAACAAGCCAGGGGACGGCTCTGGTGGCGCAATGTCAGAAGATGCAGAACCAATAATGCTATTCCGCGAAGTCGAAGCTTGTTTTCCATGACCGCGAGACCTTCGCGCACGCTTATGGACGTCCTCCACCAGACTCTGAGCCTGAACACCAGCAGACGACGTCAGCAGCGCGCGGTGAACATGGTCAACAATAATCGTTGCGTCTCGCTGGACTTCGGGGTGGGGGTCAACGTTGAGTATCAAGATGTGCTTCCAACATGCAGCAAATACAGTGTTGAAGGACAATCCCTGGGCTGTCGCTTTGATTGTACCATCTGCATTGCGATTCTCGGGGCGCGCATAGTGTAGACCCAATTTCTGGTCCAGGCCATCGTCCTGGGGTGGGTGGAGAGCATATTCCTTCTCTTCCACCAATTGCTCGAAGGCAGCCACAATGAACTTGTTCTCGTAGCGAAGGACGAAATGAGACAGGAACACAAGCAATTCTTTGCGGACCAGGGGGCTCCCATCATTTGCCATGTCAAGCAACGTCCAGGCGATAGATTCCTCGATCCGTGCCACTTCATCGGTCAGGTCCGGAATACCAAGGAAGGTCGTCATAGCATGAATGACTGCAGCTCGTACTTCGCAACACGGGTCTTTGGTGAGGGCAGACAGCTTCATAGGCGCGTTTTCCCTGATACCTCTCCACTTGGCATCGATGAGATCATGCCACAACTGACTGATACAGAGGCAGGCCCACTGACGAAGAAGCACGTTCTCCTCGTTCTTGAGGTGTACTAGACAGTATGACATTATGTCTGACGTGTTGCAAACGCTTTGTCCAGGCCTGTAACCTTTGCAGAGCATCGAAAGCACGAAAGCACACATCGCTTTGTGTTCATCAGTGTTGGCGACTGGGAGACCCTCAGATGGTTTGAGTATGGAAGCGAAGTATTGGTAGCCGCTGTCCTTGATCAAGTCAGGCTGGCAGGAGATGTCCACGGCAAGGACTCGAGTCCAGATGAAGACCATAACAGGTTTCAATTCCGCGGCTGCCGACTGCAGAAGCTTGAGTACATAGGGGAAGATACCGATGCTCAGAGCGAGCTGGACTGCCCAAGGCCCCAGATCAAGGAATCTGCCGAGTAAGATGAGGGCACGGACTCTGTGTTGCTGGCTTAGCAACACCTGGAGAACAACAGGAAGCTGCTCGGGTGGTTTTTGGCGCATGGCGCCGCCTCGAGCGAGGTAGACTTCAAAGGCGGTCAACTGCTCCGTAAAGAAGGTAGAACTCTGATATTCGTATTCGATGCCCTCGTTTTCTTTACGTTCCAACATGGGAAGCTGCGCCAAGGCTAGATCGACTGCGAGATCCCAGCTCTCCCATAAGGGATGCTGGTGTGTATCCGGCAACTCTGGGGACGACTGAGAATGACATCCATAGACGGTCATGATCCTCTGCGCTAGAATGAAATTCCGAAACAGAGCAGCCACCATTAGGTCTTGTCTGAAGAACTTGCGGAAGGTGTCTCGAGATAAAGAAGTCCACGCAATGGTGTCCGTGATGGCGGTGAAGATCCAGTTGAGCTCCCCGAGAGGTGTCCGCCGCTCCTGAAGACGGCCGGGCAGCTTCTTGGCTCGTTCTGGCGTTAGATTCGTCTTGAGGGGGTTTTGCAAGACGAAGAACCACAAGGCCATCTCGATTGGCGTTGTGAGGCACGCGGTGAACAGATCAGCCGGGAGTAGGGGATTTGTTGGAAGGTTCTCTTTCACAGCACATGCTGCCAGATGAAGGTAAGAACGGAACTTTGTCTTTTCGTGATTAGGATCCGCGGCGGCGAGTGCCTCCTCCTCCTCCTCGTGTTTCTCGACGAATCGATGGTAGTTGCTGATGATGTTACCAGCTTCCGAACAATCCCAGACAAAGATGGTGGGCGCTTGAAGCCACTGTTGAAGGTCGTAGAGTGATATGGGAATATATTGGGTATAGGTTCTGTTGAAAACCCAGATCTCGCCGGAAGCCGTGGGTTTGGGGACTCCATGGCCATTGTAATGAAATAGTACCCGTTCGTCTTTGGCGTTTCTCCGGAGGGACATGCAAAACTTCTTGGTTTCTTCGACAGATGGGTCGAGATACTGCTTGTAGCGGGTGCGAAGAGAGATGTTCTCGTACTGGTTTTGGAGGGCCTTCCCTATCGCCTCCAAAGCTTTTGTCGCCGGTGGTACAAAGGGATCATGCCAAGCCTCAAGCTTTGCGCCTGGATTCGTCTTCAACTGATCGGGTGGTTCGACTCCTATATTGAGGCACACGGCCAGCGCAGCAGAAACAGTCTTTAACCGATCTCGCATCCGCCAATCTTCGATCGTGTAGTTCGACTGTTTCGGCTGTCCAGTCGTCTCGTGTCGTTTGTCTGTGAAGTACATGTACCAGTTCTGCATGGCGGGTTAGTCTTGAAACAACACACAACGTCTGCAAGCTTGCCAGTGAACAAAAGACCGAAACAAACTACCGTCCCTTGTACAAGCAAAGAGAAGCCAAATGGCGACTGGCCACTCGGCGGACTGCTCGTAAACAGACATGGCTTCCATGCGACGCCCGAGCACAGCTTGGTTACATCGAGGGCCCAGTAATGGTGGCATGACCCAGCAAGAGAACAGGCGATGGATGAAACTCGTAGCGGCACCTACATTGACTAGTTGAGAGATGATGTCCTCGGACTGGTAGTGGTCTTCGAAACCATGGCGTGCGCCCCATTCGTATATCTCTTCTTCGGACTGCTCGGGATCTTCACGTCGCACGGCACGCTCGCTCTTGGATCGTAGTAGTAGAGGCTTTGAGGGCCTTCTGGGCCTGTCGTGACCGGCGTCATCTTGGGATGTGACAATGGACAGCTTGTGCTTGTTTCCCGCAGCAGCGTTGGGGGAACTGGCGTCGGTCGCGCTGTTTAAGTGTCCGGTTGGGGGCTCGGAAACTCGCGACTTCGGAGTCTGGCCAGGAGGGTTTGGTGTATTCAAGGAGAGAGCACTCTTTGAGGAGCCCAGGCGCGAAGGCATGGCAGCTGTATGGGAGCTGTCGCGCGCGGTGCGTGAGGGTTGAGGAGGCGCGGCGGCAGCTTCGGTAACGATGTGCGGACGTGAATGTGTCGACGCAGCTCTGGATGACGAAGACGCGGTCTGGCTCTGCTGCTGCTGCTGCTGCTGCTGCTGGCGGTCGTGCTGCTGCTGCTGGCCAGGGTATGCGCTGCGATGCGCTGCGACAGCAGTCATGATGAATCAGCGCTGTGCAGGTGCATGTAGCTCGGCGGGCATAGCTATGATGGGCCAGATCCCGTTACCAGGTACGTAGAGCGCAGGACTGTGACTGCGGACGGAGGGGAGAAGATGATGGGATCTGGATTAGGTTATAGTCTGGGTTTGAGCCAAAGCTTCGAGGCGTTGAGCTGGAGCTGAGTTCAACGTTGGCGCCGGCGGGTTTGGTCGGTGCAATCGAAAGCAGCCCAACTGGCAGAACTGGCAGAACTGGCGGTGGGTGCAGGTGGGCCTGGGGATGGTGTGGGGTCCGTCGCGGGCGGTCAGAAATTCAAAATACACCCACACCGAGGTACGTACCTACATTCACACTTCACCACTGCTGCATGTGAACATTTGAACGTGAGAGCTTCAACTGCCCTGCCTTCACACACATCAACGCACATGGATCAGGTTGAATACTGTCCTGGGCCTTGCTGTCCGGTTCCAGCTGATACTTGCTATACGTTTTTTTTTATGAACTCCATTGTTCTTCTGCCACAAAGCTGAGTGGCGCTGATAGTCGATGCCGTATCAACATAAACAATGCAATGGGACCGACCGAGTCAAGTCCATGCTTGCGCATATCTTATGACACTTTCAAGTCCAAAACTAGGCGGAAAGCAAGATATCTCTCACGCTGAGGAGATCGGTCAAGCTGATTAATCTGCCCTCGAAGGAGGTCATCATCGAGCAACCCTCCTAGCATGTCCTATGTAGCTTTGAAAGCTACATTACCCCAACGGAGCACCATAAATAGACTTACATCCACTCGGAAGCGCATCCAGGCTGAAGAGTCGGTGTGATGGGATAAATTAATCAGAACTTGCCGTCTGTTCGTTGTTACTGGTATGCATGATGATCACGAGATGTCAGCCGCACCGTATCAACGCCAGCTTTGATCGTCGGATATTGAAAGGAAGCTCGGGAGTTGGGAAAGAGCGGAAGGATGCTGCCGTGCAGCTGAGATCCACATCCCGTCAGCTTGCAGATGTGGGGTTGCATCTGCATTGCAAGGCTCTTTTATTAGAAAGACTCATGATTCTTTGAACCAAATACTCGGCTGTGAGGAGCAACAGTCTTGAAGTCCACCTCAAGAATCAGCAGACCCAAAGGAGGTTGTCCTCGCGGTGTCATCTAACGAAGTACGAGAAACCGGAGTCGGACTTAACATCAAGTGCGGTGATAATTTCCGTCGTTTCAGGTGGACAACCATTCGTGGAAAGGTGGGTCAGGGGCTTCGGGGTCACGCAGATCGCAATCGACAAGCTAAGGTACGTGCTGAGAATTAAGACCTCACTTTAAGAAAAGGGGCGACAGAGACATACACGGTCATACCTCCAGCATGTTGTTCATCGTCGACTTCTAGTATGCGCCCATTCAAGAGACCGTCATCTCTTGGTAAGGAACTTTGAACCAGAAAAACTCAGGTTTATGTCTTTGGCGTTGAAAGTCGCGTCTGTTCCTGCAGACCTGACAGCCGACCATTGCCGACCTTCCATTGACCACATAGTTAAAGGGTAAGTAGATGGCAGATGGCAACATGTCAGCCCCCGTCAGCGCCATCGGTCATAGAGAGGCAAGTAAGGATGATTGCATGATCTCTTCTTGCTTCCTAGCCTATCCTAGCAGAAAAGCCTGCCACCTTGGTGAATCGTCATCAACAAGACGTCCGTCAATATTGTTAAGTCGCATGGCTTTCGGCTATATGACCACAATGTGCATGAACATTATCATCCGTTTTTTTAGCTTATGGTCGTAATAGAGTCGTATACCATCACTTAATCGCAGGATTTTTATCGAACTTAAGGGGAATAAGGTGTCATAGTTCGACTGTTAAAAGAATTTAAAAATGACTTCATTAATATACGTAAAAAAGAAAGAAAAATATAAAGCTACTTAAAAAAAAAGCAAATATATATAAAGGTTAACTTATAAGACTATAAAGTTGCTATTGAAATCCGTAACAATATCCTTTTTTTAAACTGTAATTAATTATAGTTATAATAATAAAATCGTTATTACGGGTAGCTAGTACGGGGCCGGACCAGTGCGGGTATTATACGTTACTTAAAGTGATTTTACTTCATTTTACCGCTTTTATAATCTTTATTAATATAACTTTTTACGTACATTTTTTAAGAATAATAATTTCGGTTTATTAACGTTTCAAAATCGAGCTGGGTTTTTAAGCAAGATTTTGATTTATAAGTATATTATAACAAAATCATATATAATATATATTTATAATATAAGTATGTTTTTTTATAAAAAAGAATGCGTTTTAAGCTTTACGGTTTAAAGACGTATTTTATAAAGTTTGTTTTTAATTAACGTTTAAGGCGCAATATAATGGTTGAATTTTTATTATTACATTACTTATTATTATTTACGGTTTTATACGCGTTACGTTTATTATATATACAAAGTGTATTGATAAAAAAGAAATATAATTCTTAATATATATTTATTGTTTTTATTCAAGGTTATAAAAAGTTAACGATTTGATACTTAAGTTAATTGCGTTTATATAAAAAAGACGGGGCTAATAACATTATTAAGATTGTTGTTTAAGTTGCGTAATTTTGGAAAAAAAACGTAGATGGTAATACCTTATTTAATAATAATAGTTGCTTGATAGTAGTATTTTCTAAACTTCTAAAAACGTCGAAAAGGCGATTTGTTTATATTTTAGTTTTATAGGCGTGAAAAAGATTTTACTAATACGTTATTATTTTATAATAGGTTTCAAATAGATTAAATATTGTTATACTAAGGAATATTTACGCTCAATTAAAGTTGTAGTTTTTTACGATGCGGTTAATTTAAAATGAGGGTTACCTTTTGATAAATATTTATTATTAAAGAATGCCGATTAAAAGTAAGTTACGCAATAAAAAAATTATTAAATATTTCACCTTTATTTTTATAATTCATTTAGTTTTAGTTAAATTATTAATAAATAGTATTTTTGACATAATCTTTTTAATATAGGAATAAACGCCATTAATAGTGTAAACTTAAATTACGACGATATAATAGCGTTGGTATAAGATATTAAGTTAATAAAATAGTAGAAATAACGTTTTATTAGCGAATTATAGGTTCAAAAGAGCGTAAAATACATTTTAAAGTTAAAGGTTTAAAAACATCGGTATTTTTACAGCTCGTAAGTTTATTGTTAGTTTTCTAATATAAGTCTATATCTTTAAAACTTAAAATGCGTCGGTTGAAATTTGGTTTTTAACCGATACGGCTAGTTTAACAAGGGTTTTTTATATTTGTTCCATAACTTTAAGTAATTAAAAAGTAAGACTGTTATTTTGAAATAATTTTTTTACGTTTTAAGCGCGTAACATTTATTATTTTATTTTCATTCCTAATCTTAAAAAACCCGGCGTTATAATAGTATAAATTATAATACCAATATTAATTACCAGGGCGATTTTAATTTATTAAGGTATTACTAATAAAACGAGATTACTTTAACGTCGTAGCTTTTAACGTTATTTAAAGGTTTTAAAAAGTTTTTTACGGATAAAGTTATTTAATTTTATAGTAAAGGTTAATATTTACGTATTAAAAAGAGTCGAGTATAGTTTTAAATAGGGTTTTTATTATTATATCCTTTTCCGAGCCGTTTTTCGTAACTAATACGCTTTTAATTCGGTTTTAATACTTTAAAGATGCCTGCGTCGTTGTGGTAGAATCTGGTGTTGTATTCCCAAAATAACAAGGTTAGGAAGGAAAGGAATCCAGGTGTGCGTGTACCTAAATGGCTGCAGCACATATAGTGGTGTCCTTTCTTACCTAATCTACACGTGACCTGATGACTCAGCATTCAACCAGGTGGATACAGATGCTGAACCGTCACAGATACGTTATATTAGTAACTTTTTATCTTAAGGGGCCTTTTTTAGTTTATAGATTTTAATTATATAAAAGAATAAAGCTTAAACTTTAAAGTGATTTACAGTTAAAGTATAAAGGCGCGTACGTAGATTTTCAAACCTAAAAAAGGCCCGGTTTATATTTTACTTACCTTTTTAATTAGTTTATTAAGTTTCAAGTTTTTAATGTCTGATTTTTTTAAATACTATAAAGCTTTCACCTTTTACGTTTATATAGTTTTTATATTTATTTTAAGCCTTTATTAATAAAACGCCCGTACGATTAAATGTTTTCTTAATTTCTTAATTATAATACGAGCGGTTAGAAAGAAGAATCTCTGCTAAATATAATAGTTTTAAAGATATATTCCTTAAGTGGTTATACTTTAAAAACGTATTTGAAGTAGCTTATACGTAATTAATAGTAATTAGGTGTTAAGTAGTCTTATTGAAGCCTTTATGAAGTCATAGTTTTAAATTAAATATTTGAATCCGATTTGTTTTATTTAAGTTATTAGCTCGATATAAACAAGGAATTATTTTACTCCTAGTTTATTTCTTATTTTAACCTTTATACAACCTTTTACAAAATGATATTTTCGACTTTAATCGATAAAGGCTTAATATATATGTATATCTATAATAATTAACTATATACTATTATAAATATAGCTTGAAGTAATAAAAGCGCCGCTTTTACTTAAAAAGATACGTTTTAAAAGGTTTTTTAAACATAAAAATAGCGCGCTTATAAACGACTAACGCGTTTAATAATAAGCTTAATACCGGTTTTGAAAGTAATAATTATAAAGTTAACAATATATACGATAAAAACAGTTTGAATATTTTCTTAATAAAACGGCTTTAAGTAATGAATGTTAAACCCTATTATTTATAAGGATTAAATGACTAAAAAATTTAATATATTACGATTAACGTTACGTTTAAAAAGATCGGCGAAAAATGGTCATTTATTTTTACGTAGTTAGATTAAAAAAAATTGACGGTAAAATATACGGCGTTATTTAAAAAGAACCGCCGCGTTTTATATAAGGCTTACGGTATAATTTCAAGATAATCGGCTGTTTT